TGATTCATTGTAATTACAATCAATGGTCGACTGGGATTATGAACAAACCCTAATTACATTTACCTGTCATAACTTATGTGGTCCGAAAAAAATTGTTAAGAATTTCAAAGATAAATTACTTTTTACTTATCATCTACAACATTAAAACATTTCATGCCTCTTTACATCTACAAACCATTTGTTCAGGCTTACTTTTTTGTCCTAAATAACCGTATCAGTAAATGGAACCTAAGCAATGAAATGTTTTTCGATAATGCTAATTTTACTATGATATATATATGTATATGTACGTTTAATAAGTATTTATGAATTCGTTATTTTACGATGTTCGTATGTAGTTTCGATTGTATGCTATGATTTATATATTGTTGATAGCCGAGGAAAAACACTGTTAGTTCGATTTGTATCAATCATATTCTAGTCTTCTACCGATTATGATCTTTTATTTATGAGGCCGGTTGCAATGAGTTATCATTGAAAGTAGTAAAGGTACTTTTCTGTTATTTCAGCTGAAAGTTTGGGAATATGGAAGTCTTTATGTTCTAATAACCATGTGAAGGAAGTAGTAATGAAGTTAGTGAATCTGTCGTTAGTTAGTACTAGCAAGAGTGTAGCAAATTTCTGAATGGAATTGTCTGCATAACTAATCCACATATCTTTGAAATAATCAAAATATCTCTAGAGTATCTCGTTTAGTTTTAGTTTTCTTGAGATTTATTCTATTCATACTGAGTTCTCAAACCTATGGGATATAACTACAAAATTACATCATTTTCTATTCAATTATAAATGAAATAAAATTTATTCTGCCATTGTTAATAATTATAATTTTTTGAATGTAAAGTATGCTTTGTTTATTGACTAAAACCTTATACTAGAAAAAACATCTATTTTTGTTTTCGAAATTGATACATTTCTTACGTTATCTAATCTCTTCTCTTGATAAAAATTATTTTCAGTATCCACAATTTTCACCTTCAGTTTATCGTAATGATGGTGAAGAAGAGAAAATTTATCTGCAACTTTTATGTGTTACGATTGTATCACTTGTTCTAGTTGTATTCGTTGTTTCAATCATATTTTCTTGTTGGTGGACTAAAAGTCATAAAGTTCCAATTGATTTAAGTATTACAGATGCTGGTAAGCTGTTTTCATGATTTCAACTTTTAACTAATTTGATAAATTTGATAGTGAATTCACCAAACGGGAAATTGTATTAAAATTTGAACAAGATGAATTACAAACATATCGATTTTTGTGTAATTGTCTAACTAAGTAATACATCGATGATAGGCATATATTTGGATGTGAATTCCAAGCAAACGCTTGTAACTCAAGAAATGCATATTTAGATAGATTTACACTGAAAATATCTTGAAGTCTGTTTGTACGTCGATAATTTTCAAGATATTGTCCAGGCTCCTAATATGATGCTGGTTTTCCTTCAGAAGGTATTTCTCGAGCCTGTAAGCTAAATCTACCCTGCAATACCAAATACGATGTTATGGAAGTCAGTGACTCATTGGTTTCATAAGTTATTTATTTCTTTGAGATCCTTGTACCTATGAGTACTGTTTAGTTAAGTTCAAGACTTCTCAACTCTTACGAATGGACGCTCCAAATCTAGATCAAGAACTAGATGTCCGCTTTCGCCGTGTTGCTTTATGGTATCCTCCTCGCTAATTAAAATTAAGGAGTTATGTACCCTTGAAGGAAGGAGATGATTTCAACTAGTAATCTTAATCTTGACTTACGCAGTCTTGAAATAACTGCTTACTTATTTGATCAGATAATAGATCATATAAATCTAACCCTCGGATCGGTGATTTTCATCATGCAACCGATCATATAAATTCGTAAGATATTCCTGTGACCGTAAATTCTTAATTTCTACTTACTTCACTTCTCGGTAGTCAAATGTTTTGGTTTAAACGTTTATTGACCTATATTTCAGTGGATGCTCTTGTTCCTTAATGAGATTTAAAGGTAATGTTTTCATGGTCACTGTTGTTTAACAGGTTAATAAATTAACATAGATATTCACGGTATCATAGATATGTGCTGCTGTTAGGGATTGTTAAAACTCTGCTATTCATACAGACTTAATTTCATATATTTAAAGTAAGAACAAAAAAAGATATTTGTCTATTCATATTAGCTGTTATTACTTTTTGTTTATCAATGAAAGTATGATTTAATTTTTCTCTTTTAATCCAGTTTACTATATTTCCTTGAAACATGAGGTAATTTATGTCTTGATAAAAATAACAATTTAATACTTATTTATTGATGTTGTTAAGTGTCTGATTGTTCCAACTTTTGAAAAAGGTGAATGATCTGTATGTGTAAATTCAATGTATAAATCTTCTACATAAACTTTCTCATTGATGCATGTATGTTCTAGAGTATTTTGAAATATGGAACGTTGATTTTACAGTTTGTAGCATGGACCGATGTTAATTAACCGAGAAGCAAAAACCAAGAAAAGTAACTAGATAGCTGATTTTTCTTAGCATGAGACCCGTTGTAAGTGCTCATTCACTACTCTACTAGTGACCGGACTTGGGATCTACAGATCGTGTGGAGAGAGCTTAACCATTAGTGTTGGCTGGGCTATCGTCTAACAGTTTACATGTAAACCACAGCCGAAGCATCTTCAGTTCAGAATAAAACAGATTTCCATTGCTTAATGATTTTCAGTGATTGTCTAACTAACATCATTTCGACAATATAAAGTGAAATCTAGCAATCGCCAGGATATTACCCTTCCCCCAAAGAAAAACAAACATTTTCTTATGTTTGAGAGTGTGGAAACATTTGTTGTTGTAAAAGTTTGTTTGACGATAAACTGTAAACAAATAGTACTCTGATATGTTTCTCCACCATATGACATCATTTAGGTGTTGTAATTGTACTTGCACAATAGAACATTTCAAGTTGATGACTAAAACTCATTTTTTCAAAGGTTTTTATCATTAAAAGTTGAATATCAGTAAAAACGTATCTCACTTAGTCGGAATTTCTCTTCATTTTTATTTTATCTCCCATTATTATTGCATGTTTCTAGAATCTACTGTATAATAACAATAGTGTAACTTACTTATTGTCTACTGTATATAAAATTAACCTTCACAACATTTTACACTTCTTTATCACTTTCCTTTTATCAAAAATTCACTTATATCATCAAGATAATTTGTTACAAACATTAAGTGATGTAGAGTTAAGTGATCATAAATTTTGTAGCGTCAAACCTCATCACAGATAAAATTTATACTTGATATCTAACAAATGTTTATTAATTTATCACTGACTGCATTATCTTGTCAGCATGTATGAGTGCATTCTGATTATTTAATTAGATATAAAGTTTTTGTTTGTTGCTTCCAGTGTTGTGCATTAATCATGTCAATTGGTAATTATTCAACATGTTCATTCGATTGATGTTATTTTTTTTTGTGAATTATGAATGGGTATGGCGAATGTTTTTTGTTTGAAAAATAATTTTAAAAAAATGCCTGTTAGTCATTAGACGTTGTGCAAAATGACATTTTCTTTGTTCATACAGATTATAAAGCATGAGAGGATTTGAGAAAAATAATTTTCAGAATTTGAAATCAGCTCCCATCAAGTGTAAAACACTACAGTGAAAAAAATAAAACAACATAATTTATTCTTGTTTTCTTTAGGATGGTTTAATAGATGGAGAAAAGAAACATTCACGAAAGAAATCAATGGAATCTTCATCAAACATCAATGTAACTAATCTATCTACAAATTCTAGCAATCAATGTGAATTAATTGAATTGGTATCATCAACGCCACATTCAAAGTCGGAAAACAACAACACTCAACCAAAAGCACATGTAAGCTTTATATACTTATATCTAGTTATTATAATGACAAAAAATAATGATATGATGAAACTTGCAGAAGTTTTTTTAAGATTAGGTTCATTATACATTAGAAAATCTAGAATTATTATTTCTTACTCAGTTATAATCAACTAGGTTTCAGTTAGTTTAAACTTTGAAATATCACATGAAGGTAATGTCAAAATGATCATGAGTAATATATCACTTATGATTTCTGTAAATTCATTCAATACTTGTCATAGTGTAAACGTTCATTATTGATATCCTGAATTCAGTATGTGATATTAATTTGCTATTTCGAATAAAATGATGAATGCCTATTAAATTATTATTATTATTATTAGGAACCTGGAAGCCACTAGACGACCGTTTCATCCTAGCATGGAACTTTTCAGAGTTAGACGTTAGCACCGTTGGATGTCGGGCTCAGTGGTCTAGAGAGAGATTAGGCGTTTGCGAGCGAGACCGAAGGTCGTCGGTTTGATTCGAGCTAGCGACGCCAGTGGATGCGTGCTACTGAAGAGTCCCATACAAGGACGAACTAGTAGTTCAGTTCTTCCAGGCTTACAAAAGTGGCATAACAAAGATCGATTCATGACTTAAAAAAGGAAATCTTTCACCATGATGTAATACAAAATTGTCATTTTTTAGTGTAACACAGAGCATGAGTTGGGTGAAAGTAATCTTTGATATTACATGTATGATAGTATACTTTTCAAAATTGTTTATTAGAAAATTAAAAGTATTTGCATTGTTTTTAACGCTTTTTTGATGCTTAAATTATTATGGAATTATAAAATCTTTTTTCGAAAATTATAATGCCGGTTTTACAAATCCACATAATTATGGTGGAGTTTCGTTCTTTGAGCTGGATGCTTTGGTTGTAGAGTTTTTATTGTCCTTCTGAATATCATCAGTACAAACTTCAGGTAGAAGTGGAGTATTCAGATTTCACCACGTACGACTTGCAGCTGGTCCTGCTGACCTCACTGTTGATTGTTTGTTATGTACCTTAAAGCTGTCAATGTCTGCCTCCTCAGTTTGATTTTATCCTTTGATTTGGTTCTTGATCTTATGATTTTAATGATTGGGTTATAAGTCGGATCAGTGTCCATGTGATTATTGACTGCTGATTGACTCGAGTATTTAGCACAGCCAATTCGATGCATTTAGATTGTGAATATTTTAAGAAATTAAAACCCCGAAGATGCAACTTATAGCTCGTTATAATTGAAGAAGCGAATGCTTGTCTGTGACCAAAGATGAATTTTATTACAAAAGTAGCACCTGTTTGTGAGCCAGCGATGACTGTTAGGGACTAACATATCGTTTCGTCCTGGTTCCAGTCTCCTCAGCCAGTTATATTCACTAACACGGTACAGATCGGATGTAGAATTTTCTGTTTTCTTAATGACCAAGCAGTGGTAGAATCCAAAATTCTACATTTTCAAGTTCGGTCAATTCGAGATCCTCTATATATCCGCATACTTGACACTAGATTTACGAAAAGCTACTGTGACCAGTTTATCATTCTATGAATTGTACTTTAACATAGCTTTAAACTATTTTCTAGGTAATTATGAAATTTTAATGTAAAGACTTTATTTTTATACTAGTATACACTGACTTAAAAGTGAAATATCACATCAGTGTTTCAATCATTTAGCAAAGGAAAACTTTCAGGGATGTGAGTATGTTGGCGGTGATAATGATCAAAGAATTAAAGCACTACTTGTCGCCGAAAACAATGATTTATAGTTCATCAAGTTACAAAATTTGATTTGAAAGATGACTGAATACCTCTCCACCAATAGCTCAAATCTCTTTTCAAAGGATTTTAGTAGTAGATGTGAAATGTCTCACATAAAGCGCTCGTATACACAAAAAGAATTGAAACCTGTGGACTGACAACATATGTTTGGAGTTTCTTGTTACGCTCGTCTCTAGGTATGCTTAAACTATTACGGGTTCACCTTAGTTAAATAACGAGAACAAAACAATGTACCAGCGTCCAGGTAGGCTACTGTAATCCCTTGACCAAGTTTTACCAGCAAGAAGTCTTTATATAGTGTAGAAAATGTATTCTACAAACACCCAGCTAGGAACAATGCATCCAAGCACTCAAATTGCGTTTCTTTATACTCTATAGAGACGTCCGTAGGACAGTCACAAAAATAGCACACTAAAATGACGCAGTAACAAATCACAGCTAAGGATTTTTCTGGTGAGAAATGTGGTCTCAAGGTCAACTGATCGACCGATGAAATAAATCCAAAATAAAAATATTTATCAAGCGAGTTCTGGGGATCTAACATCCCCAACATATCTCTAGCTAAGTATGTTATTTTTTCAACATTCATGCACTAAAGTTCAATGAATATGCATTTTACACGGCTGATATAAATTTCAAACAGGCTGCAATTAAAGATCATGTTTTATGCTCATTAAATCTTTTACACATACAACTTATAAGTTGATTTTTGGATTCAGTAGGGATTTATTACTTTGAGTAAGGACTCACATCTTTATTTTCATTGAAAAAAGTTTGATATTCTGTAATGCAGAGATCAATTCAACTATGAGGTCAAGTAGTTTCAGATTTTACATTTTAACTGTTTGCGTAATGACTAGATAAGGATTTATTTTCTTACGCAAGACTTCTGTTACAAAACGTCTAAGATAAATTCGCTTATAACCAACTTATTTGGGAATCGATTTTTACTAATCATCATTAGAGTTTTGTTGTTTTGTGTGGTATACACCCCTTCCCTAATGCCTTAAATTTCGTTAACTGATACTTTCATTTTCAGTGAATGGATGTCATTAAATTCTAGTTTTCTTGAGTGGATTTCATGATGTGACTCACTTGATTTTAGTACCAAAAAATTATTATCAATATAACAGATACATAGATCTAGTCTCATTGATTGATTATTTATTGTTCATGCTTGTTTTTAACATATCTATAACAGGTTTACGTCTCACCTACTGTAGCATACGCAACTGTATCCATTGGCAGCAATCCACAATTAAATGTTTCAGCAATAACAACTATTCTACCGGCAAATTATCCATTACCACGTTATGTTGTAGCTGCCGGTGAAATGAGCAGTAGTGGCAATAATAATAATAATAATCATGTCACATCAGATTTTGATCGACTACCAGATGGTACACCTATGATCGGTACACCAATATTATTGTCAACTAATTCTACTAACGGTGTTATTGCTGGCATTCTTCCAGATTCAAACAGTGCAAATATCAATTCATCGGTAACCTATGTGAAATTAGCTAAACCATTTGTTGTAAGTTGTGAACAAACTATTCCATCAGATGGATTGCATAGTAAAGAGGATCATCCACTGGTTATGGGGTCTGTTCAAAATCTGAATACTTCTAATGCATCAAAAACTCTAGGTAATTAATTGAATTAGAGAACCCTTTTTGTTGAAACTGTGTTTGACTTCACTGTACACACAATACATGGTTTTTTATTTGTTCCACGTATTGTTTGACTATCGTCTATAATTAGTTAGACATTTTAAAATTCGGTTTATTCTCCGAAAAAAGTGTTAGACTAAATGAGAATGAGGAGAAATAGTTCGTGTTCTTTCTCTAGGTTTAAACTTCTCTGTTTCATCAGCTCCTTTCATCAGAGATTTTAAAACCACATCTCAAAAAGGAATGGTCTAGCACTACTTATAAATATTATCAGTCACAAAGCAGATGTTTAGCTTATAGTATCTAGTTTTTATAGATTACAGACTACGCCATACATATGCGAATAAACTACCTATTCATATGCTTTGTCAATGAACTGTCTAATGATATAAGAAGTGTTGTAAATTTGAATATTTTAACCCATCTGTTGTTAGTTTTCCTTTTGATCATATAAATGTCAAATTTGAAGTAGTGGTTGTCAGAAGTCATTTTTTAATATACATTTATTTATATTAAAAAAGAGGAATAATTAATTTTCAAATTGCAATAAAAAGTAAAATTGTTCAAATCATTTGATTGTTGGCTAAAGATTTCAATGAGTTTCAGAAATTTCCACATCTATTATTCCATTCATCATTAATGCCTGATTGTTAATGTTTCACTGTTCAGTTTATTGAACTTCATAAGGACTAAACTTTATAAGAAATAAGACATATGCAATGCACATATCAGTATTCAGATTCATCAATGAAAGCAATCCCTTAAAGTGGCTTAGAATAGACTATTTCATACTAAAAAAACGAATCTTTACAAATAATGAACTGAAATATTTCTAGGTCTGTACTTTAGTGAATACTAATTTTGTTTTGATTCTGTAGCTACAAGTTCTTTACGCTTAAGAACACTACCTTCAAGACGTCATGTAGCTAAAGAATTTCTAGACGAATCTGTTCTAGCTACAATGTCACGTTCAAGAACTCCTCTAAATAATAAAATTGGTGTAAATCAAATTACCCAAGTTCATAATGACACTGTCATGACTACAACGCATAGTTTACCTAGTGGAGCATTAGTATCATTCAATCCATCAGTTTTATTAATTCGAACAAATCAACCAGTTAAAACTATCAATGAAGAATGTGAAGGGAATTTAAATGAAAATGATCAACTGAATGTGATGACAACACTACCTGAGTTAATATCTAACAGATTCATCGGAACAATGTCTACTGGGAGTAAGTTCAGTGTATGATTCTTTTATTGTTTAACTAATACAAAAAGGTTTTAAATATGATTCTTTTAGGTTAGACCATTTAGCTCTTTAGATTTAGTTGTTCAAATTTAATTTCTTTCTTAAAGGATAGTCTTGATAACATTTTCCAACTACATATTTCCTTAATGACTTTTTATCGCGCCTGAATGACTATAGTTATTTTTAGTTCCAAGGTCATAACGTGTTACTATTATATAAAAAGGAAAAATTACATTTTAGTTTTTCACTTCTGTTGGGAATCCAAAGCTATTCTGAATGTCTTGTCTTTTCTATCTGATATTAACTTGCCGTTATTTAGCTTTGAAGTATAATTATTTATCAGATGTTTGGTCTGTTTTAGCTAGTACTTTTTTCTCATTCGTATTAGAAGATTTGCAGTTGTTCGAAATTTGAAGATAGTATACTCCTGTACCAGACCAATCACAAGACCTGTGATAATTTATTTTGTTCAGCTAGAAATAACGTAAAATGTTTGTGTGTAATTACAATTAGAGTAGTTTTTGAAAAGAATATAATATAAATTATTTAGGCAATAGGAACGAAATTTTAAATTAAAAATCTTCAAAACTGTGAAGCAGAATCAGATAACGAGAAGCTAATTTATTTTATTTTAAAGGGAAAAATCTAAGGTTAGCATTGAATAAAATTATGTACAAAAACAAATTTTAAAAATTGAAAAGGAAATACCTCGCTTAGTCGAGTTACTTTCATCTAGTCTTTAGTGGTGACTGAATCTATCAACCAAATAACACTTCAAATACACTGGTCCAAGTGAATTCATATTATGATGCACCTAGTTTGATATATGGAGGTTATAAATAAATTGAGATCACCTTAGAGATGCGTATTTTTCTGTTGGTTAGTCGTCATCAGGAGTACTTATCAGTTATTGGTCGGGATACTATCAATTGCAAGTTTAAAATCAACGAAGAACATTTTTCCCATCATGATTTGTCGATATCTTCCACTAGAATATGATGCTCTTATTTAAGGATGGATTAGTCAGATCGACTATAAACGTCTGAAGTCTTTTATACATAACATTTCAGCTTCAAAATACATGAAACCGTTAAGAACTTTGAATGACATGGCTCAAAATCGTTTGCACTGGTGCAGGTTCATCCATTCTTTGTCTTCTCTCAAATTCTAATCTACTGAATTCCTCATGCATGACTTTTTTCTCTTTCTAAATTTATTTCACTGACATATACTTTTTGAGTCAAATCTTCGGTCTCTAATCTTTTTGATAACCTCTAATACTGCTACTACCTTTACAACTATGGGATTTAAACTGACAGCTGCATCTCTGTGCTAAAGTAGCACGGCAACTTTATTCGATGTGTATATGTACCAAATTCTCGGATGTTGCTAACTGACTGAGTGATTTAGGTACATAAACCAGGCTTATCTTTAACCTTGAGGTAAACTTAGTTCTTCCAAAATGTCATTACATTTTTTAGAAACCCTAAAACTAATCCTATATATTGATAAGTCTGCTAAATGCACAGTAGATCTGGTCTCCTACTCACTTCTAATAGGTTGTTGCTGATAGTGTCTGGCTAACGATACGAAATATTTTGGGTAAACAACTGTCAGTGAATACTTGTATCTTCTGGATGATGGCTTTCGTACTTCTCCAAGTTTCCTCTCCATACAGTAGAACTGTTTTGACATTTGTATTGAAAATCCTGATTTTGGTGTTGATTGATATTTGTTTGGAGTTCCAGGTATTTTTCAACTGTAGAAATGCAGCCCTTGCTTTGCCAATCCGTGCCCTCACATCTGCATCGGATCCACCTTTCTCGTCGATGATGCTGCCCAGATATGTAAAGGTGTTAACGTCCTCCAAGGCATCTCCATCAAGAGTGATTTGGTCGGTGCATGTTGTGTTGCATCGGAGAATTTCGCTTTTTCCTTTATGTATGTTGAGACCTACTGCTGCAGAGGCTGCTGCTACACTGGTCGTCTTCTCTTGCATTTGTTTTTGCGTGTGCGATAGAAGAGTCAGATCATCTGCGAAGTAAAGATCATTGAGCTGCATCCTGTCTGTTCACTTTTTACAGTGCTTCCCTCCAGACGTCGACGTCTTCATAATCCAGTCGATGACCAGGAAAAGAGAGGTGATAGTAAGCAACCTTGCCTGAAACCAGTCTTCACCTCGAACGAGTTTTTCAGCTGTCCTCATTGCACAATTTCGCAGCTTAATCCACTGATTCCAAGCACCTCCAGGTTGTAACTTTTCACTTCTGCAGTAACTTGGAATAGTCTTCCGGTCCTCCATAATGTCCGAACGTTCCACGTACCTAAAAGAATGGTTTCTGTGGTTGTGAGGAAGGGCATCGGCCTTGTGACTTCCGAAGGAATTCGGCTTTCATCTTCAGACGTCGTTACTCCTCTGAAAGGGGACCTTCTAACTGCCAGGGCAGAGTTAAAATGGTTTGAATTATGTTTTCTGGTTAGCATTTTTTAGCGAGTTTTATATGGGATGGGGCCGCCAACCCTATGCCTAACTCTCTCTCCCTTTATCCGGACCGACACCAGCGCCAGAGTGGCTCCAGGCAGAGTAAGCGTGAACACACATTTACCATACTATATAGTCAAGCATCTATAATCCTTTATAAGATGTGAGAAAAATCAGTTTCATTAGTTATTCGCGCTTCAGTTGATGAAGCTGTTACTTGATATATCATGTACACCATCAGCTTCGTAAACTGTACGTTTTGTTTCATGTGTTCGATTCAAGATAACTTGACTCATTGGATTTTTTCGTTTCTTGTTTCGCATGAACATTCAACTGGCCATTGACTGCTAATTTCTCCAACTGGTAGCCTATACAGTAAACTAAATTGAGAAAAATAGGTTTCAAAGTTTTCCTAATGCCAACAGTATAAATTTCTAAATGCTACTTTTAGAAAAGATTCGTATCTCATAAATGAATCAACCTTTGCTGAAGTGATAGAAAATCAATTATCAACTAGTGCTATATTTTATTTTGTAGTACTAAATGAAATCAATCCGCTAAAATCCGATTTATATTATATGGTGTGTACCAATATGTTGAGCCCATAAGGCTTGTTCCAGCCTTTTGAACAGATTAACTAATCCATTCTTCTCAAAGTCATTATCCACATGTCTTTTGATCTTGTCGATTATTCACTCACCCTTGGTTGTTTTTATTTGAGTGTGTATGTGGACATGCTTACTTCGCTTGACACATTTTCAGCTTATTTTTGTCTGCCGATTAAATACTTAGTTGTACCTCATTGCATGTCTATTTGCTCACATGTCTATTTGCGTGAACGATTGCATGTAAGAAATTCATCCGCAAAACCTTATTTGGCTTCTTATTACCCAAATCGCATAAGCTAGGTTCGCCTAAGTATGTGCGGAATTCGAAAGGATGACTCAAATCATAGCACTAAAAACTTTTCGAGAGATTCATCTTAATCGTTTCTTGATATTGGCTTATAGTCCTCTGTTAGTGAATAAAATCCTTGTATAAACATATACAAGTAATAGTAATGATAAAATTATGGTTCATCCACGATGTAAGGTATTTTTTGACAAATTTGAAACTTATCACTGATTAAATGTTGTTTGATACATTGATACATTGAAATGTGATCTTTATATTAGTACTATTGCTAATATTCCGCTTATTAAACCATATATAAACTCATCGGTCACTTCTTTCTCCTCTTAGAATTACGTCTTAAGTACAATAGATTATTAAGTCTCATTCATTATGTTAGTAAGTTTAGTTAGTACTTGTATAAAACTTACGAAAAGGTACTTTAAAGCCCCATTTTCTTTTTTGTAAATGAGATCAAATACATCTCTTTTTTTCTCATTGTACTTTTTAATGAAATATTATAATTTGTATCAAGTTTATTCTTCCCCGATATGATAGCGTTGGTGAAGTTTTAATTAATATGACTTTCGACATATCTTAAAATCTCTTGTTTTTAAAATGTTCATTTTTTTTATTTTCCCAACGTTAAAGTTGCCAATGCAGTTCCTGTATATGTGAATCATTCTGCATCGGGTACTTTGGGTGAATTGATGACATCTTCAAGTGCTGGATATGTGCCATCTTTTTCAATACCATCAAGTGTAATTCCTGTGTCATGTAATTCTCAACAAATTCTTAATCATTACATACCACCTGGTCATGGTTCAGATGAAACAAGCGGCATTCTTTCAGATTCTGAAGGTAGTACAAGTTTTACAGCCGGCACTCAAACAAATGCATTTTTTCTATCCCATTCATTTTATCCAACTTCTGGTAGTTCTGATGTACAAGTAATACAACCGGTCATTGGTGTTAGTAGTAATAATAATAATAGTAGTATAGCTAATTCCACAGGTTCCACATTGTTCAAGTCGTTGACATCACAAGTAAGTGAACAATGCATAATGTCAGTTGTAGATTACTAATAATTCTTATTCTTAGTCTTATTTTCTACTGTTAGTTGTTTTTTTTTCATACATAACTACTTGTCATTAATAAATTACATTTCATAATCAAAATGTCTGATTTTTTTGCATTTTAAGTAATTTAAAGTGATTATTTTTTACAAATACTGACTTTTAAGTGTAATTTTTAATGAATTGTATTAATATTGAAAAAATTTCATGACGAAATGTACTACTTATATTATTTTGAATTTCTGTTTAAAATCAAGGCTTATTAAATAGAAAGTTACTGTAATCTTATAGATTGGGAAACTTTATCTGGTAATATTGAACGTGTAACATTTGCAAATTTAGTTTTCAAAAGATAATTCTCCCTAATTCTTAAATATTTAGAGTTTATTCCTTGAAGAAGTCATGCTTCTGCTTTACTGACGAGTTCAATATTAGAACAAACGTATGATCAACTACTTTCGGGCTTTTTATGTTTATCTAGTTAGATTCGGTTAATGATATGGACTGCCTTAAAATTGAATTATAAACACATACCTCTTATAGGAATCACGTATAACCAGTTGTTGTAATATAGATCCGTTTTATATTAATAATATGTTTCAGAAGACAGTTTCAAGATGACTTAATAAATTTATAGTTTATTGTTTGCTTAATAAAGATTAGGTGTCGATGAAATAAAGTGATAGAATTAATAACTTCTTATCGAGTATGAAAAAATTAGGTCACGACAGAATGAATAACTTGAAGGCCTAATTTTGCTGATATGTGATTTATTTTTATAAACTCATTATAGCTTGTTATGATCACTTCAATTATATGTAACGTGGAATATTTAGAATTAATTAATCTGAATTGTAAAACTAGTACAAATATCTTGACAAAATGAGATTACGCAATTTTAAAAGACTACAATTCTAAAGAAAACCTAGGATTAAAACCAGTTTTTTCGAATTTATGAGTTAATTGCTTATCCACTGTAATTTCTTTTATGCGGACGTGTCATGTGATTGTGAGTAATGTAATCACTTACATTTCGTCAGACTATTTTTTTCTTTTTACTAAGCGTAAATGAGGTTAGTTTTGTATTTGGGCTTGTTTGAAACGAGGTCACAATAACGTGGAACTAGTCATGCTATATTATTGCTCTAATCGATCCTTTCTCATAAGTTTTATCATCGATCCACATTCGCAAATAGAGTTTATCGGTCAGGGTAACGTTAGATCATTCAACCGTACAAACTACACTAATGTATGTTGTGGTTTGGAAAGCTTTTTGCCAGTTTGTTGAGAATGTCTACTTCTTATGTCGGATTCATACATATATAATCAGAACTGTGAGATTATTAATATTTCAGCCATACTGTATTCCTATCTCTTCTCTAGAATAGTATTGTTCTTGAGTTGATATAGTGTCTAAATGCTTAGGTTGAACCTTGTATATGTAAAGTTGACTATCTACCATCACAGAAGCCTTGTATGATAAGGTAGTGAAAATGTAAGGATATATGAAGTATTTTTTTACATTTCACTTTTCTTTTGAACTAAAATTGACTTTTTTCAAATCGTTCTTCATTGCCTTTCCAAAAATGTGCTTTCAATTGTTTAAAGATTACAAATACATCTGTATCAACAATTCTGCCATTAACTGTTCTAACTGAAAGATCTAGTTCAATTGGTGCAACTTATATGTCTACTGATTTGATTGCTGAAATGGCCTCTTGTCCACAGCATAGTTATTTATTTAGGCAACCAACTTCTGCTGCAGAAACCACAATTTCTTTGAACACAGTGTCTATGGGGACTACATTACCAACGCATGAAATCTTTTCTACTGCAACTGTAACAACAACGACAACAGCAATAACCAGTGCCTCCACAACAACCGAATCAGTTACTAGTAAGACATTTTTAAGTATCTGAATCCTGACTGGGGATTCTTCAAATATTTCAGTTTATTGTTATGTTTTCTAGTATATTTAGCGCATTCAAATGAATAAAACAAAAGGATGGGAAATAGTTATACACACTATTCTTTTTCCGCCATGAAGTTGTTTATCTTTTTAGACGGAGTTGAATTGATGCAGTCGAGTGTTGTCTAAGAATAGATTATTAAGGAATCAACGGTTTCCTTAAGATTTCATCTTTATTTCAACAATTAATATCATCCTTAGGTCTAAAGCAAGTTTGTGTACGTGTCTATCTTTCATAAGTCTACTATTAACTTCTGTCATGGTTAAAAAATATTTATGCTTGATAAGTAATCGTTGTATCTACAATTTGTTGCACATTGGAATCCTCAATCAATCATTGTTAGACCACCATTAGAAATCTGGAAGCACTGGACGGCCGTCAAGCCTTGAGATAGGCCTCATCAGCATACGCATCCATCACTCCTGCACCTCTCTGGATTCGAACCTAGGACCTTCGGCCTTGCACTCGAACGCCTAACGTCTGGACCATTTGGCCAGCATTTAACGGTGTTAATGTCTAACTCTGATCAATCTACAGATTTTGCACGACCTCACCCATTTATGTTTGGTAGTTACTGCCTACACCCGACAGGGTTGAACTCCACTGGTCAAGTCTTCTCACTAGAACTCCATTTTCAATGTGTAACAGGCTTTAATCTCCCTTAGTTTGAGTGAGCTGATCATTTATAGGTTTACAAATAATGATCAAGAATTGCACTATATTAATAATGTATTCAATACCATTCTAACTTTTAAGAAAAACACTTTCAGCATAATGCATTTACATTTATGTAGGATAGTTTTTGAGCAGTTTCTCTTTATTCTCAGTGATATATATAAACTGATTTGAACATATTCTTCTTTGATTTGACTGTTTTCTAAAATTTATTTTTTTTAATAACAATGCAAACTAAAAAAGGCTGTACAACTACTAGTTCAGTTGTTGGCAGTAACTCGACCAATTCATCACAACCAATTGTTGAAACTAATGAATTTAGTGATTTATCTAATGAATCAAGCATTAAATTAAATACAGAAAAGAAATTAGGACATATCGCCAAAGACAATCTAGACAAATTTGATAATGATGCTAATAAACGATATGTAAACAAAGAGCATCATCCTTCAACAAGTCAAAAGGTAGGCAAATTGTTCTTATCTCTTTTCCCAGCTTATTTCTGTATCTTTTTATTTAATGTAATGTTTTGAGTATGTACTTCATACTATGAAATTGCAAAATAGTTTTTTTTTGAGACAGGAAGCAGGCTCTATGCAACTTACATTTATCTTCATTTATACTGTGTCAAAAATATTCGCGAAGTATATGCATATGCATAACTCTAAGAATGTTGATAAATATTACTATAATTGAAGGAAGAGTATCTTCTGACAATATAGATTACCTTCAATATCGAAACAATATTAGTCTAAGCATGAAATACCAAATTTCAAACATTCCGGTATATTGGGTGCCTAGTTTGCATTTTCTTCCAATCTTAGCGTATGAAACGGTTTTCGGTATTCGATTATCTTTGTTTCCAAACAATTGTTTATGGTCGATGTTGAAATGTACATGGCAATAAAGTCCAACGGCATAAGAATGAAGATACCGTAGATTATCATTTTTTAATGAGTGATTTCATTTTCAGTCACTACTAGTACTGTGGTAGGTTCAATTTACTCATGATTCTTGTTATGTTTGAATGCTAAACTCTTCTTCGTAATTCATATACTGAACAAGAGATGAATCAAGCTTTTGAGTTTGCAAATTAATATTGTCGAATAATGGAATCTTAGATTATTAAATTTGGATTTTGTGAACTAAGTCTTACCGATTGAACATCTGATTACTCTCTAATCTACTTTTAAATGAGATCTTGAAACGATCCTGCTGTACTGCTTTTTTTACTACAATTTTTCGATGAATAAAAATAAAGTCCTAGTTTTGTTTTCATTCTTACTAAAGCCATGGAATTTATCCTGTCTTAATAATCCTTTACAATATTGGTCCCTTGTCCTATCTAATCTTTTTTAGTTTAATATGATCAGTATACCCAAATCTATTGAATTAATGAAGTCTAGTTTTTTCAATATACCTATGTATATGACATCAGTTGTTTTAGCGAGTTATTGTTGTTATTCTTTTTAAAAAAAAATTTTCTGTTCGTAATTTTACTTGCAAAAAAAAACTAGTTGATTTATCTTTAATAAATGAAATTGTGAACTTAGATGTTTGACATTTGATCTACAAATAACTTGCCAATGATTCGTCTATTTTATATGAATATTTGGAAATATTTACAGCGTATCTTGTTTGTTGATATCAATTTTATTCTATTTTATTGTTTTTTTATTGCTTTCCAACTATAAGTCTTGTCCGAATCCACCAAAACGAAGTGTAAGCCTGACAAGTAAACAATCTCAAAGAAGCATCAATAATCCCGATGATATCCAAAATGGAACAGAAACTGATGAAGTCAATAACGAACCAGTATGTGACTTAAGCTTATTTTACTACCAAATATTCCTTAGTTACTGGAGTATTAAACAGTGATGTTAATTTTATCAGGTATCAAGTAGTACCAAACAATATCGTTAAGTTGTTTCATATATTTCAATCAGCACTAATATAGAATTCATTTACACAAGTCGATCATTCATGTTTTATTGTATCAGCTTAGTAAATTAACAATGAAAAATTTTAATCTATATTCCATTAAATAATACCAGTCGTATGACTGGTATTTTCATTGTTGGTTTATAAGGCATCAGTACAAATATCAACCCCATAACAGATGCATGTTTATTCAATTGGTTAATTCTTGAGACGATTTACTTGTTCAGATCCGAAAAGAAACAGTTATTCAATTAACTTTTAGTTAAAAATGAACAAAAAATATTCTTAAAACTGGCGCATCAATTGGTATAACTAGAAAGTAGCAAATAAACAGGCATAATCAACATAAACGGCTATATCTTTGAAAGAAAATTGATGTGAAGCAATGAAATAAAGTGAAAGTAAATACTTTCTTAGGTTTAAACACCTTTAGCGCAAAAATGCAGACAGTAAGTGAAATGAATCTTAACGAAACGTTTAGATAATTGCTATGGTTTATCAGTTTACAGTACATTTAAATCCTGTCTGTTAATTCTTTGGATAATGATTACAACTACCTTTTAATCAACTACGTTTAACTTTTAGGTTTGTAGTATGGGCTTATAACCTGTGTAGAAGTCATTAAAATACTGAGTCTGCATACAGTGATTGATTGATGATTTCAAATGTGTAAAAACACAAATCTTCAAAGCTCTAACTGAAAATACTGCATACATTCGTCGATGCATTCCTTATTTATATTATGTCATAATCATAAATTTATATATGAATGAATTATTTCTATTACATTTTATTCTCTCTCTCTCTCTCCACTAGACTGAAGATATTAAACCAATTAAATCAAATCAAATGGATTTAATTACAGATATTACTGAAACAATACATGAATTGCATAGTGAAACTATGAATACAAACAAATCATATGATACAATTCATTCTGCAACACTTGGACGTCTTCCTTCATCATCATTATCATCATCTTCTAAATTAGAATTAGAATCTTTATTACCTGGTTCATCGGTAACTCTACCAACAAAATCATCCAATACATCAAATAATCCACGTTCTGCTTTAAAAAGTTCTGATAAAGTTGGTCCAAAAGTTAATAAACAGTAAGTAGTATACTTATTTGAATGATAAATATTGATATTGATTACTGGATTTACAATGAATTGTTTCTTTGATCAATAACAAGGTATGTATACGGAGAAAAAATTAATCTTTTCAATGTTTTACAACGTTAAAAATAATATAATCATCAAAGAATGTCGACGAGAAAATTTTGTTTATTCTTTGTCTTGATTTCAAATTTTTACTCACAAACGAATGAGATAACTTGAAATCGAAGCACTTGACTAACAGTTTTTACTTGGACATATACAGCCTTCAACAGAATTTTTATATCCCATAGATTTGAAATAAAAGTGTTAGAGTTGTTACATTATCATGAAGAAGCTAAATGTTGAACTGAGTGGAGTTGGACATAAAAATGTTGGATGTCTGCTTAGTGGCCTAGAGGATGAGAATTGGCGCAGCAGACCGACTCTCCTGGGTTCGCTTCTCATGCATAACGTCGTCGGCGTGCACTGCTAAGCAGTCTTATCCTACGAACAAACGGCCGTACAAGTCTTACCAGGCTTTAATTGGTGGTCTGACTTAGTTCGGTATTGCGATTTCAATGAAATAAGGAATAAGATTATGTATTGAATTAGACTTGATTTTCATGCAGTGTACTTTTGTATCGTATTAAATAATTCTGTCCATTTGACTTTAAAAGTAATTGAGGGTAATGTTGTTTAGCACAATATTTATTTGTATTAAGTGTAGGCAAAGATGGTTCAATTCGAAAAAATTCTTTTACTAAAAGTCGGTATAGTCAAATCCGTATATAAATGATTTCGTTCGAATGATTAATATTCTTCTTGAGTCTCTATCAACAAATCTTTTTCACAAGCTTATATTTCTATCGCTATTTAGCGGGTAGGAAAGAAGAGTATAAACCATAGTTTTATGCACTGTCACTGAAGTCGAAGTTACGAATCATTCGCTTAATGCATAAATGCATCAGCTGGTGACAAGGTTGGCGAAATATCGATTCTTCCAAAGTGGAATCATTCCTTGAGCAGCAGTTTAAACTGATTTAGATGCCTACAAACACGGAAATCACTTTCAACTACTTCATTAAATGCACATACTCTGTCAACTTCGGTGCTATTGTTAACATGAAAGTATAGATTAACCAACAATCAGTCTCTAACATTAGATCTGATGCTTGATTCTGACGAAATAAGAAATTTTTTAAAAATTAAAATTTACGGAGCAAGTTATTACATAAAATGTACGATTATTGTGTCTTTAATTGGATCCAGTTGGATTTAAATTAATTAATAAACTGTTAGTGATAGCGATTTCATGAACTACTTCTTCATAACTATGATCATTCTGTGTAAGATGATAATGTAGGGGGGGGATATAATTTTTTAAATAACAATATTACCATTTTCTCAAGTTTTGAACTCCTTTTTTAAATAATTTATTCAAATGAATATTGGGTTCTGTTAGGATATTCATCCAATATCATAAGATAATTGTTTGTAAGTCTAATTCTATTGGTCATTTCCTATTGGTCGTCATAACTGTCAATGTCAAAGACTTCAATGATGTTTCCTATTCGACCTCACTGTATAAATACGCATTATCTGTAACGTTTTATGAGCCAGACCCGGATCCTAAGTCCGGGATCTTTTTCTTCTTCTGGAATCAGACCTCGTACTTTCTAGATGCTTGTAGAATACATATTCTACTTCATATCAAGTCTTCTTCTTTTACTCAATGGGGGCTGGGGACAATCGGATTAGAGTAGCTTATTGTGTCGCCGGATCCTCGATCCTCTTTCTCGTTTTCCGACTGAGGTAAACGCGTACTAATTCAAGCATATCAAATTGACGTGTTTAGGTGCAGTCTCTTTATCATCTGGATTAAATTATATATATATATATATATATATATATATATATATATATATATATATATATATAATATGCTCACTTATTTTTATTGCCTAATTGATTCACTATTGCCCGATAACTTTGAATAAACCAAAAAAAAACGAAGTTATGTTTGTTGTTAAAGTGTTTTCTGTTCAGATTTAGCTGATGGGTTTTTTTTCTTGATCAATTTGATAGCATCATTATTATTACTACTACGACTAATAAATTTTATGAATAATAATACGAACAGCAGTAATAATAATAGTGGCTATTTCGACAACATATATGAAGCATAGAGCAAAGTCGATGACCTAGATCATAAACCATTTTCTTGTATGCAACATACAATCACACACACACACACACACACATTTATGTATTCGATTAATTGAGTTGTAGGTTAAAAATAATTTCTGTTTGAACCAAAAATTCTAAATAACTTCTTGATTTATGATTTTGTATTCTTGTTTTTTTGTCTACTTGCTCCAATTATTACTGACCTAATTTGTTTTGGGAATGAAATGAGATGGCGGTGGGTGGAAAGAATTTTTTTTCATATTGATCAATACAACTCATTATTTTTTTAAGTGGCTGAATATAAGTAGACGGGCAGTAGTATATTTTGTATGCCCCTCAATGAGTCTTGTTTTTATTGTTGTCGGTTTATACAATTCCTTGTGTATTTAGACTTAATTTAATTTTTGTAATGATCACAAGAGTTATCGAATTAACTAATATTATTCTACTGCCGACTTATTATGATTATTTCTAGTCAACGCTTAATTTCTGCCAAACCATTGATTTAAATATTGGCACTTATATATTCAATTAGAGTTATGGAGATTAGTAGTGATGTTACACATCTGAAATCATAAATCAGTTATTCTTAGACCACCATTAGAAACCTGGAATCACTGGAACGCCGTTTCGTCCTGGTATGGGACTCGTCATCAGTGCGCATCCACGAATCCTACACCTTGCAGGATTCGAACCTAGGACCTTCGGTCTTGCGCGCGAACGCCTAACCTCTAGACCACCGGGCCGGCATCCAACGGTGTTCTACAGTCTACAGATTTTTCACGACCTCCCCCATTTGTCTTTCATAGTTACTGCTTACAACCGACAAGGTTAAACTCCACTGGTCACATCTCACTAGATCTCCGAGAATTTCCTCATGAAGCTAGTCACTAGTGAGCACATATTACGATATTTTCAATATATTTTCATATGAATCACTACCTTATATGGAACACTGATTTAATTCAGTGTATTCTAGTGAAAATGTGTTGTAGTGGAAAATGATCAGATCGACAAGTAGTATCTTGTGTTCATTCTGGATAAACATCAGATTAAAGAAGCTATCAAATGAAGAAAAAGAAAGATGCAAATTATTAAGACTTATACACCATTCTTTGTTGTCATACTTTATGAATGAATTTCATAATATAGACTCTCCCTAAGACGAATCTTTAACCGGTGTAATCATTTATATATCGACTTTGAAAAAATTCAATAATCAAGGTTAAATTAAAGCATTTTTAGTAAATTTTAATATTTAACATATAACTTGAACTGTTTTTAATGGTTAACATATAACATATTGCTAATATATATGACAAACTAAAAGAAAACAGATAGTTTTAAACAGTCAACACTAAATTTTCAATGAAAAATAACAGACGATATCGTAAGATAGATTTGTTTTTTTTTCTAAATGAGATCTTTCATTTATTTTGCTGAATTTCGCTTGATCAGGTTTCTGAATTCATTATAAATATATTTTTAATTCTATAATGAACGTATATATATATTTATATATTCTTCATATAGATGAAAGAATACAATTTTGTTCTAGCATCTATAAAATTAATCAACTTTTTTAACTGCTTGTAGTTTTTATATACTAATATTTCATTGTATCTTTCAAATAATAATATTGTTGTATGTACTTAATGAAAGATTATTACTTTCAAATCATTTACTGAACAGATCATTTTCATTGAGTTAATATATCTATTTGTTAAGATTATACAAGATTATAAATTATTAATTTAATCATAATTAATATACATAAGATATCTATCCATATTGGTGAAATGAAATTTTTTTCATAAATTGGTTTTTTTTTCTAATATACGTTTTCCTGTTAGCAAGTTAACAGATTAAGATGACGGGTCAGTAGATGAAGTAATGAGGTGATTCGGACATGTGGTACATATGCCCAACCACTGACTGCCCCGACGAGCAATGTTTTGTGATGTAGGAATAGGTTGGAAGAAAGCTAGGGGCGGCCAAAACAAAACATCGCACAAATCCATGAAGTCACTCACAACTGGACTGAGCCATTAGTCGGTGCAGACTACCTGGCTGCAGTCCATGAGATAATCATGACTAGTGGTTAGCTACTTTAAATGACATTGCTCAAAACCGTTTGCGATGGTGCAGATGCATTATTTTTTTATCTTCTCTCAACTTTTAATCTTCTGAATTCTTCATGATCTTTTCTTTCTTAGTAAATATATTTCACTGAGATTTGCTTCTCGAATCATAGCGTCGATCCCTTAAATTTTCGACTTCCGCCATTATTACTACTGCCTCTACCATTATGGGATTTGAATTGACAATCCGATCTCTCTGTGCTAATGTGATATGACAGGTTAAAGTGATATACGTATGTACCAAGTTGCATCTTTTGACCGACTGACTGAGATTAATAAAAAGCACAAAAAATATTTCAAATCTATGCTCAAAAATTTAATATTATCCATTCGTATATAAACAATTATAATTTTCACATCTACTCTTTTGAATTGATCTTCAGTTTACGCTTCACTACTCTTACAATCATTGTATTAATACTGATGCTGGCGATTGCTATCGCCAGTCCAAATGACAATGGATCACTAAATAAAGCTAAATCTAAAACTGAAGAGTCTGCTTTCTTTCAAGCAAATGATCAATCAGTGAAAATGGTGAGATATAATGTGATAAAAGCAAATATCTATCAGTCTGTTGATAAAACTGCTTCGATTGATGTCAATTCTTCTAATAAAATGTCTAAAAGTTCTAACAAACAGTCTAAAACTAAACTGAAGAATAATTTACCAGAAACAAACGACAATAATTTGAAGCCAAATTCAGCGTCTCAATTTGTACGTGTAACAATTCGGTTACCGAAAAAAATGATACCAACTGGTGAACAAAATCAGGATGAATATTCTAATCTAAACAGAAATAAGAAACATTCCAATTTGACTCCTCAAACTATACAATTATGGTTGAATCAATCAAGTGGGACAGAAGTTCGTATTGCTGAACCAATTAAACGGAATTCAATTCATATCTACGGTAGTTATATCTATTTATCAAAAAAAAACTTTAATATGTTTTTAAAATTTCCTGTGTAAACATTTATTCAGGTTATGAATTGTGCAGAAGATTTTATTGAAGCCTCTGACTACATGATTAAGTTAGGCATAAAACCTGGCAATTCGAATTACAAGATTTGTCTAAAATTTGAGACCATCAATACGAAAATACGTGCAGTAAGTTATCGAACATCAGTTGACAAAGTGCCAACAATTTTCTATCGCTTAGCATACAGTCTAACAATAGGTAATTGTTGGAGTGAATCTATGAAGTTCATTACAACATTCGATAACATAAATAATAGCTGAAATCTATATCGAAAGCACAACGGTTGTCGATAATTGAAACGAAAACAAAGAGCACTAAAAGTGGAAACTATTTCGAGAAATTAAATGCCAGAAGACTACAGTAAAACCCGAGAAAGTTAATAAAAATTTTGAGAAAGTACAGTTGCAATGACACACAATACATATCACAAGCTTAGATAAATAGAAATATTACACGATTCCGAATGAACATTACAAACCGTATGTCGAAAAAGTTATTAGACTTGAAACTGGTTACTAAAATATTAGTGAGTAGGATAATAACGAACAAAAAAATTGGATGGGTAAGTGATGAAGATGAAAAGCACAGACAGAACACTATAACTCCTAACAACTCCCATCCTATTTATTTAAAATATCCGTGTTATAGTTGGGGAGACAATAGTTTACGAACAAACCAATCATATTTAAGATGGCACGTCTTGGATTTTGGCGCGAAATTCATCCATCCATATGGTTCAATAACGTTTTTGCTTTACAATTGATATCAGTTCTTGATGAAAACCCCTAACTCAAATTCCTAATGTTTACATCTAGCCCGAAATCTTATTCCCAATTCCTTAGAATAATATTCTCTAACCCTCTGTTAAGCCTAGTAATTAAGTAAATATTCTCAAGGTCACTGGCATCTCCCAGAGGTCGTTCATCACCAATAGTGTCAGCTCCCAAGTTATTATTAAAGCGTCTAAAATGTTTTGGTGCCAACAGTTGAATACTATTACTATAAACATTTGATATAAGTGTTAGGCAGAGATGGATAGTGACTAGCTGTAGAGAATCCAGCCCGCGTGTTTTATCCAACTTGAGACTCGTCAGTTTCTTGACTAAGAGCAGTTCTTATAAAAATATGTTAACAAATATCCCACTAGTTTATTGCCGAATAAAATTACATACCTCGTGACTTAAATAGTTTACCCGATAAAATTTCCTTATCTCACTTGAAATATAGATGTAGTGGATACTCGACATATGCTCGGCACACGAATTTGTCGTCAACGGTATGCTTGTGAACATTCATGTGATCCAGGTGCTGGACATGCATGCATTTGTCAACGTGGATATCGTTTGGCCGGACCAAAAGATCGAGCACGTTTAGCATCTATTGGAGATCGTAAGTAAATCCTTTTTTACATCATAATATTGAACAACTTATTTCTATATATCATCTGTTTGTTACTTGTTTAGGTATCTATGCCGATTTCAACGTATGTAAATACAGTGATTAAGCCATGAGTTTCAAATTAAACAAATCAAATAGGATATTAGACCAGTCAACACCTTCTGTATACTTTGATAGTTAATAGATATAATTTGGAAAACATCTGAGTATATATATTTCTTACATCGTCAGATGATATTGGTAAGTGAGAGAAGCCAAATAGCATTCCGTTGGATGAGTTTATTTCAATCAGTCATTCGTACAGACAAACATGAGAATACAGAGCATTCAAGTAAAGCGAAGCTAAGTGGAGGAGGTGAGCGAGCCAACTCCATGTAATGAGTAATGACTAAGTATTTATAGTCAGACTGAAATAAGCTAGAGACGTGCGACAAGCGAAGTAAGCGGCTCACACACACTTGAATAATAACAACCAATTTAAAAGCAAATAGTTGGCTAGGTTGGAAGACGTGTGAATAGTCACTCGACAGGGATGGATTGATTGAACTGTCCAAAGGCTGTGACAAGCCCTGTGCGCTCGACACAGAGGTACGCACACTACACCGTACTTCATTAACAGAGAAATATATAATTGTTATGGGAAATAGAAGTAGTAACAGTATTAGTGGTAGTTTAGAGCATGGTTTCAGGAGACCAGGATTAATATTTAATGGAATGAAACCATTAGCATCAGTGGTGCAAGCTGATGAAAGAAGGATTATTTCCTCACACTGCTATACTGCTACATAGAGCTGAAGTTTTCCTATAAGACCAGACGTTCGCTGTGAATATTTTGAATGGCTTGGGAAAGTATTTCTAATAGTCCATATAAAAATTAGCAGGTTGATCGATTTCATTGATACTAGTGGTTGTTTTGCAACATTCCGGAGGGCTAATATCATTGGGGTGCTGTATTGCATTTCACCGTTGCTAATAACAATGAGTTTGACAGACATGTAAGCGGAATGGATCAGATTAACCTTTTCATGCGGTACATATTGATGGACGTGATCATAGATCGCAAATAATCACTATATATGTACTAGTGTGTATAAATGTGGTGTGAATGGTTCACCACGGTGTCATATACCTCTGTATGGTTGTACCACTGGATTGATCAAAGCTGTTCACATTAAAATGTTAACAGATGGGCAGTCTCCTTGATTCTCCTAAAACCCAAAGCAAGAATACCCTTGCCAATAGAGAGTGAATTTATATAAAATAACTGTGGAAGATTTGATATAAATTACACTTGCAAGCTAGCATTAAGGATTGCATATGGGATTATAAATCTTATTGAATTTTAGCGCGTTTTTAATTTATTTCCTTTACTTTATCTAACATTACTATTGATTAAGAAATATTATATACAAATCTATTTCTATATATAAGTAATAATTTTTTTGAAGGTATCGGTAATATGGCATTGGAGAATGTACAAGGTCGAATATGTTTAGACATTGATGAATGTGATAAACCTTCTTTACGTCGAGAATGTGCACGTTTAGGAGGAGTTTGTACAAATCGTCCTGGTGATTATGCTTGCCTATGTCCAACTGGTCAACCATGTATTAGTAAGTGTATAATCATTTATTCGTTTAATTAATTATTTATGTTCCCGATGATTTCTTTTCTTTAAAGATATTTCAGAAAGGTGAAATCTAACTTTTATGTTCGTCACTAGGTACGCTTGAAGCTATTACGAGTTCACCTTAGTCGATAAGCGCGAACGAGACAATTATTAGCGTCCAGGTAGGCTACCTTGAATCCCAAGCGGTAAAACAGAAGTCTTGGTAAGCGTAGAAAGTATTCTCTACTAACATGCAGCAAGCACAATGCAATCAACCACACAACTCTCGTTTAATTATACATCATATAAACCTCCTTCGGACAGTCACAAAAATAGCACACTAAAATACACAGCAGCCAATCACAGTCATGGATTTTCCTGGTGGGAAATGAAATCTCAAGGTTATCTGTTCAGCCCATGCTCGCAAACGTGAAATCCAAAATAAGACATTTATCAAGCAAGTTTTGGTGATCTAACATCCTCAACACTGTCTTTAATAATTATGGTTTCCATATCAGTATATGTGTACATTTACTGAATTATATATTTTGTTTATAATTAAAAAAATTAATGACATCATTGATAATTTTTATGATAATAACATGTTTATTAAATTGTCATGCGTAACAAACTAAATGATTTTCATCGTCTTGTTCCTATTTTTCAATTTGAAGCTTGTGATACTCAGTGTCCTAAAGGTTATTGGATGTCTGGTATTTGTGGAAGGAATCAATCAGTCGAATGTAAACGTGAGTTCAAACAATGAAAATAAGTTTGCATAATAGACTGTAGCTTGCAACACTCAGTTCACAAATGCCTTGGTCTCAATGCATTAGACTCAGTATTCTGAGAGCTCACTCTGTTTATTATTATGTTAGATCAAATGAAATCAGACGGAAAAATTGACCAAACAAAAGTTATGATGTTCACACAAATGGGTCAGAAGTTATCATGCTGATGTAATTGGAGTTTTTACAACACTTAATTAATTAGTTTAGAATTGATGCGTATTAAAAAGATTCAAGTCTTTGCAAGTTTACAATTCTAAATTTTTAATCCAAAATATACAAATTCCATCCAGATTGACGTCCAAAAGATAAATGGCACTAGGAAGCAAATGACAACGTAGGTAGATGCGAAATGACATTGATATTAGAACAACACATGTAAGCAAACAATATTGTTTTCGATCAGATAGTCATCAGGCTTTACTCTAATATATGAATATTTATTTGAAAATGTTAAACCAATCAAGGCGATTTGAGTCAATAATCTCATTGAAATGAAATAGATTACGTCACAATATTGTGAGCTTATATGTGTTGTTCTAATTTTCACAATGGGAATCTTTAACATTGATATTAATCAGAACGAATTATTTGAAAATATGCTATATGTCTGAATGGTAATCTCACCATACAAAATGATTGTTAGTCTTCAACGATGATGCTAAAGCAGCTGATTCACTAACCAGTACCAGTTCATGACCACAGATGCCTTCAAGTTCAGTCAATTTTTACAAACTAACTAATTAGTAAAGAATTTACTTCTCTAAAGAGATCATCGTTCACAAATTAGATAACTAATGACTATGGTCGTATGCTCAGTCCTTATTATTATTCACTTGCTTCGTAAGAAACAATATTCTTCAGTCTTAAAAGGAGTAATATAAGCCCAAAGGATTCTAACCCCAAATCACTAGATTTCATTGGTTATAAAGGATATCACTAACTTTTTCAGGTTGTAATAAATTCATGAAACCTGAACATTTACGTCGGATGATCACTCATGTCAGCTGATCAAAACTTTCATGTTTCATGTTGTTCATCAAATCACTGATATTTACTTGTTCTATAACTAACTATTTAAATAAAATATTTGAAATGGTATCAAATTCAAGTAATTTTACTACTTTTACATTTTTTTTCTACTTTAAAGGTTGTTCAGTTTCATGTCCACCAGGAATGTATGAATACAAACCATGTACACAACATTCGGATAGAGTATGCCGAGGTAATTGAGTGATATATTTTAAAAACTGATATTTTTCAGGTTTTTTTCTTTCTCGATAATTTTCTTCTTACTCTGGATTATCTATTCATTTCTCAGCTAGTTACGTGAAATGATAAGAATACTGTTAATATAGGGCTACCTGAAAAAAGACACAGCTCTTTCCAATGGATGCAGAGAAAAACTTTATCAATCTTTTAAAAAGCTTACTAACTCTGATCTTCCCACTTTATTCAGTGTGTCATTTACAAAATTCGTGTACACACTATTCTGTTAGTTCCATAAAGTAGATTATATGTACAGAAATCTGTTTTAATGATGCAATTCAACAAAACTAACCACAGAATGTTTACTCTTTCCATTTTTATTCACACTCGGATATTTCAAACATGAAAAGTGGTCACCAATTTTCTAGAATCATATACGCTTTTCACTAACCAATTAAAAGCCAGACAACTGGTTAATATGCAATTCGTAAAATATTAGATCACTATTAAAAACCTGGAAGCACTGGACAGTCGTTTCGTCCTAATATGGAACTCACCAACAGCGGTCATCCACGAACCCAGTTGGAACCCACGACCTTCAGTCTCGTGACGGAACGTTAAACCTCGAGACCACTGAGCCGGCATCTAATGGTGTCGGTGTCTAATTTGGATCAGTCCACGGTCTTGTACCACCTCATCCACTGTGTTTGGTGGGCACTGATTCACGGTGGACACAGTTGAACTCCACTGGTCGCGGCTTCTCACTAGAACTCTGAGAATTCCCTCACGAAACTAGTCACCAGGGTGCAAATGATAATCTTCATCATGCGCACTGCTGGTCATTTCCGTACCAAAAAGAAACGACCGTTCAGCGCTTCCAGGTTTTTAATGGTGTTCTAACATCGATCGATTCATCAATTCAATGAAACTCAACAATCTTTACAACCCTATAATAAAAATTCATAAAATAGTTAAGTAAATTTTGTTAGCATGCGAATTCCTGTTCATTGGAATCACTTAGCTTAATAGTATTATTTCTCAGTTAATTTATATTACTGAACTTTAACTGAAAAATTAGCAATACACTTCGTTTATCATTGTCTTCATTACTGATATTGATAATTAGTCTATTCAGCAGATATTAAACATTAGTAACTTTCATCCAAATAAAAATATTTTCATATTTCAAAATGATGTAATGTCTACAAAGCATCTCACACAAGTCTAATGGACCGATTTAATTTCGTAAATAAAATGATTTAACTCTGTTCCAATAATTGGTGAATTTTTAATTTTTTAATTTAATCGAACGACAGATTTATAGCCAAAAAATCTATGTCCAAAATATATCGCTAGTAGTTTAAAATCTTAATCCGAGACTTGTTATCTGCTACCTTTGACACATAAATATATTTAGGAGCAAAAAATAATCACTTATAGATTACTAACAATAACAACAATAATAGTATAAATTACTGCTGGCAGCTCTGTCTAAATTGACTTGACCAGTAGCTAAGAACATAAAATTTAGAAACTATGAAAAAGAGACAAAAATTAAATGAAGGTCTGAATTTGGAAGTAATTACTACAAATATTGAGTGGTTCCAGTTATGGCAAAAGTAAACTGAATATTCTAGTTTTATGCAAGTGTTTGAGAAAGCTACGTAATGGATGAAAAAGAATGTTCACTTCTCAAAATGAGTTAAGGTTAAATGTGTTACTGTGTATTAATAAGTAGTATAATGTTTAGTGCGAAAGATAATGGGATGGGGAGAAATATTGTTCAGAATAGCAATCAGTCTCAACAACGATATTAGTTCTCACGTGACTATTTTTGACTGACACGTTACCGTTTGACTATACCAATAAATAATGATCAAATATAACGTAGATTTTGTAAAATCTCATTTGAATTACCAAGGTAGGTAGAATGCCATGCATTCCTACTGTTTTAATTTGTGAATCTATGTCTAATACTCATGTCTTTCAAAGGTTTTGTTTCTTTTGAGTCATTCTAACATAATCTGTTGATCACTGTTTTCAGTTTCTATTAATTATGTAATATAAAGAAGATTTTCAGTGGTGTCAATAATCAGTACTTCCACTTATTTCTGACTTCAGTTTCTCTCACAGTATTTCACTTTCTTCTTAGGAACTTGAAGATTCCTCCTTCCATAATTTATGATTTAGACCATACTTCTTGCGAGCATGTTCCTAAAATTTTCATATTAAGTTATTAGTTATATTTTTAAAAAGTGAACTACATATAATTGTCTTTCTATGATGCGTTTATAACCACGTTCAGTTCGTTTTACTTTTGCATTAAACTAGCTTGTCGTCCATTGTGCATTTCGGAAGAATTTGAATTGTCACCTTGTAAAGGATCAAGTAATCGTATCTGTAAACGTAAGCAATTTTTGATGATATGGTTTATTTTTATTGTTGTATTTTGTGTAATATTGACTGTTAATTTTTTTTGATTTAGTGTCCCATCCATAGGTATAAGAAATTTGAGTTTACGTAAAAATAAATGTGCTCATTAGTCTCAGAAAAACACTTAGTTGAACAGCTGTAGGAACTTTTTAAGTCTATTATTTTGTATAAGACTTTAAGCTAAGCCTTTTCCACTGTTAATGAAGACTATTTTATCGACAGCAATTTTCAAGTTTTCATTCCTAAAACTTGCATTTATTCTTCCGTCAAAAAAGAAAATAAATGCATGTAGATCAGCTGCCTGTCAAAAATGTAATTAAACACTTAACTAATCAAGTCATTATTTTTAGTGCTCGTTTTCGAATTAAAACTGTTGTTAGTAAAAACTTGGATATGAATGTGCTATGCGTTACATGTGTCTTACATCCCACACTGTAAGATTTCTATGTGTTGAGATGAGTTCACGCTATGACCGATTAAGATTGATCAAATAAAGGCAGTTGTATAAAATCGACTATTCGATCTCGTAATTCCGGGTAATATAGCATTGCTCTATCATAAGCTATTCACTGGATACACTAAGCTGTTATAATAAAAATGTACTAGTGTTATATTTTATTCATGTATATTTCTTTCTATAGGTAAAGATCTTATACCTGAATTAGTTGTTCCGTACAAGAAAAATATTTGGTTTGAAAACCGCAAAAAAGTTCGAGAAGCTTCAGTCACATTACATCCAGATGATATTGGACGTTTACCATTGAATAAATCCATAATCATAGATCGTGGATCTGGTTATCAGGTTAATATACATTTATTTTTTTTTGTTTTTGATAGTTATTGTCAGTCTTTTTTGTATTCAAATGTGTTGAAGACTTTAGATCCCCAGAAATCGCTTGATATAAAGTCTTAATTCTGGATTTTATTCATGGGCTGATTAGTTGACCTTCAGATCGCATTTCCTACCAGGAGCATCCTTGGCTGTGATTGGTTGATGTGTTTTTTAGTATGCTATTTTTGTGACTCTCCTAAGAACGTTTCTTTGATGTGTAAATAAACACGATTTGTGTTCTTGAGATTGTTATATTTTCTGGGTGCTTGTATAATACACTTTCTACGGCATATCAAGACTTCTTCTTCAGTCAGTTGGAGCTACGGATCAGAGTAGCTGACTGCGTCACTGGGTCATTGTCTCGTTCTCGTTTATCGACTAAGGTGAACTCGTAATATTTTCAGGCAAATCGAGTGACGAGCATAACAAAATGGTCATCACTTTTTATTACCCTATCTGATGATGATGAAAAATAATATATATATATATTCTTACTAACTGTATATGTAATCATGAGATTGGCCACTTTTAATGTGTAAATAAAATGTTGGATACGAGTAGTGTTGGGAATGTGTATATACAGACTGACATTAAGAATGAATTGATGAATATAGTGTGGCTTTTGTTCACTGCTCGTTAAAAGTAAGAATCGGAATATATATAACTGCATACATTCAAGAATTGCATAAGTTCATACAACAGTTTTTATCAGTCTGTCATATCAGTCCATTTTACAAGTGTATCGTTGAATGTACATTAGATAGTGGCTGACAAGATTCGTATAATATGAGATATCTGAGAATAAAATTTAAAAATTTCTTCCCTTTTGATCTCTTTGTAGAAATCACTGGTGTGATTGGTTCTATTTACATTTCTTACAGCATGATCCGGACCATTCATTTAGTCATTGTTTAACTGATATCCATCTTTTTGTTACTATCTGATTAGTTAAGTTCCATAGATAATCGTTAATTTTCATTGGATAGTTAGCAACGAACCGGAGTAATAGACTTATTCACCTTAATCAAGCAAGCTTAGGTAAAGGAACTCTTCCTTGGCTCCTCACCGACGATACAAATCTCAAAATGTATACGAAACATCAGAGTCAAAGTCTACAGGAAATCATCGATTTGTGCTTAACAACCTATTTTCAATTGAGTAACAAAATCTACGGACACTGGTTGAAACAGACATGACTGACAACAAGGTGGATTAGAAATGATATTGCCGAGCTAATGTTGACATTTATTAGTTGGCTTAATCTGTTTGTTGCGAGTAAAAATAAGAAGTGATTGCATTCTAATCAGTTATTTTCTCTTAAAATATCATATATTAAACTACTGTTTCCATTGTGTTAATTATCAAAAACTAACTAGGGTCTTTCTTTTACATTCTTACCTCTGTTTCGGAAATTTTATCCTTTAATGTATTGCTACGCCTAGAAACTGATTAGGTTGTTAATTAGAATTATTTCCATTTTTCATTCATTTTTGTCTAATAGGTTCGTCTAGATTTTGATATACTCAATCTAATGCCAATTCTCGGTCCAGTTGATCATTCATCAGGAAATGATAATCATTTGTTTCTGTCAGCAGCATCAATTATGGATCAATCAGTGTTGGAACCGGATTCTTATAGATGGTCTTCTGCTACTGGTCACTATCATACAGTACATGCTTATTCATTGAAAGCAAATAATACACTGTCTAAATTATGTCCATACCCTGTCCCACCGTTATATCGTTTGGGAATGCGTGTCCATCGGGTAGGCGAAGTTGTTTCGGTTAACAGATTTATACTACTAAAATGAAATTCTTATCATTTCACTAAGAACAATAACGATAAAACACATTGATGGATAAAACATGTATCACTTAGCTATTTAAATAATTAAAAATTTAGTTAAATTAAAGTAACCCATTATATCTATGAATAAGAGTAAAGAAAATTCGGCAAAAATTATTTACTTAAGCTGTACATTTGCATTAATAGTTGTTTTATAAATGAGTCTATAGGAAAATAAACCATTATGCAATCTTCCTTTGATATCTGAAGTATCAGATCACTTTGTAATGCAATCACTTCTATCATTTTATAAACCCATATATTTAAGTCCTATCGATAAGTTTGTCTATAAAATGGTCGCTTATAATGACATGTATACTGAAGACCACTTGCAACTGTACGAAGGTAAACCAGTTCGTCACCAGTCATTTGAAATACATACTTACCCGAGCAATATTTCTAAGTTTCTGTCATAGAATAAATTGTAGGAAGAAAAGATACTTAGTGTATTCACATTCAGCTTTGACAAGTATTTTTCTCATATATATATATATATTTACAGAATGTCACCAGTGCAACAGTACCTGATGCAAGTTTACCTGGGCATAGACCAGTATTGGCCAGTTGTAGAACCTATAAACAACATGGATACTTTCCATCATTAGAACTAGATGGGTTTCAATCGGATTCAGAACATTATACACAATCCCTTGGATTCGAGTCAAAAAGTATTTATGATCAGCCAAAAACTACAACCAATGGAAATCCGACTCCAGCTGTTGTTGCTTGTTTAGAACCTGGTCGTTTACCGTCAATATTTGGATCACATTGGAATGCTGAACTTGCGTCACCACGTTCTATTTATTATGAAGAGAAGCAACTGTAAGTATTGTTTGATTAAATGAAAATCAAATGCGAGGTATATTTTTGATTTACTTAACATTATATAATACTGATTTTACTTAATAACACATACGGAATTTGTATTATTTACTTAACGTTAGTGAGGTATGATTTTTGTCAGTGTACAAGTGAAAAAGTATTTTGATGCCGCTGAAACTTATCATTGAATCGACATATAGAAACTCGTTATAACGTCATTAATTTATGTAAAAATATATACGATAATGAGGTGAAATACTTTCATCTCGACCTAACGATACATTTTCAACTCTAATTACTTTAAGGTATCAACAGTGTATTTTTTCAGACTTCAAAAGATTAAATTGATATCCTTAGGTTTATACTCACTTTTTTATTACTTATATTTAATATTCATGAAAGAAATACGTGCTTTTTTCGAGTGAAAACAATCCAATGAAATTAATTGATTAGTTTATCGTCAATTTTTTTTACTTAGTATGGTCCAGTAGTTCGTTTGAAACCCCTCTGGGACTACTGCCGGTCCCACGCCCCGATAAAGGAGGAGGGTTAGGCATGGGGTTGGCGACGCAGTCGGTTGAAAAACCAACTCGCTAAAAAAACGCTAACCTGAAAAATCATTTCAAACTCATAATGAAAGCCGAGTCTCTTTGGAACTCACGAGGCCAGTGCCCCTTCTAACAACCAGCGCAACCATTCTTTTAGGCACATGGAATGTCCGAACATTGTTGGAAACCAAAATGGCTGTTTTTACCAATTCACATGTAACTGCGGAGAAAGTTACTTAGGGAGGACAGATCGCCAATTGGAAGACAGGATAGGAGAAAATATTCCAAAATGGCTAATCAAATCCATGTTTCATCAACCTAGCCCATCATCTCAAAATCGATCAAGAAACCCAGCCTCGTCCATTGCAAAACATCTAATGATGAGTGCTCATCAAATTGACCCAAAATCAGCCTTTAGAGTTGTGACATGTAATCAAAACCCACACACACTGAAACTACTCGAAGCTATCTTGATTGGTCGGAAAAGTCCAACTTTATGTGTTCAAAAACAACTGTATGTTGATCTTTTTTTACCATGGTTCTAGTGAGTGAATGTCATGCTAAATAAGAAATTTTGACCTTATCTTCAAAACTGTATTTACACAAATAACATGTTGCTTGTATGTGACTGACGAGAAAGCACGAAATGGTACTATCTCACAAAATATGTCTTCTTATTTCTCTATTCAAATTTATCAAAGGGAACCACTGTTTTCAAAATGACTGTTCCGAATCGTTGCAAAAATGAAAAGAAATAAATGATCAGTAGTCAGTCATCAAGAAAAATTTGCAAACTTAAGTTTTGTTTATATTGGTCTAGAAACTAATTGTCTAGTTTTAATGTTATTTCATTTTTCATGGAATCTTTCACACGAGTTTTATAGAAACAAACGAAAACTAACATTTTAATATAGGAGAGTTTACATTTAATTTTTTTAAACAATATTTATTAAAATTGGCAATTGACATTTCGGTTACTTCATATGTTTTATTTCTTATTAAGTTGTGGACAATTGAAACTAGACTGTCAACATTGTTTAGCATCATGTGCTGAAGAATTGAAAGCTAGTTCATTAACATGTAAACCAACTTCTGGCGCTGCAGATAATGGACGTTCACCACGTTTAGAAACATGTTTTGATTGTTGTGCTCGAGATAATTGCACTGATATATGCGATAAATATCCTGCACATCGTTGTCATGTTCAACTTTGTAGTCATGGTTAGTGTATATATGTTGAAAAAAATTTAAATTCATTATTGAGTTATTGTTAATCAGAAAAAAATGTTTGTTTTTACTTGAATTTTGTATGGAATGTATTGAGAAAAAATATACTAACGTACTTTAAGTACGGTGTATAAATATAGTGTATTCATGACATTTCTATGTACTTAAATGTTTCAAGAACTGATCAGTGATATATATATTACAAAAATACTACTTCTATAACAAAAACACTTACAAACTACTCATATTTGTAGTCAGTAGTCTGACCTAAGTGGAGATGTTGTTGTTCGCTGTAGATCCTGTTTGATTCTATAAATAAATTTCCCTATAAAAGAAGTCCGCTTTACAATGGTTGTCGTAACAAACAAATAACAGTAAGCTCTTTTTTCCTATAGGCTGTTCATTTTCTACCAAATTCTTCTAATTTTGAATGTTCAGTACCAACAAACATAGCTCCAAAAAGATTCATACTCTCAATTTTCGAAATAGGCCTATAAGATTATGTGTTTGCAGTAATGGGACTTGTGAATCCGTACATAAAACGAACTTTTATACTACCTTTATTGGTCCGAAACTAGGTTCTAAATCGAACATCAAGGTCTGAGTTCGTGGTTGGCCGAAACGAGGAACTAACTGGGAGAAGGGGAAGCATAAGCGGTGGCTGATAAATGAAATACATTTCATAACCTGAAAAGTTGTATTCCCATAGGGCTACATACCTTTAGATAGGCGTTATTTATTTGTTTCATTTATTGAATACATCTATCGTTATATGCATTATCGATGCTAATTATTGTTTATCATTAAGGATTATTTGAATTCTAGATATTCGATTCATATTTACAGAGAGATTAAGGTATATATGTTTTCAATAATATAAGCTTTTATTTCGAGTATAAGGTTTTCTTTGAGCAAAAGACAAAATTAGCTTAATTTATTCATTCATACGTAACGATCGAATTTCATCGTGAAGTTCACGTTTGTTGGGATAGTGACTTTGGCTTAATCGTCGCATTCAGTAATCCAACCTTTGAATAGAGAAACATATGTAATTCAGAACAAGATCAATATGTAATCATACAGGATACTTCTGTTTACAATCATTGATCAATCACAGATCACTCGAGTTGAGCATATTAGTTTTCATTAGAAATTTCATTTGATAGTTTTCCTCCAAAATGACACTATTTATGCCCTGAACTAAATAGTTCAAGTTTTATCTGCTTAATGCCATGAACATAAAACAAGTTAGAAATTATCTTTCTACACTATAACTGATCGTCTTGTTCATTTTTTTTTTTACCTGTGTGTGTTTTTTCTAGGTTTACGGCTAGATTTCTCACTTATACCAGAATGGCCTAAACAAGGTGAATTTTTATGTCATGTTCAACCAGCGCCAAGTAGACCAATTTATCGTCTTCAATGGACTTTATTATATCATGGTAGACCACTTACACCAGATCGATTCCCAGCATCACTTATATTACCATTAAATTCAATAACAAATGAAAATTCAGAAAAAACTGGTGTGAATTCAAGTAAGTTTTCTTTATAATCTTTCATGTAAAATGGATGGGTCTAATAGTTATTTCAAACATTTTATTTTTTTAAAAGAATATTTTTAGTACATTACATTCAGGAATGACATTTGAAAGAAGTCTAGTAAATTCATTTGTTTTCCAATAATACTAATAATTTTGGATTGTTAATTGACTTGATATTTCCCTGTCTAGAAAACAGCTAAATTTATTTAATGTTCTGAAGTAGACAAGAGTTGACTAATCAGGATGTAATTATTATCTCACAGATACAAATAATTCATGGGTATGAAAATGTACAAATACAAAGCTCGATATCATTAAAGGCTCTTTTGGTTATGGATAAAACACTACGTTCAACATAGTAGATTTATGCAACTGATTTAAATACATAAATGTTGGTACAACGAGACACCAATATCTGTGTCCTACACAAATGACTGAATTTGAATGTGATTTGACTAGGACACCGTGCTTGAAATCAGCAAAACATTTTGTCATGAAACTAAAAAATGGATTTAAGATAGTTCTTCAGCTAAATTGATGAGCATAACTGCTCTCAAGGCAAATGGTGTGATAAAGTACTGATTGTGATTAAGCGCGTTGTCAAAATTGTTTTTAATAAAGCTACAATATTTCCTCCCTTTCTAGCTTCTAATCGAAATGTTAACTACAAGTCTTTTAAGTTTTGCTTTGGTGACAAGAGCTTTGGGATGGTAACGCTAATTCATAACACTTACCCAACTCTTAAAATATAAACGTAACCTTTTTATTTCACTACAAGGAATAATGCAACATGTGACGGTTGATTATTCACATCGAAGTTATTATTCCACTTATATCTAATTGCTTTTTAGCTGTTGATTATTTCATAACTAGTCAGCGTTTCTTACTACTGGCTGATAAGTTGTGTCAAGATCATCCATATAGTATACTTTTACCGTAACATTACCTGACTCATTTAATTGTGCATCTATTGATCTACTTTTATTTATTTATTTTTTTTTGAAGATACAAATGAATGGAATTTAGCCGGTGGATTAACTGGTACCAGTGGTGGGACTATAACACAAATCTACAGAGGTTTATTAAATATTCAATATACTTCAGGATTAGAGCATTTACCTGATATAATTGGTGGCACGGATACAATGCAGAGTGCATATTTTTGGAGTAAACAGGTATGATGAGAAAATGCTCAAAGTTAATACATAATTGGTTTCTTATGGTTTTTTAATCATTATCTATATTGCCTATGAAAAAAATTTTCATGAGCCAACAACGGTTCTCCGAGTAATTTGTTTATTCTGATTACTGTAACTCTGTTAGCTCTAACAAGAAAAAAACTAAGTTTGAAACTGGCATTCGAATCGTTTAACGTTCATGCTACAACCCATGTTATCAAACTAAACACTTGTCAGTCCATGATAATCTTTTGGATTTTGCATTGATAAATAAGTCATTAAGTTTTATTAATACTTTTAATAAAAATTCACTATAAACTTAATAAATTGCTAGTTGTTTCAATGTTTGGTAATCAATACCTAATTTTCAACCTATTTGATGTGCTCCTACTTTCTGAAATGAAATCCATTGCCATTCAATCTTACAATCTGAGACGTTACCTTTTTAGCTGTTTTGAGAGACAACTCATATCCTGTAGGGATGAGATATTTACAATTGTCTAATCATTGAGGCATAACCAAAGTTATGTCTATCTGATTCGTCAGTGCTGGTTGTATTCTATTGATCAACTACTTACTTGTTATTATAATAATGTGCTACTTATACTTATCTTTTAATACAATAAACTTGTTGGCTAATCTAAATAAATTTAACGTAATAAAAAGTTAAGCATTCCTAAGATGTATACCTATTTGAATATTTTGAATCAAAATAGATAAATGGATTGAGAATCTTATAAGAATTTCTTTCGACTAATCAGTTTAAACATGTTAGTTGAAGAATGAATTCACTATGAACAGAAAGCGTATTTATAAGTTTGAAGAATATTTGGGAACTTTTATTTATTCTTCATGATCGTAAAACGAACATCAGATACGTAGTTTCATAGTCCTGTCAAAATCTTTAGACTGTTTTTATACGGCATATTATATCACTTAACAACAATCCAAGATCAAAAACGATCTCGTATTCACTACATTTTTTTAAAAATTTTATATAATATTTGTCTAACAATAAATAAGGTTGAATGTCAATCTAGTCTAATCTAATCTCATGATTAGATGAGTGAATATCTATTGGATAAAGTATAGTCATCATCTAGCGTACCGATTATAAAATCCATTAATATATTCAATAGTGAATTCTAATAATTTCCCACTTAAAATCATTAGAATATTTTATTGAATTCTATTTATGTATATACAGTATTGTAATAGCTTTAAATAATATCCACAAGGTATTTCGATCGGTCACATATGTATTGGAATAACTATGACGCTAACTATAGATCTAAATGTGATGATAATCTGTAAATTTTCAATCAACCATGGAAAGAATGATTTCATCTTAGAATTAAATTCGAAATCGAATTTCATACGGAAACATCAATGAATATTTTTAGTTCTTTTAAAATGTCACTAGTTTCTTATTTATAATTTGAGCATTGTTTAAATGACTAATGTATAATTGAATTAAATGATAATTCAGGTGTAATTTTACATCGACTTCAATTACAATAAGTACATAGTTAACATTCTATATTTTTTAAAAATATATTTATCTTAAAACGTGAATATTTATTTTTGATTTATTACAGTAGAACCATTGAGTGTTGACTAAAAATAGATAGTCATCAGTTGTAACTCCGCTAAAAATTGATTTTCATTAACGTTATCTATTAGTTTTATAATGTGAGTTCAGCAGCAGTTGAATAATTAATTTTAAGCTGTCATTCAATTATCATCAACCTTTGATCCGATTAAATATGACTGTGGGAATGAGTTGACATCATATCTCATTGGTATGATAAGATAAATAAGTGTAAACGTTTTTTCATAAACTTTCAAGTCATTGATCAGTAATACATTTCGCTTTCATTCATTAGAAACCTGGAAGCACTGAACGGCCGTCAAGTCCTACTACGGTATTAATCAGCAGTGCTCATCCACAATCACCGCACATGAGATTTGAACCCAGGACCTTCAGTCTCACTCGCTAATGCTTAGCCTCTAGACCATTGAGCCTGCATCCACCATTGTTCATGCTTAACTTTGATCAATACGCGATATTATGCAACCTCATCCATTGTCTTCGGTGAATAACTGCTTACACCCGATAGGGTTGGTCACAGCTTTTCGATTCCCAAGAGCGGAAGTTGCGGATGCGTACTGTTGAAGAGTTCTACACTAACCCGAAAAGGTCGTTCAATGCTTCCAGGTTTCTAGTCATGGTCTAACATTGATCATTTCATAATTTCAGTAAAATTTAAGTTTACTTTCAAATAAATAATTCTTTTTTATAGACTATACCATTAGTTAGTGGAAGTGGAACAGGTATTGTTTATGATCCAGTTACATCACATTCTTCATCAAGTTTATCGTCATCAGATCGATTTTATTCAAATACAATGTTATATACACCATCAGGTGCATCGAATGAAATTGCCGGTATACAAGTATGGCCTTCACAACCATTAAAAGTGAGTACATCCGCTTGGACACGTTTAAGTGGTGCACCGTGTGCAACAGCTGAACCATTAATTGAACAGTTGAATATTTATACCCCAGCATTACCACCGTATATAGCAATGGGTGAAGTAAAAGTGAGTAATAGAACATATCATATATATATATATATGGTCGATTGAGTTTTGTTTTTCCAACTTTGTCAATTAGACCAAGTTACCTTGTTCTGAGACTAAACTGTCAGTGTCAATGGTTATTGTTTTCCATAAGAAATAACAATTTTGTAGATTGACTATTAGTTTGCTAATGCTTTATAAACGATTTCTAAAAATGTTATGAATATGTGTTAATATATCATAACTTTATACCTATTTTGTTGATGTATGATGCTAATAAACTTCTCAATAAAGAGTTACATATTTTTTTCTCAATTAACATTGCTATTAAGTTAAGAGAACAGGATGTTATCATGAGTTTATTATCAATGGTAATGATTGTTTCAGAAATTCCAGTCAGTCAGTCAGTCAGTTACAACGTAGAACTTCGTACATAAGTACATCATTTCAGATTGCCATACCGCCTTAGCACAGAGATGCAACTGTCAGTTCAAATCCCATAGTGGTAGCGATAGTAGAGGTATTAGCAGAAATGGAGAAGATTAGGGTTTGAAGATATGATTCGAGAAGTATAATTCAGTGAGATAACTTTAGAAAGAGAAAGATACAGATGATGAGGGATTCAGAAGGTTAGAATTTCAGAGAACACAAAGAGTGGATGCAACTTCTTTAAGAGCTGTTACACACAGGAGTATTTCTTTTTTTGTATTTTCAACGAGTTTAATGCTTCAGCAGTAAGTTAATAGTAACATAACGTTTGTTTCATAAGAATATGTATATCACAAAGAAATTCATTCAAAATAAAAAGCTATGAGATTGTAACATTGTGACATTAAGTACATGGATTAATAATGAACACTCTAAATAGTCTCACCAGCCATATATAATATACCACAAGGTTTTGAGATGAGTTTTGTTATATCGGGATACATACATATGTATTTGTATATATTGTTGAAAAAAGTTATTTTATTCCATAAATAACTATTTTCAACTACTTAGGATCACATATTATTGGAAATTTAGTGTAATTCCTTTTCAGATGCTTGTTTAGGTTGATGATATTTATTTCTCAACTAGAGTAATGAAGATCAGTATTTGTTGCAAATTGAAATCATCAACCAATCATTGTTAGACAACCATTCGAAAACTTGAAGCAGTGGAGGCCGTTTCGTCCTGATATGGGACTCATCTGCAATACGCATTCACGACTCCTGTACCTCGCAAGGTTGAACCCAGGACCTTCGGTCTTGTGCGCGAACGCCTAACTTCTGGACCACTGAGCTGGCGGCACCCAACGGTGTTAATGTCTAACTCTGATTGATCTACGGATTATGCCCGACCTCATCCATTTGTCTTCGGTAGTTACTGTTTACACCCGACATAGTTGAACTCCACTGGTCACGTCTTCTCACTAGAACTCCGAGAATTTCCTCGCGAAGCTATTCACTTCATTTTAATGTTTTATATCCACACTGGTTTTCAATTGATCAAACTTTCAGAACTGACTAATAAAGTGTTTGTTTTTTTCAATGAATTCTACTCAATGTAAAATTCATACAATTCAATTGTATTTAATCAGTGAAAAATTTATCATTTGATAGAGAATATTCATAACAGTTGGCCGTATTCATCACTGTATTCTTCTGTAATTAATTTACAACAGGAAGAAAATATTATTTCTTATCACTGATTCGAATAACAATGATATTTAATTTTATGATGTATAACTTTTATTGATCTTCCAAATAAGATGAATATTGTTTTTCCTGTTTACATTCTTCGCATTGTCATTATCATTGTCATTGGAATATCTACTTTTTAGATTTCGTTTTTTGTTAAGTTGTTGATTGAGTTTGAAATATGGATGGTTAAAAAAAGTTTCCTCTAGTTCAAAGTCGGAATTGAATGCTGCAACTGAACAAATCGAGCGACTAGCGTGCAACGGTAATTTAGTGAATAAAAAAAGAGATAAGATGGCACTGTCAAAAGAGTCAACATATTTTGGGAAAGGAACAACGATAAGTAAACGTCGTAGAACATATGATGATAGTTATGGATTCATAACTAGCTAGTAAGAAGACAACCTTTGAGTAACCATTGTACAACAAGGACTAGAGAATCACTACTCTGTAGTGGAGGGATGGCCAAAAAATAGCTCGCTCCAGCTGAAGAGGCAGAACGAAGACCGATGACCACCAGTCCAATATTTGGTTACTGAACTTCAAACATTCGTTAATATGCACACAAAACTAGACCACATTGTACCAATAAATAGAAATTGACAACTATACATAGGTTAGCCAAAAGTGGCTGTGAGTACAGGCGAATGCGAATAACGAGTAACAGATTAAGAATATTAAATCATACAACTAAAGTTAGTGAGTTTTTAAAGAGCTCAAGATGCAATTAGACTATGTACAACCATCATCCATTAACCTGAGTTCTTAAGTTACTATTTACTTTAATCTTCATTCGAGTATAACAATCACATATTCACAAACCAAGGTACTCAATACAACAAGTGTGTTATTTGATGTTACTACTACTCTATAACAGTCACATTGGTGCTTAAGTGTGTATAATCAGAAGTATATTTGTTTTGGGAACACCATCAGGTGGTGGAGAAAATGTGTAGCTTAGGTGGATGAGAACAAAACTCCATCATCACATCAGCACATCACTGATATTACTGATTCAGGTTAACTCTAGCAGTTTCACCGTATACATATACTAATCACTGTATATTCTATTTACGTTATTTTATTTATACTTGTGCATAGGTTGAATATTTGGGTAATTACATGTATGCTGTTTCACATTCAAGAATTAGACCGAAAGTAAGTTTCATTTTCTAGTATATACAATATTAACCGTGACAGTGTATTTTATATCTTTAGCATGATTATTCTTGTCAATAATATCGAATTTCTGAATATTTCTGAAAAGAAAATATAATAACTGTGTATAAGATTAGAAATGAATTCATTGATATGAACATTTTTACGTAGTCGGTGAGATATTCATGAAAATTATATATATATATATATATATATATATATATATATATATATATATATATGCGTTCATTATAGAATTTAAAAAAAGTATATAAATATATATCATGTAAAAATGTATTTACAAAATATTGCTTGATTTGTAAAGCCTTTGGCGACTTATTTGATCAGGGAAAGTATTGATAACAATTAAGTTTTTTAATTCTTTCTGTTAGATAAATTAATATTAATCGCCTAACTCAAAACTATGTTTTTCAGTTTATATATATATATATATATATATATATATATATATATATATATATAATAGTAACAGAAATTTCGCACAACAGCGTTTATTTGTTACTTACTTTCAGCTGTAAATATTTCTTGCCCGTTTCACCTATACAGCCCTCTTCACTGAACAGTAAATATATTACAGATATTGTGAAGTATTTATAAAGTACCAAATACGCAATAAAAGAGGTGTGATTGTATATATCGCCACCAAAACGCAGAAAATGGGAAAAATATATCGACTCCAACTATTTTTCCTTGAGTTGTACAGTAATTTGAGAAAATGGAAATAATTGCGTGGACATTTAGACAGTTGGAAAATGACTAGTCCAAAAATTTAATCAAACTGAAAAATGACTTTCGTATTTTTTTTATAAAACATGGCTAGTTAAAGGACACAACGTTTAACGGCTTTTAACCATCACCTTTACTCTTTCAATGTATTTTGGTAAAGTGCGAAATTCCCTCTGGATGCAATCATAGATTTTAATGGTCTTATCATAAAATCAAACAATGATCATCTGTAAAAAAGTTTAGAAGAGTGGTTTATATTTTGCTAAAGTAATCCACTGGGAATACAGACCTGTTTGGCTGATATGACGCATCAACATTCCAAGTGTTGTACAGAAGTTAACAATAAAACATTCAATTAACCATGATCAAAATATCTATTATTTAAATGAAACTTGTAGATGATATGTTTATCTTGATACGTCATTTTTCTTATTCTCAATAATTTAGCTGAGTTTTAGTTTACCTAAAACAGCATCTTTACTTGGTGCAGTATTTTATCCAGCCTCCGTAGAACGTGGTCATTATCTTCGAGCTAGTTTAGCTTTAGCATGGTTAACGGATTCGGAAATAAAAAGCAGTGATATTCTCTCAGAAAGTCAGAACTCTGTTGTGAAAGTGCGAAATTCTGAATCATCTTCATCCTCATCAGCATCCACTGAATCATTAAAGAAGCACAGATTCTGGGTCATTGATCTAACTGGACAAGTGGATCAATTCCCTGGTCTATTTCGTCTACTTGTCTATCCAGATAATGTTGATGACGATAATGGTGATGGACGAAATTCTAACACAAGTACCAGTACTTCCAATTATTTATTACGAAATCGTCAAAATACCCAATCGCATGCTTCATCATTGGATGCGATTGTTGAGATTGAAGATAATAATATTGACGATATTGATCTTGACAGTTTAAATGGTGGACTTGATTTAAATGGTAAAATATCCGAAGAGGAACCATTATTGGATTATGATGTTGGAGTTTTTGAAGAACGTAAATTTCAGGTGAATGATATTTTTTTCTCATTAATTAATTTGACCAGTGTTATTTGTGAATAAATAAATCTTCATTGTGTTTGTATACAATTCGTTTTAGCTTGTATCAAAATTTTTATTACCCAATTATTCGAATGGGTTACAAAACTGCTCGGAAATCGCATACTTTAGTTAATCGCTACTATTGTTGATCGCTACAAATATTTCATATAGAGAAATAGTTTTGTTCAGTTCTTCGGCCTATATATGGAATTGAACGCTCTTTGAACTTTGGAATACTGGTGAACTATAAAGTCTGGGCGTAATAAAAAGAAAATATAAAACTGCATCTTCACTACTTTATCTGTTTCTGAAATGCAAATCACTATAATCAGTACAAATTTATACAGTAAATATAGTTGGTCGTAAAATAAGAATAGAGCACATAGACGAGACGGTAATCATACTTATGTAGGGAATATACTTTTTATTGATAGATAGTTAAGTAAGGCAAGACTACATTAGGGTTATTAGGAATCTAAATGAGTGAGCTTTTACACAAATATTCTGATATTAACCAAAGTTAAGAAATGTATTAGTTATACGTTTATTTTTATTTCTATAGGTTCGAATATTAATACCTGGTCCTACTACTGAGCCAGATTATGAGAAATCATTTCGTCTAGTTATCTTGGATGCTAGTAATCGTTTAGATATTCGAGTTAAACGAGCAATTCAACCACCAGATGAAATGGCTTTACGAAGAACTTATGGACAGTTATCTGATGGTAAATTAACTACGCATAATCAATATTATTATTATTATTATTACTTAATAATAATAAAAGTATACAAGATATTTGTTTCAGAATGTATAGGAGATTTGTGGTGGTGTTTTGTTCTCTGAGCTGGATGTTTTGGTTGTGGAGCTTTCATTGTTCTTCTGAACAACATCATCAGCACAAACTTGAGGCAGAAGTGAAGTATCCGACTTTCTCCACGTTTGACCCATAGCTTGTTCTGTTAACCTCGATCTTGATTGGTTGCTGTTGACCTTGAACCTATCGCTGTTTGCAACATTGTTTTGACTGCTTCCCCCTTTTGATCTGTTTCTTGATCCTACGTCGCCTATTAATTTTCTGATTGGTTGATAAATTGGGTCAATGTCGATGTGTTTATTGATTGCTAATTGATCTGAGTACCAAGCTTCTACAACTTCTCTAGTGTTCTTTGTCCTCTCCCTATCCAGTACTTCCACATTGTTCCAATCGAATGGTTGTCCATAATTGTCGGTGTGTATTGATATTAGTGAAGAATCGTGGTGGCGTTTGACTGTTAATTGACGGTCACGTAAACAAAGCTAAAGATGCCGTCCACTTTGTCCTATGTAGTGTTTTTCACAATCTGAGCAATTTATTTTGTAGATGATATTTAGTTTTTTTCTTCCTTTGTCATTTTATCCTTTGGTCTACATAAGATTGTTTGAAGTGATTCTATTGGTTTGTGATTTATGCTGAGTTTAAGAATAAGTAACACAGGTTGATTGTTTTTGTTTTGAATACTTGATAACATAGTTGCTTACATTACTAAATGTTGAGTAAATCGAGTAATTTATGATTTTTTTATGAACCAGAATATAAAAATACCGCTTAAATTAATTGATCATTTAATTATTTTCACATTATGACTGATATTTCTTTTGAGAATTACCATTTTTACTTATTACACATTATTTTAGGTGATGGTCGACCAACTTTAGTTGATCTACTACCTAGTTTAGCTGCACGTCAACAAGCCATTCAAGATAGTTTATTAAAAAGAACTCCATCAAAAGATGATCACAGCAATGAAAATTCAAATGATTTCAGATTAGTTAAACGAAGTATTAATTCCGAGTCAGTAGATCAGCCAACATCACCATCCTATCAAATCAATAATACGTTTGGGCCATCATCTGTACTTGTCTATTCAGTGATTTGTCTATTGTTATTACTATCAGTTATATTATTCATTGGATTTGTTACTGAGCCTGGTATGCTTAGTGTTTGATGTATTTGTTACTTTTTTCTTTCATGTTTGAAATATACCGTAGGCACTTACTACTGTTGAATAACAGCTAAATATTGTTATAAACAAACAGAACATGGGCTAACAAATCACAACACACCTCCTAACACCAATGAAAATATAACAAAACCTTATTCCATTTGGATAAAGCACTCGTCGTTAATTCTGTCTTAGATGATTTGAAAAATTCACAGCTTTTCATTATATTGGTACTATATCTATCTCAAGACGCAGCTAATAAGCACTGAACTACTACTATTCACTTAGCTATCTTCTAGAAAAATAAGCAAATGTAACTCTTAAAGATAACATTCCACAATTTAATTTGTCGATTATGATTAGTATTTCGAAAGTGTTTTCTGTACTGAAGATCGTTATCTTGATTGTTACATGTGATGTTCATTGTGTGGAAAAGAGTCTTTATCTTTAAAGTCTGAAGCTTCGGTACTGTTGACCGATATGTTGTACTGGAAACAAAAACTTAGGTTGATCTTTTCATCTGTCTTTAACACTCGTATACTTTATGATAGTTTCTTACCTGTTTTAAATAAAAAGTAATACTGTGTAATAACTACATAGAACGTCTGTTGTTTGACTGTTTCTACGAACGACATTGCTTCAGTATGAATTCGATTTATTATAAACCTGTTCTTGTGTCGGGGACGTTAGACACGCAGAACTCACTTGGAAAAAGTCCTCGTTTTGGATTTTTTGTTTTCGCGCATAAGGTGTTTGGTTGACTTTCAACTTACATTTCCCACTCGGAAAATTCTTGACTGTCATTAGTTGATGGTTTATTTTAGTATGCTATTTTTGTAGCTCTCCCAAGGATGTTTCTACCATGTATAAATAAACTTAATTTGTGTGCTTGCGAACCTCGTATTTTCTGGGTGCTTGTAGAATACACTTCTACGCCTTATCATGACATCTTGATACAGTTGGCTGGGACTGGGACAACAGATTAGAACAGCCTATCGTGTCACTGCATCATTCCTCTTCGCTCTCATTTACCGACTAATGTGAACTCGCAACAGTTTCAAACATATCAATTGACAAGCATATCAGCTAGTGAAGTCTTACCTTATGTACTACTTTTTATCCCAAAAGTATGACACACTACACAAAATAATACATCATGTGTACAATAGATTTTATAATTATTTTTATTGACACATATTTTATTCAGTTTCTGTTGGGAATGTTAGATCCCCAAACCTCGCTTGATAAATGCCTTATTTTGGATTTCACGTTTGCGAGCATGGGCTGATCAGTTGACCTTGGGTTTTCATTTCCCACCAGGAAAATCCATGGCTGTGATTAGCTGCTGTGTATTTTAGTGTGCTATTTTCGTAACTGTCCCAAGGAGGTTCCTATGATGTATAAATAAACGAGAGTTGTGTGCTTGATTGTATTGTGATTGCTGGGTGTTATAGAATATACTTTTTACGCCCACCAAGTCTTTTGTTTTGCAGTTTGGTATTCAAGGTAGCCTACCTGGACACTGGTAATCGTCTTGTTCTCGTTTATCGACTAAGGTAAACTCGTAATAGCTTCAAACGTGCCAAGTGACGAACATAACAATTTCACAGTGAAAGTATCCAGAGAGAGTTGCTATTCTAAATTTTATTCTGCCTTATTATTCTTACACAATATATTGTTTGGAAAATACGTATAAACTAAGTGATGCATCACATTTTAAAGATTATGTTACACAGTTATTAAGGAGAACTGTATGATTAGTTTAAAATCACATATATCCTACTCAAAAAACTTAACAATCAACCTATGGTATTATGGTAAAACAGATCGTTGAATATTCCATTTCTTTTCTTAAATTCCATAAAGATCCTACTATGAATTGGGTTCGATTGGGTCCACTTGAAAGTCAATCAAATGTAGATGGTGATCGTGTAGCCCTAGTCTCTAATCCTATTCGACATCATTATAACAGTTGTATATCACGTTGGTTTCGTGTATTTCTTCTAATGGGTTATTTATGTTTAAAATCTGCTTATACATTTGGAGTAACATTAACAGCTTTAGCCATCATTATTCGTTATATGACCTGGTAAGCGTAGTGTTTTTTGTTGTTGTTGTTGTTAGTGAAAATTTTTTTTATTTTTTAAGATTGTACTTTTATTTCATCTGTGACTAACCTCAGTTAGAGATGTGTTAAAATCAACAAAGTGCTCGATAATTGTTTAGTTGTATTCTGTGATTGTACAAGTGTGTGTATCTGTAAACTTATTCGAAATCGAATTCGAATGGGTTTATGTTTGTTGTTAGAAGAAAAAGTTCAAAGGCACAATACAAAACCATAATGAATGGAATATTTCGATACCAGTAGAGAATAACTCAAAAAGACAGTTTAGACCAAAATCGATAGTTTTGATAGAACAATGAGAAGACGTAATTGATCTGAAAAATGTGATGTATTTGCGCTATACATTTCGAACAATCTGTTCATACATCTACACTTGTCTAGGCATTTTATATGAAGATGAATAAAAGGTCAATTAAATAAAAGTTCAAATAGACTTATGGTGATAATTGTAAATAAAGGAGAGAGAAAATTAACGTCATGTGAAAAGAATAAGAAGGGGTAGGAAAATTGTCACATAACCCTAGGGTTAAAGATTACCAAGATAAATTCAAGGTTATGGCAAATTTGAAATCATTAATCAATCATCATTGTTAGACCACCATTAGAAACCTGGAAGCACTGGACGGCCGTTTCGTCCTAGTATGGGACTCCTCAGCAGTGCGCCGTCCAGTGCTTCCAGGTTTCTAATGGTGGTCTAACAATGATGATTGATTAATGATTTCAAATGTGTAAAAACGCAAACCTCCAAAACTGTGCCCCAAAATTATGGCAAATTGTTTCTGCACACGTAAGGGGGGTTTTAATTTTCTCATAGCCAAGGCCTCCATAAACCTCAAATTTCGTCCTTCAACGTTTCTATACAATGTTTTGAAGGCTGTCTTGATGTCAATCTTATGCCCTGTCTCAACTGTGTTTTGCGATCGATGAGCATGGTTTTCTATTTCCATCGCTGATCGGCTCATCTGAAGTTAACTGATTCTGAAGCCACTTAGGTACATGTTCCACCACCCATATAACATGCCTTGACAAGTAAATATGTGTGACCAGATTGTTCGAAATGTTTAGCGCAAATACATCAATTACGTCTTCTCACTGTTCTATCAAAATTTATAAAAGGGACTAATCGTTTTACAAATAACGTCATCTAAGATCATCATTTTTCGCTTTAAATCTAATCGATTACAGTCAAGGTTTATCGATTGTTCCAATCTTTTTTATCTAAGATATTTTAATTTTACTAGTGCTTTACATATAAGGCTGTGAAGTTTCTTGTCTAACGCAGAACATGTACAATTAATTCATATCCGTATAAGTTTGTTACATTATTAAAAAAAATCACGCCTAAACGTTTCTCGATAGCTTATTACATCATAGACCATGTAACATTTCTAAATATATCATCTGAACCATGTCTAAAATAAATTTATAGATTTTCACTATAGAGCTGTGAAGATTGTTGGGTTTTATTGAAACCGATTGTTTTCAGAATAGCTAGTGTGGGACTTATTAACAATGCACAGCCATGACTCGCTCGCGTCTGCATGTCAGACCGAAGGTTTTGGGTTCTATCCCCATGAGCTTAGGGTCTTGGGAAGTGTACTGGTGATAAGTCCCATACTAGGACAAAGTGGCCGTCCAGTGCTTCCAGTTTTCTAATGGCGTTCTAACAATGACCGACTCATGATTACATTGGAATTTTACAAAATAGTTATCAAAGATTTGATATTATTCTATAAACAGTGTTAGTTATCAACTTCCTTAGAAAATAAGTTTATTTATTTACATTAAATTTCTGTTATTGAATTCATAGTTAGAATAGTCTCATCTAACATTTTAATTATACTGAACTTATTATATAACGAATATCATAGATTGATAATAAAAAAAAATTAATAACCATATTTTAATCATTCTAAACATACTACTGAATGATTATTTTGGTGTAAATCGGACAAAAAAACTGTTAAATTATTTTTATCATTATAGATAAATGAAACTACCCCCTGAAAAAAAAGATTGATAGTTTTGTTTTAATAAGTAGTTATATCAAGCTTCAATATGAATCGAGAATTTTATTGGATTCTTCAATTTGTTTAACTTAATTCTAAAAACTTTTTCTTTAATTGTGTTTATTCAACAAATTTGAAGAATATTTAACAGCAAAATCTAGAATCTGATATTTTAATCCTAATTAAGCAAAATGAGTATCGGAGATTCAATTTGTCGATTTGGTTTAAAGTTTTTATTTTAGTGTGAATATACTCAGTCATTCATCGAAACTTATTTCACAGTTTTTTCTTTTTAAATATACTAAAAATTAATCTTATTTTTATTAGTGAATATGCTACTAAATTGAATAATCTGCCTGAATGGAATAGTTTAAATGATCAGTCTGGTCAATTAATGGGTACAAGTTTAACAAGACAAAAATTATTACAAGATTCAATGGATGTTCATTTGAAAAATGAATTAATTCGACAACAAACAGAAGTGAAACGATTACGTAACATCTGTGATCGTAGTGTTGAAGGCATGTTTGAACAAATGAATAAAGTAAGTACGTTTGTTTTTACCATTATTATTATTATTATTAGTCAGTCAGTCAGTTACAACGTAGAGCTTCGTACGTGCACATATCAATTCATGTTGCCGTACCCCATAAACACAGAGGTGAAACTGTCAGTTCAAATCCCAAGTGGTAGACATAGTTGAAGTATCAGCGGTTATGCAGAAGATCAATGTTCGAAGAAGTTATTCAAAATGTATAATTCAGTGAGATAACTTTAGAAAAGGAAAGATAAAGATGATGAGGAAATCAGAAGGTTAGAATTTGAGAGAATAAAATGAATGAATGCACCTGTGCCATTGTAGACGGTTTTGAGCCACGTCGTTCAAGGTTTCTAACCAACGGTTAATTTGTCTCGAAGACTCCAACCAGGAAGTCTGCATCTGCCGGCATGACTCAATCCACTCGCCAGTGACTTCATGGATTTGTGCTACGTTTTGGTTTGGCCGCCCCTAACTTTATTCCAATCTACTCCTAAACCGCAAAACATCGCTCGTCGAGGCAGTTGATGGTTAGGCATTTGTAACACATGTCCTAACCACCTCAACTGATAAAGTTTAAATACTTAATCCAGTGATCAGCCATCCTTACCTAGTACTCCCTTCCTAATGGCAGCATTGCTTACTCGGTTGTCCCAGGATATATGAGCAATGCTTCGAAAACATCTTTATTCGAATATTAATGTCTTCTACCCTGACTGGCCATTTTTCGTATCTATATAGTAGGACAGAGCAGACTGCTGCACACTACACTCGTCCTTTGGTTAGCAAACGGATATCTCGCCTGCACCATAGGTGACGCAAGTTGGCAAAAGCCAATCGAGCCTTCTGTATCCGTGCTGAGATTTCGTCACAAATCAGGCCATCAACACTGATATGACTCCCGAGATAAGTGAAGAGGTCTTCACGTACCGATGCAACCCAATCTTGGAACATTATTTTGCATTTCGAGGTGGAAAACCGCATCTCGAACATGCTTGCATTGTTGCTTATGGTAGTCAGAAGACTCTGTATTTTGTCAGCGTCTTCACCAAGTAGGACTATGTCATCGGCATATTCTAGATCAATAAGCGAGCCTCCTGGTAAAAGGTCCACTCCTGAAAAGTCAGACGATGATAGTGTTAACTCTAAAAGCATTTCTACGACAAAGGTAAACGAGAATGGAGTGAGTGGACATCCCTGACGGACACCACTTGAAGTAAAGATTTCTGGTTACAGTTCATCATAAACCCTAACTCGACTAGTAGTGTTCCAGTAGAGGGGCTGTATAAGGTTAATGTACTTCTTTTGTACATCTTTTAATGACAGACACTGCCACTGTAGAAGCAGTAGTAGTAGTAGTAGTAGCCGAAATGAATAATATATTATTATTATTATTATTATTATTATTATTATTATCATTGTATTGATATTTAACGTTGATCAAATCAGACTAATTCCAATTCATCAACATTATCATGATGAGGATATGCATAATTCAAAATTAAAGAATAATCTGATTGACTTAAGTTGTTTTACTGATTAGTTTTTTTCAATCATTTAATAAATGAAGTTTACTAATCATCTGTTGAGTCAATCAGATTCAATTTAATTTATCAGAAAAAAAGATTATTTTTGGGAATGTAAATATTCATAAAAACAACTAACCTTTTTCTAGTTTAATTCTTACAGAATTACACAAACTACAGTCTGTGTCACTCATAAATATTCTTCGTTTTTTAAAAGACTCATATAAGTAGTTCATCATTTAGTCGTATTTGGATATATTTACTGATTATGTCATCTGATTTTTTCTTGAGCTACTCTTTTGTTCCTTAGTAAAATATTTGAATTTCGCTCCGAATAATTTTCATAAATTTATAAATATTTGACAATTTTCATTATAAATGGACTATTCAGTAGTGAAGGTGTATTGTTTCATGATTAAAACAATAAAGGAATTTAATAGCTCTTAGTCTGAGATCAAATGTCCAATAACAAACTTATTGTAAATAAAAAATACCAATGAAAAAATATTTTAAAAAATATATTAAAAATAATTGATCAATTCTTTTCAAGAAATTAAAATGAAAAAGGGATTATTGCACTTAATCCTCAGGAATTCGCTCATTCTGCTTATTTCGTATACAAATTTATCAAAGTATAATAATAACAAATCCTTGATATTATTTTCAAGTTTCACTGATTAACATTTACGAATAATAATTTTGAAGCATTTCTATTTTATTTTATTTGTGTGTGTGTGTGTTGTAGCGTTTAGATTCTATATCAAGTTTAGCCGCATCAAGACGTAGTCGAGTACTACTATCTCAAGCGGTAGCTGAATTAGCTCGAGCCACAGCTACAGCATCTGCATTACAATTAGCAGAAGGTTTAATTACATTTAATGAAACAGTTGAATGGGCTATGCATCGTCTTCAAGCAGATCTAGTTGAAACTGAAAAAGCATTAGGGAATTCAGATTGGCTTACTGGTAGGTAGTTGGTTATATTTATGATTATTATTATTATTATTATTATTTTAAAGTTACATACATACAAATAGATAAATTATTTGACGATCAAAGAATGATAATCATAATTTTCAATTTGTTATTAAATGTTTATTAGTTATTTTATTATGATAGTTTGTTTTAAGAAGATAAATAGAAGAATGATGGAAAGCACGGTGACAGAGTAGATTTCTTATAGATTTTGTAAAAAGAAAAATGTATATCTAAACTGTAAAAAGATAAATAAAATGTTCAAGTTGGTAAAAATATGAAGTATCAACTTAAAAGAACCTTACAGCTATATATATATATATATATATATATATATATATATATATATATATATATATATATATATATATATAGGTTGCAATTGGCGTATTATGTCTGAATAGCTTCTAGTTAGGTTTCATTTTGATAAATGTTTAAAATGGTTGACAAGTTTAATTGATATCTATTATTATTATTATTATTATTATTATTATTATTATTATTGTAAAGAATACCAATGATTCGGACATTAGTAATCTTTTATATTAAAATAAAACCGATACCTTTCATTTTTATTGGATGAAATATTTTACAATTATGAAGATGGTGTGTAAGAAATTTACGGGTTTTCTTACCACTTTTAAAATCAACCATTATAGAACCAATAATTATCGGCTTATGTATTTGACATAGAATCATTATTTGGTTAAATTCTTATATTCCCTATCCATAATATGAAAGAAAGGATGATAATAAATATTTTTTCTTAAAAAAGATTCTGATTCAACTAAGTATCATTGAAATGTGTTCAAACTGGTCAATTGAACATTAGTGTTCACTTAAAAACACTATTTAATTAGCTGTAAATCATTTTTTTAGGTGTAATCTCAGTGATTGAATTCAATGGAGTTTATTCAAGTGTAATTTTAATTTATGCATTTGAAATAATCATTTAATTAAAATAAAATGGTCAAAATCTCTTGAATCTAATGATACAGATGAATTTTTTCTAGTTAATTCAGTACACTAACGAATAAATAGGAATCTCAGTAACAGTGGGATAAAATTAATGTTAGCCAAAATTACATAACACTTATAAGAGAACGTTCCAACCCTGATTTATGAAACATAATTCAAAATGACTAAAACACAAATATTATAGGGTTGTGAAGATTGTGGCGTTTTATTGAAATAATGAATCGGTCATTGTTATATCACCAGTAGGAGTCTATAAGCACTGAACTACCATTTCGTTCAAGAATGGTACTCGTCGGCAGTGCGCCTCCACGATCTCCACACTTTGGAATCGGACAAAACACCTTCGGTCTCGCGCGCAAACGCTTAACTTCGAGACTACTGAGCTGGCATTCAGTGATGTTAATGTCTAGCTCCAATCAATCCACAGTACTGTACGACCTCATCCATTATCTTCGGTGGGTAACTACCTATTATCAGCTGATTATGTTGTTCAGAAGAACGATGAAAGCTCCACAACTAAACATTCAGCTCAGAGAACGAAACACCACCACAGTCATCCACCTGAGCTACAAATATTCTCTACCATCTCAAAATCTTATGAGCGTGTAACTGCCTATACCCGACAGGGCTGAACTCCATTGGTCACGGGTTCTCACTAGAACTACAAGGATTTTCCCACAAACCGATTCACTAGTGAATTGATTAAAGTTAGACGTTAAAACCGTTGGATTCCGACTCAGTGGTCTAAAGGTCAAGCGTTCACGCGCGAGACCGAAGGTCCTGGGTTCGATTGCCGCGAGCGGGGATCGTGTAGAATCAGCGCTGACGAGTCTCATACTAGTGTACTTGATGGTCGTTCAGTGCCTTCAGGCTCCTAATGGCGATCTAAAAATGATCGATTCATGATTTAACTATTCTTTGCAATCAATTCTCTTAGGCTTCTATGACCAGATTATACAAAATGGTGACCAGTTTTGAGGTAAAATACATGTTTTACAATTATGACTTATTAGAAGTCTGGATTGTTTGTCAAATAGCAGTGTATAAGTGTTAAGATGATGATAATCATACAATATTAACTTGAATAAATTTGTACATTAGACGAACTTGTGATATAAATGCTGACAGATTGAAATGAATAAAGAAATATGATTAAAACTCAAAATAAATATTTGATCAAGAATCATATCACATGTAGAATTATCTGAATTTTTGGTAAATAGAGCTTAGTGTTGTAAACGTTCTCAAGCGTCATAATAATAATAATAATGATAATAATAATAAATGTGAATGAAGTAAGTTTAGACCATGAAAATGCAAAGAGGACGGTTGTATGAACATTAATCAAATTGTCACCACATCATCAAAATGGTTGATAACTAATTAGGTCACGATCTGGTCAAAGTGATCCGAATAGTTATTGCTTTAGCCGTTTGAAGGATTCTCAGTTTTACAGCCTTAAGTAGATAGCTGTTAACACGTTATATCATGATAAATGATTGATTCATATTGGCTGTTTGTACTAAATGAGCTAGGATCGAGCTGCTAACAGTTTTACCTCTACCATTACTAAACCACACTAGTAGGTTTTCGCGAACATGAAAATATAGACTCTTCGAACTTCTGACAATGTGACTTGTTGCACAAGAAAAGCTGAATTGATAGACACCGAGATAAATCTAGGTAATTTATCCTTCAATTTCGGAGTGACCATTGGAAGTGTATAAAACACTTATTGTAGTTTCCCTTCATCAAGGGCTTTCTGAATACCTTTGTGAAAACTTGGCATTAGCATTTTGCTGAGTGCATCGCTTTTAAATTGTAGGCGTTTACGCAACGACTTTCCACATTCAATGAGAAGTTTGCCCTAATAGTAATAATTTTTTAAAGATCTCAATAGAAATTTCTGTCTTTATTTTCTTTTCTCTAAGTTGTTCGCGGATGTACTTGGTAATCTTCCTGAATGAGAAATATTTTAACAATGATTTTACACCGAAAAACATCATCTTTTCGGTCTTTTCAACAAATTGGAATGCCTCCCTAAGACTATTCTTCACCAGATGCTTTGTGAAGTGATTTTAAAATGGGTACTAACCACATTATTTAATATGATAAAGGGCATTATAAATGTTCAGAATTGGTCTTATCAAACTACAACAACGTTGTTCGTACCCATTTTTAAACCACTCCGTATTGTTTTAGAGAGGCATCCCAGTTCATTGATAAGATCAAAAATCTAATTGGATGTGTGGATAACACTGTCCTATTTTTATTTTATGTCTTTTACTTTTTTAATTATAGGCGCACGTATTATCTACTCAGAAATAGTTCGTCTAAGAACACTTACACCCGATCCAAATGATCCAACACGTTCTTTCTTAGCATGGACTAAATTGATTTCAGCAGAAACTAATTTGAATAATATTAAAGGACCACAACTTTCATTACCTGTTAATTTGCCATCATTAGAACCGGAACAATTTGTTATACCAACGCCTACAATCAAACGCACCCAAGCGACACAAGGAAAATTATCTAGTTCTGATGAGCCAGAATATGGACCAGTTTATGTACCATTTGTATCTCAAACGACGGATGTTGTAAGCCTTTTAATGCTAAATGAATATTTCAGTATTTTTTTCAATTTTTTGATTGTAAAGATTTTTTCAGGCAGAGTTTTGGAGGTTTGTGTTTTTACACATTTGAAATCATCAATCTATCAATGTTAGATCAGCATTAGAAACCTGGAAGCACTGGACGGCCGTTTCGACTTGGTATGGGACTCATCAGCAGTGCTCATCCATGACTCCTGCACCTCGCAGGATTCGAACCCGAGACCTTCGGTATTGTGCGCGAACGCCTAACCATCGGACCACTGTGCAGGCATCCAACGGTGTTAATGTCTAATTCTGTAAACATTGTCCATTATTAGAATTTGAGAAAACTTTCTTTTCTCTAAAACTAGTGTCATTAGTCAGTTGGTCGATTATAGATTAATATTGACGATTCCATAGTTTAACAAATTTTCCATTGAAATGTTTCAGTTGTTTGTATTGTGTAGAGGGGAAATCACTAAAACCATTGAATTTTCCAATAATACTTAATCTATCTATCAAAATAAAATTCAAAATGCTTTAATTGTAATTTATACAAAACTTATATATATTATACTCCCTATATTTAATATTATATACAAATAATAAACTATTAACATTAGAAAAAGTAGTCAGTTTAAGAATATTAGAAATTTGAAAGCACTGGGCGACCGTCAAGTCTTAGTGTGGGACTCATCAGCAGTGCGCGTCCAAGATCCCTCTACACGGGAATCTCAACTAAGACTTCCGGTCTCGAGCACGGACGCTTAATTTCCAGACCACTGAGCCACCATCCAAAGGTGTTAATATCTAACTTTGATCGATCTAAGGTTCATTCGCAGCCTCATCTATTTTCTTCGGTAGTTACTGCCTATACTGGTCACAGCTTCTGACTAGAACTCCGGGAATTTCTTCACGAAGTTAGTCACTAGTCAGCACATTGTCTGATACTCATTAAGTGTTATGGAGATTGTTGTTTTCTATTGAAATGGTGGACCAGTCATTGTCAGACCACCATTATAAACCTGGAAGAACTGGACAGTGACTGTGGTGGAATTCAACCCTGTCGGGTGTAGACAGTTATCCATTGAAGACAATGGGTGACGTTGCGCGGACGCCTTAGATCGATCAAAGTTAGATATTAATACCGTTGGATGGTAGCTCAGTGGTTTAGAGGTTAGGCATTCAAGCGCGAGACCGGGAGTCTTGAACTGGATTCCTGCATGGGGGGTCATGGAAACGCACTACTGATGAGCCTCATACTAGGACTTGACGGCCGTCCAGTACTTCCAAATTTTTAATGGTGGTCTAACAATGATTGAATCATGATTTCACTGGAAGCGCATTAATAATTTGTTAAGTATTTTCGAGGATCACATGTTATTCCAGAGTTTTACAAAGTAACTCTTCAATAACTCTTGATTTACGATAGTGAAGGAGATTGTTTACAGATTTTCTTCGATTACATCAATCCAATCAATTTGTGTTTCATTTATACTTTCTGCATTATTTAGGAGACAAGTGGAGAACTGTGGTCCCCTTATCAGATTGAAGATTCCTTATCAAATCTTGATGAAATCAATGGTTTAGCAGATAAATCAAACACTAATGATATAAATTCATTGAAAACAAAACATTCAAATGAAACAACTTCCAGCACTACTACTTTCACTACTAATAATGATAATAGTGATTCATCAAAATCTAATAATGACGAATATTGGATATTTTCAGATTTCAATTTAAGTTGGGTGCATATTTTAGGCGCTGCTTTATTTTTAGATGCATTATGGCTTATTCATCGAGTATTGCACACTGTAGATACTGCTGAACGTATATTATACGGTGATGTTGTATTTATTGACCTCACTGAAGAAGGTATTTCCAGTTTGCTCTTTGGCTACTTGTTTTCTTTGCTTTAATTTAATGAATGTATGAACTTTTTGTAATTGTAAGTCGTTACGTATGGAATCCATCAAATTATGAGTGTAGTAGTGATTTGACATTTGTTATTATCATAAATCATATTTAGGTAGTCAGATTGTTACTAAGTGGTCAGAATGCTCACTGTGACTTATAACCGTATTGAGTTTTATCATATGTAATGTTGTCGAGGCGCATATTGATGATTAATCTTGTACTAGGTACAGTGTTAAATGTTCCGTATATATAACAAACATTGATTACCGTTAAAAGTTAATTTGAAACTAACTTTAATCAAAAATGTCCATAAAAGATCATAAATAAACTTGTCGTCTATCTCCAAAATATTTTCGGACGGTGTGGGGATCCGACATGATGAAACTCTCAAGTACAATCAAAAGTAATATACTTTTTTTGAAATAACCTCCATCCATATCAGGGATTTCAAACAACATTAAAAGCCATACGTATTTTCACGATGTTAACACAACTAATTATATAGCTAAAATAAATCAAATAATTATTTTGTCATGAACAATTACCTTATTGTTAAGATTAGTGATTATTTTGATTGGTCATTTTTTGGGAAAATTATAGAAACATCCTAAAATGACTATTGAAACTGATCAAACATCAATTAGTGAATTAATCTTAGTTGATTCATGTCGGATACTATGATAACAATTAAGTTCATAGTTTTTTTCTAATTATTGTTTCATTTCGTTGAATTTTTAGGTCTCAGACGTCGAATGACCGAAAGAAATAAACTACAAAAAGGTTTAAAGCATGCATTTCAAAAAGTAAGCATTACACTTGTTTATTTCGTGTTGCATGTTGAAAACTGTTATTTTTTGTTAAAGCGATGTTTGGTAAGGAATTAGCTAATCAAATCCAGATAAATTCTTAAATCACTGAGCTGATCATATGTTTAACATTTAATAAATTATTTAGTACACTACTTAAACCAGTATTTTGAAGTGAATGACTATTATTACTGTTATTATAAATGTGTAATTAAGTCATGTTTGGAGTAAATACCTACCGTTGACGACCAATAGACAATAGTGAAAGAATAAATCAATAAATTCTGATTCAGTAATTGAATGACACTGTATTTACTGCAAAACTTAACGACTTACTGACAGATACTTTGTAAAGGTAAACTTTTAAGAATGATGTGTTTGAACAGGTATTTGTGAGATGGTGGAGAAAAGTTTTAGATTAGAGGGATAATTATCTTAGAGTTTCGTTTTCTGAGCTGAATGTTTTGCTTGTGCAGCTTTCACTGTTCTTCTGAAATACATCATCAACACGAACTTCAGACAGAAGTGAAGTATGTAAATTTCTGCATGTATAACTCGTAGCTGGTTGTGCTGAACTTGATCTTGACTTTGAATCTGTCATTGTTGACATCTTTATTTTGATTGTGTCCCCCTTTGATCTGTTTCCTGATCCTATGCTTGTCTTTTAATTTTCTGATTGGTTGATAAATTGGGTCAATGTCGATGTGTTTGTTGATTGGTGATTGAGTTGTGTTAAGCTACTACTAATTCTCTAGTGTTTTTTTGTACTCCCTCTATCCAGTAAGTCATCATTTTTCCAATCGAATGTATGTTCATAGTTGTCCTTATTTCTTGATATAGAGGAAGAAATGCCATGACGCTTGACTGCTGATTAATGTTCACGCAGAAGAAGCTGAAGAGGATGTTTATTTTATCGGATGTAGTGTTTTTCGCAGTTTGAACAGTTTATTTTGTGGTTGATGTTCGGTTTTTCTCTTGGTCCTTTGGTTGATATTGGAGTGATTGAAGTGGTTTTGTTGGTTCGTGTAATCTTGCTGTTATTCCCGATGTGTCTTTTATTTGTTAATTCTTGTACTTGATTTCGCTTCAGTTGGTGCTTTCTGATGATACTTTTTGATGAAGTTGCGCGGATAGCCTTTCTTTTGGAAGATAGTCATCAGTTGATTTTGTGAGTTCTTGGGTTGTTTGCGACTGTAGGTGTGAATCAGATCTATGTGTGTTGTCTTTCAAAATACTTGGTTCTCCAGATATACTGCATCAGTTCTGGTGATTAGTACATCCACGAATGATAGTTTGTTTTTTGACTCCTTTTCCATTATGAATCTTATGTCATCAGAGACGTTGTTGATCCGATTGTAGGTGTTCTCCAGCTCGTTCCTTTTAATGATGACGAATATGTCGCTCAAATAACAAACCCATATTTTTGGCTTGATCACTGGTAAAATCAAAGCTTCTAGTCTCTGCGTCACGACTTATGCGATAAGTCCTGATATTGGTGATCCCGTTGGTATTCCATTCGTTTGTCCGTAGATTCTGTTGTAGAACTGGAAGTACGTTTTTTAGTACTGATCGATAAGTTCTAGTAGACTTTGCTTTTGTAGTTTCGTATACTTTTGGAGATTTGAATCGTTGATGAGGTTCAGGGATAGAGTTTCTTTAGCTAAGTTTGGTTCGACTGACATGAATGAGGCTGTTACGTCGTCGATGGAGATCATCGATTCCTCGTTGTCGAATCTCCTTGAATTAATCTAAAGGTTCTATGGGAGATTAAAGAGAGTGATTGGAATCTTATCCTACCAAAACATACAAAACTTTGACATTATTTCTATTCATTTAACGAGAATGATCTTGCTTCTTTCTTTATTTGTAACATATTTCTCTCATAGGCACTGATAAATTTTATAAACATTTCACATAAGAAAAATAATAATTCTAAAATGTTTACAAATTATTTAGGATTGGATTAATAAAATAAGTTGACAAATTTATATTTGATTGATTTCACATAAATTTCACTTGAACTTTCTTTCTCTAAATGTAATGAAATAGGATTTGATTGTGTATCGATCGGTAGAGTTGCAGATAAACTCATTAAGGCAAAAAAATTAATTACACATTTTATTTGAGTTATTCAGTAATATCTTACTTTGATTATGATTATTATTATTTTTATTATGAATAATAAATAATAATACTAACCTTATAAATTTTTAAAACTGAACTCAACATATTTCGTACTGATAAAATATATCAATTTTTTTCTAATTGTATTTGTTTATTCTTAATCTTTCCACAAGGTCACGCACTGATTATGTCAATGAAAATGGAATTCTTATGATAATGTTACGTAATCTGTTTTCTTTTGACTCTTGAAGTTATAGAATTCCTTCTCTACCTTTCTTTTTAAATAGACTATAATAAATCTCTATAAATACAATCACATAGTTAGAATCTAAGCTAATGACGTCATCGAAACCAAAATTTGAACTGATATACGAAGTTCTGCGTTGTAACTTGCTTAGCAAAAATCAATTTCAGATATTTTTAAATTCAGATTTAATATTACTTTTTAGTAGAATGAAAATGTACATCAATATTTTGCTTTGGTCAAGTTTAAAACTAGGAATAATTGTCATTTAGATTATAATCTCACTCAACATTTTCACAAGTGAAAAAAGAAGATCGTTACTTATTATCGTTTTAATAATATTTTTATTTAATTTCATGGATAAAAAAAATTAATTAAATCTCATAAATTATAAAACTGTTTTATTAATTTGACAGATAATGCAACCTAGTACAATTCGGAAATTATGTGCAAGTGTTATTGCCCTATTGATTGTCACTCAAGCTTCCGCCCATTTAGATAGATTATTATCACAAGAAATGTTAGATTATATTGGATATTATGATAATTTGGTAAGTCTTTTTTCTCCTAATTTCATATTGTTGTCAATTAATGAAACAATTTTTTGTGAGTACATTTAGATTTTATTTTTGGAATTATTACCTGTTATTCTTAAAAACTCAGTTGAGCACATACATGAAGAAAACAATGATCCCAAGCTGTTCTCGCTCTACGATACAATCGAATCATCAATATTTAACTGAGTTAATTCATGGAAAAGACCTGTTGTACTGATTTTTTTTTAACAGGTATTGGTCCATAGATCCTGGTTTCTTATTCGAAACATTGGTCGGTATAAAAAGGATTTGTATTTTCTCGGGCGCTGACTGTTTACAGAAATTTCTAGCTTGAACCTATTCATGAAGCTCTAAAATTTCAACTTCTCTTATTTAAAAAAAAATGTGGTTTAAAACTAGATTATAATGAATGTCTAGTATATTTTGACTTGTCGTCAATATGTTCACAATGAGTATGATGTTATTTGAAACAGTTCGTTACCTACTTATTTCTATACAAAATTTTCGACTAGTCTATGATTTACATTTTTGAAATGATTTCGTTACACGTTTTATTTTGAGCATAACTTTTAAATCATTAAAAAAAAAACTAAAAAGATAAAATATCATTATCAAATTTTCAGATTTAGATGTAGAGGCAACTTGAAAAACTAAACCATCTACCTTATTCAATACCGATTCTTATATTGTGTCTGAAATTTATCAAATAAATGCTTACAATGCTTTGATGTTTGGTCATCAAAAAGTGTGTCATTTTAAAATTTATATTAAAAAATAAAATAATGGTTTTTAATGGTAACAATAATAATAATAATCAGTTGAACGTCATATGTTCTGCTTGATAACGAAAGAGACTGTATATATACACATATGGCAAAGAAAGAATAACGTCTACGTGACGCAATAAAAATTTGGCGAAAAGTTATGTAAGGAATATATATATGATAAATCATTTCATTAAAACTTCTTTTGAATAATATTTCAAATATACAAACTAAACTAGTGATAATGAATAATTATTAAATTTTGATCACAAGTAGCCGGTTGATTAGTTGTTTTTTTTTAACTTAGAAAAAAAAAACGTTGAAATAATTGAGAGAAGTAGTAGCATATTTTTTCTTAGAAGATTCTTGATATTAGATGAAATTTTTATTTTTATTTCGTACTACTTAAATTTAAGAAATAATTAATTAATTCATTATTTTGTAGAAATACATGGGTTAGAAGTGAGGGAGTCAGAGAGAGGTTTGAAAGTTGAGAAAGTTGATTGAATAAAATATTATTTGGTGTTGTAAAACTATTCGAATGTTCGTCAATTCACTGCTACTCGGAAAATAAATAATAGTTGTTGGCTTACTTTCGGAATCGATAGTTTATTAATTTTAGAATTCTCTAATTTATGGATATAAGGATGATACAAAAAACATACAGTCTAACACTGTTCATCGTTAAAACTTATATAAAATAATAATATCAATAACCGGATAAAGATTTTTCTATTTAAATCATGAATCGACCAGTGTAAGACCACTATTAGAAACCCGGAAGCACTGGATGGCCGTCTCACCGTGGTATGGAACTCATCAGCAGTGCGCGCCCTTGACTTTTGCAACTCATAGGATTTGAACCCTTATGAAGTTAGCCTTTAACACCGTTAGATACCATCTCAATGGTCCAGAGGTTAGGCATTCGCGCACAAGACGGAAGGTCCTGGGTATGAATCCAGCAAGTTGCAGGAGTCTTGGATGCGCACTACTAATGAGTCCCATACCAAGGCGAGGCGGTCATCCAGTGCTTCCAGGTTTCAAATGGCGATCTAACAGTGATCGGTTCATGATTTCAATAGAGTAACTCAACTATCTCCACAACCCTATCATACAAATAGAATTTTTGTTTGTCAGTAGTTTCTGCCATTCTTATTGTGGACAGTCAAATCCTTATTTCTGGATACGATTTAGTATAGAAGCAATAAACTTTTTCCAAATGAAGTAACTGCTGATATATATTTTGCACAGTATTTATGAGGGAAAAAAATGTTGATATATTTTGAAGTATATACAAATTATTGAAGCTTTGTACGCACACATTCCTTATGTCATCATGACTTGTAACTATTTGTTTTATGAGTTTTAACACTTCGTCGAAATCTGTTATCATCAAACAGTCTTTTATGTAATTTCAATCTTTATGAATGAGGAATAACGTCTGTATTTTAAAAAAGAGTAAATCGCCAAATTAACTGTCAACTAAGAATTTAATGTTTTAGTAATTGTAATATACGAGTATCTGACCTTAACTTTTCAATTTTTTCAGAGATAAGTAACTGTGTCGTAAACGATCAAACTCAGGCTTTATTTTAAACTAAACCACTATTTTATTGATTGATCAGTTTACTAAGTGACTTATTAGGATGGAACACTTGATCAACTTGATGTGTTAGAAATTTATTCCCTTTAGGTTATTTGAAGTTTTGACGTGAATCAGTGTAAAGAGTGTTGAGTAATAATAAGGTTTAGTAACGTACAAAAAACCAATTCCTTAAGAAGTTAACAAATTTACTTTCTTCGAGTTAATGATTCAATATTTTAACAAATTTTGGTTGTTTTTCGATAATATTATGATTGTATTCTTAAGGTATATATTATTTGATTTTGTAAAGGTTCTCCCTGTACACTTACATGCACGTCTTGTCAATGTTCATGTGACACGTTCAGCTCAACGTTTAAATCAATATGAATTAACAAGTTTAGAATCAGAAGTTAGTCGTCGATTAAGAGAAACACAATTTTTACTACATCAATGGACTCTTTGGTTAAATGAAATTGAACAAGAACAATGTCGTTTATTATTGGCATATAAAGTAAGTGAATTAATTCATTAGTGGGAATGCATTTGAATAACTAGATTACTTTACTTGAGTAACTCTTTGAATTTTAAATTATTATTTCCATAAAATGACTAGTCATGAATAATTGCTACAATATTCACTGATGTGTTTTTATATAAAGTTTACAATTCTAACGCAAAACTTTAGCAGTAACACTGCATTACAGTGACCAACTTTTTCTGTTTCTCTTGGGTAAATTAAACTGGTTACATTGAACTTCATTAGTGTTAAACGTAATACAAATGCTCTTGAAACATTTTAAACATAAATATAATGCAATAAAAATTACACTACTAGAAGTTGAAGAAAAATTTTGTGAGATGGTGGAAAAAATTTGTAGCTCAGGTGGATAATTGTGGTGGTGTTTCGTTCTCTGAGCTGAATGTTTTGGTTGGGAAGTTTTCATTGTTCTTCTGAACACCAATATCAGCACAAACTTCAGATGGAAGTGAAGTAATCGAATTTCTCCATGTTTGACCTGTTTAGAGTCAATAACAACTAATCAAGATCGAGTTTAGCAGAAGAAGCTACAGGTCAAACGTGGAGAAATTCGAATACTTCACTTCCATCTGAAGGTTGTGCTGATGATGTCGTTTGCTCAGAAGAACAATGAAAGCTTCATAGCCAAAACATCCAGATCAGAGAATGAAACACCATTACAAAAATCTTGTGGTTATTGGAAAAATATAGAATAAACATCTTTTGTGTTTCCACTTCTTTTGATACATTTTTCAAATTATGTTGATAAAGCTGCATACTTAACAGGATGATTGCTCTATTTTAAGCAAACCTGTTCGTCAATCAAGTCATCAATACTATCAAAACATACATGCTTTACTTTTTCTTGCTTTGAAATTGTACAATAACTCTTGAACAAATTATCAAGTGCTTTACTTATACTTAGAAGACAGTTTTATTATTCATTTTTATAGATTAAAGATATTTTTTTAGCAGACAATATTTTCATTGTTTAAATCTTAAGTTATCGATATTTTTGTTAGATAACTGTGAAAAAATCTCTATTTTAAAAAAATAATTATTCGGATGAATTTCGTAAAAAAAAATAATTTTAGTTTTAAATGTATTTTATTCAATGAATTTCGGTTTCGTTATTTTAAACAATCAAAACATGAATAATTCTATGGTTTGTTCATGATTTACAAATATTTATTATTATACTATTTATTGCACGTTATCGATCATTCAATTCGATCACATATTCTGTTCAATCAACATTCACTTCATACTTTTATTGTCTAGCTAAAAGTAATCTCTTTAGAGAGTCATGATCAGTGTTGATTTTTAGCCTCAACCAATTCCAGATTGATAATATGCTCGTCACTGTGTGTGACATTTAAAATCAAGAATTTGGCATGAAATTCCATCAGGAAAGTGGTTCGAACATTCCATCAAATGCATATCATATAAATAATTCTGATTCATAAACAATTATATATATATATATATATATATATATATATATATATATATATATAAAACTAAAGAAATTCAATAAGTAGTTGTACTTAACTGACTACATGTAACTACCTATATGACGTTTTCAGAAATTGAGCGTATTCGTATGCGTTGAATAGTTTTTCTAATGATATTAGTTGTCTGAAAGTTGAACTGTTCTAATCATTCCTTATGTTTACTGAATCCATTTTGGAAATAAATTATTACATAGTTGATTGATATATTTTGAACGAGTTATCGTGTGTAATGAATGAAAATGTTAAGACCAAATGGAATAAGTTATTTACTTAATGAAGATGCAATCAACTAGCAAGATGTATACACCATCTCTTCAGATTTGATTGTCTTCTTTCACGTGTCTTCTAGTCTTCAAAACACTTTGATTGTATCATACATTCGGATCTGACACTCTTCTGTTCAGTTGTAACTTCTAGGTGTCACTCTATAACGCATACTACTTACAAGCTGCCTTAAAAGTAGTTTCGACTACAAAAGGTTTAGTGACAACATTATTAATGAGAAGATTCGTATTCGGTTGAAAATATTCAAAACAGAATCATGAAAATTACAGAGCTCAGGTATTTGATACATTAGCGAAAGTGGTTAACGCCTTGATTATGTAGCAATCCTAACTAAAAAATTTTGAGGAATTAACTATGGAAGATTTATGCATACGTTCAGTTCCTATGACCATCCAACCTCTTTATTTCTACTTCTTCCTATTATTATTATTATATTTGTAGAAAATATCTTAGTACTTCTGTTGCACTGAGCTTGTTTTCAAGTAGAGACTTACTAGAGATTTTCTTTTAGGAAGCGACCTGTTTTCAACTTTGAAGTGTGATAGTCTTAGTTCGATGCCTATTTTTTGGCGCATTCACCATTATTGTGGTGTTGAGATCAACCAGTCACATTTTACTGGTTACACATCATAATTTTATGTCTAAATCGGTTTTAGAATTACACAACTCATTAATCTAAATTTCCAATAACTTTTGTTCATTTACTTTCTACTGTTCTGACTGAAATTTCAACGTAACGATAATTCAACAATTTATGAAGAAAGTGTTCGTTTCATTTACTTGGGATTTAAAAAGCGATTTGAAAATCTCATCTTTCTTTGTGATTGTTTGCTTTCTTCTTCTTCTTCTTCTTCTTCTCCTTCATAGGCTGCTGCTCAAAATTTACGAACTAAAATGTTAGCTCAAATAAATCGTAATTCAGCATTAGCAAAATTAAATCTTCCTATTCATATAATAAGCAAAGAACAACAGCAACAACCACAACAACCACATCCACAACAACAACAACAACAATCAACTTCTAACTGGAATCATCAATCATCATTTACATTGGATGATACAAAACGATATAATAAAAAGTATTCAGTTGCAGATGCTATAGTCCCGAAACATTGTCGTATGACACAATCTGAACGTGATTTAGAATTAGCAGAAGCTCGTCGAATTGATATACCATATTGTCCATTAAAACCGATTGTTCCAAGATTATTTAAAGAGTAAGTTGATTGAAAATGATTCTATTCTATATCTTTATTATATACAAAATTTTAATCATTGTACTTTTTAGTGATTGTTTCAATTTCCTACAAGTTATAATGAAATGTTTTTTTTCGAGACAAATTAAATATGCAATATTGTTGACTGAACTACTTTTGTTAAATCAAAAAGAGCTAAATGGTGGGGAGGGGTTTCTGTTGTCCTTTCAGTTTTACTGTAATGCACAGCTGCTATCCAAAAACGGGCATGAAACCATTGATCCAATTGGTTGAACCCTACTTGTAGAAAAACAGAAAATCATTTCCATGTAAATTGTCAATGATACATACATAACTCATGCATAAATGACTTATAACTAACTTATCAGGAATTTCATCTCTAATTGTAATCTCGTTTATCACAATCAATATACTTAATTTTGAAATGTTTCGTTTGCATAATTATTGCTTTCCTTTTATTGAATTACAATCTTGTTATCAATTTTAAATAAACTTCAGATAGCATATTAAAAAAATATATTCTTCAGTGAGCTATATCATATTTCATTACGGGGTTGTGAAGATTGTTAAGTTACACATTTGAAATCATGAATCAATCATTATTAAACCAACATTAGAAACCTGAAAGCACTGGACCGCCGTCTCGTCCTAGTATGGGACTCATAGATGTGCACTGCTGATGGAGTCCCATACTAGTACAAAACGGCCGTCCAGTACTTCCAGGTTTCTAATGGTGGTCTAACATTAATCGATTCATGATTTCAAATATATCATATTTGTGATTATTAGTAACAAATGTTTTACATTGGGTTAATACTGTACGATCGATACTCAAGTGTAACATTTTAAACTATTATGAAACTAAAACATATTCATAATAAGAAAAAAAATGACTAAACCATTAACTTTTATTATTTGTTTTATTGATTAGACAGTTTTATAACAGTTAAGTGTTTTAAAGCAGACAAGATTACAGTATTGTTGGCGTTATTTCTTACTAGTTTTAATGTTCATTATAAATCAGTGCACATCATTTAACCACAATGTACACATGTATGTAAATCAACTACTGATCAAGATCAATGCAAACATAATTGACATGAAGACAGAGTAGGAAAGAAGGTCATAAAGTTATCATGTTTATTAATTGTATACCAGTTGCATACATATACACATATATATCAATAGTCTCTACAAGATTGTCATGATTACAATTATCTGATCAGATCAAATATATATTACCTATCTAGTTATAAATAAGAATTAATCTCACATCATTATTTATTTCATAAAAACATATGATCAAGTTTACAGAGTTTATCAAGAGAATTCACCATCAAATCATTCAATGAACTAATCTAGTTGTTTTTGTTTTTTTTTCATTAAGAACAAGTGAATCAAGTTTTACTAATTGGCACTGTTTACAATATTATGTTACCGTTAATGAGGAATTTGATTTATGAATATAAAATAATTTGTTATTATACAATTGAATACAAAAATTACCTGGTTATCATTATTATTATTATTTTTTTATTCAGTCACGTATAGAGTTACTATTGGTTTTTTGGAGAAAGTTTCATTTAATGCTTAGAAAATCTACTTATAAGAACTAGTTAGAAAATGTCTAACTAGTTAGAAAATGTCTATTGATTAGTCGACATTTAAATCTGTATATTGTAGCTATGTTGTCTTATTATTCGAAATTAATAATTAAAGCCTTTTTTTTTAATGATTCAGATTGATTTTATGCACATTTTAACGAATATCGAAAACTTTTATAAAACTAAATCTTTTGTTAAAGCATATCTCAAGTTTTTCAGACTTAGCGAGCTTCCTTGATGAGACAGATTATTTTAAAGTAGTTTAAGTATATTGTTAATAAACTAAGCTCAATGAATTCGCAATTTCTATGATACACTAATATATTGTTAGAAAATAAACGTGAATGTATTTTCGCGACACGCCTCTACCTGGAAAGGTGAAACAGTGACACATTTTCTCGTAACCTGAGTCCGTTTACGCTTGGAGAAAAAAAGTGGTAAGTGAGGAAGAGAGTTCATTTGGCTAAAATGAATCCATTATATATGTATTCATATCATTTTTGAGATGGTGGAGAAAATTTGTAGCTCACGTGGATGATTGTGATGGTGTTTCTGTCTCTGAGCTTTCATGGTTCGTCTGAAAAACAACACCATTATAAACTTCAAGTAAAAGTCTATCTGAGGTTTGAGACGATGATGTCATTCAGAAGAATAATGATAACTCAACAACCAAAACATCCAGCTCAGAGAACGAAGAAACACCACCGCATTCATCACCTCCTAGGAAACTGAGCTCGATCAGTGCTTTACATTCCATAACTTGTAAATCAAAAGTAACTTTTCGGCTAGTTTGACTTATCTGATGAATAACTTGTTTAGGCAATTGCATTTTGTACTATTGCTACTGAAATAAATCATTTTTGGGTTGAGTTCTTGAAAAAAAGCACTTTCATTTATTATCTTTTAGTCATAATAATTATAGAGTAAATTCATTGAAAAATATACATATTTTTATATATCATTATGTCTAACATATATAATAACTATTATATTCAAATTTTATGATTAATAGATATTTATTTATACATATATATATTTATATGTTTTTCTCTTTTTATTCTCTCTTTGACATATATATATCATTATATATTTAGCTATAATGCTTCATTATATTTCACTGAAGTTGTATTACAATCAGAGAATTGGTTAACTACAGCACGCGACTATTTAGGTCGTTTCTTATTTTGTGTATTTATCTATGTTAGTGCTATTGTTTTATGGAATACAATGGGTTCAGTGATATGGCTTATTTTGAATAGGTAAGTTAAATCAGTTTCATTTTTTTTCATTTAAACAAAATCATTATTATTATTATTATCATTTAATAATAATTTTAATTGATTTCATTGGAATTTTTTCAATGATTATTAGTGAAATAGACTTGTTAGATGATAGATAATCTAACAAACAAATGATAAGGTCATCATATTCACTTGACAAGAATATATATTTATATATTTATCATTTATTTATTAGAGACAAAAAAAACTAACATTTTTCGATTCTATTTATCTACATTAGTGTTATTTAAGAAATTTGGAATAAATTGAAATTTTCTGACAAAATTTTCTTGTTAAAATAAGTTAAAACTGTAACTACAATGAATGACTATTGTATGATGAACTTGAATTGCTATTGAAATGCTGAGTACAAAAAAAAAACACTGAGTTCATTTCCGATGTAGTATAAAAGTGACTAGTTTTAGTGTTTTTTGGGAGGGGGTGGGGGGCAGATAATCATTCTTATGATGAAGGATTTATTTCTCTCCCTAAAGTTTTACTACAACATTGAAAATCTGGTTATGTGCCGTCGGATGCGGTTAGTTTAAATTGACAGTTTCCCTTTGTTTTCATATACATTATCAGGTTTTTATTTCATGTAGAATTAAGCCGCTTTATGATTATGCAACCTCTAGATAAATCTGTTTTGAAAACTTTATATGTTAGTAGTTGCCTTTAGAGACTTTGTTAGTTTGATGTTCTTGTTTACTTCCGTTCACATCGTTACTTAATACAAATTAGTAAATATCACTTATCATATCAGAATAAAATATCTGAACAGTGTTGAAATATTGATTGAGTACCTTCTAAAACTTAGTAGCTATTCGGATTACCATAAACTTTTAGTCTACCTGGCTAACAAAAATAACTCTTGGTAAGATGTACTGTTCAGATTATCTTATTTTTGTTGTGAAAACTTCAAAACTTATTCTAGTTTCAAATTTTGAGTCCTCACTTTTGTTCACCACATTTATCGAACTAAACGTAAAAATTATTTCATTAGGAACGATAATAGATCTTCTGTAGTGTAAGTAATTCATGGGTTTTTTAAGTTTTAGGCAATTCTGTGGCTTTAATATTTTAATAACCCAAACCATAGTTGATCATTTCATTTTAGTTCTCCATACAGTGACCTGTTTCTTTTCAGCTTACTTTTGAAAGTTTTAATCATATATATACATTTGCAAAAAATAATTAGTTGTCTGTAGTTACCTGTGCAGAAATCATTTCGTAAGATATCTTGGTTCTTACCTACATCAAAATATGAATACACTCTGATAAAGTTTCCATTTTATTATGAAAATAATAAGTGTAACTAACAATGAGAGCTTTAATGCTTTACTTAAATTATTACATTTCAATATTTCCTAAATTTTTAAAAAAGGCTAAATATTAACAATATTATTTATTCTTAAATTTTCGCCTAGTCTTGTTTTATGATTTCAGTTAATCACTATTAAGTCATCGTTCAAATGTCAATTTATTTTAAAATAATCATGGTAAATGTAGAAAAAAAATGCGCATTTTAAAATATTCAATCAAATCATAAAATTAAGATTTTTTTAATATTTCCATTTCACTATATATCTCGTGTTGCAAAAGGATGAAATCTAAACAATTTTTCACCAAAAATAATTTCATCAGAAACATCTACACACAGAATTTAATCAATTTGAAATTATAAGTTTACACCAACTGAAATATAAAATTAAATGTATACTTTTATTTTATTTATAGAAATGTATTTTAAAAAAATAGTCACGGAAAAAAAGTTTCTATAAGTATTTATTTTTAAAATGTTATAATAATTCCACATTTCTTAAAGTAGGTTGATGATATATATATCTACATATATATTGCTAACCTATGCAAGCATTGTCAACTTGAATGATCACACCATAATCACTACTAAATTCTTAACTTACTAACAACATTATTTTAATATAATTCAACCGAATAGACATGGTGTTCACATATTGTGTGGTTTGATATCCTATAATAATTCAGTTTGTCGATATACTACTAGATAACTTTAAATTCATGTAAATCTACTTGTGTAAGTCAAATTTATTTTTAGAACTTATTGTGTAAAAATATGGACTAGAATGTTTATAATCTATACACTCTGATTGTTGATATTCCAGAGGACTAAGAAAATCATTGTTGTTATCTAACAATTCATATGCAACATTTGTGCACATTATTTTGATTTATATGTTGTATTTGTCATAGATTGATCGTAGTTAGAGTATAACTAGAAACTAAGGGGTACTAGACAGCTATTTCGCTCAAATGTGGGACTCCAAAGAAATGGGCTTACATGGAACCACACTATTGTTTTTTTTGATTGGAGTTAAAATTCGAACATTAGATTTTGATTCAGTGGTTCTGGTAATCAGATTTTCCGTTAGACCAAAAGGTCTTGGGTATGATTTCTGGAGTAGTGGTAGGTGGTGTACTCGGACCGAATTGCTGTTCTCTTCGTTACTTCGGTATTTTTGTTTTGTTATTGCAATAAACTTTCAGAGTAGAACTTCTATTCTAACGTAGTATCAAAATGCTAGTGAAAATCAAAGCAACTCAGTTAGCTTAGCTTAGTATTTAATCTCATGATTCCGATATAAATAAAAGACAGATCATTAACAGGAAATTTTTAACTCTTTAGAAATAATTATACTATGAACAACTAAAATAATATTCTTCACGTTTCTAGTTTATTAAGTGATGTCATATACTTGAAATCATGACAATTTAATCCTTGTTCAATTATTTTTTTTTTAGTTTCAAGAGTATTGCTTTCCCGTTGAATGTTTTGTTATAAGGTACCTTATATGAAAATAAAGTCTAAATTAGGTTATCTGATGTGCCAATGAACTTTATACATTAATTATTTGCCATTTATTATTTAAATATAATGAGAATATTCTCATACAAAAATAAAATTTTTGACATTTACTTTTCTTTTCAAATTAGATTGAATCTTTTACCACAAAAAGTATTATTCAAATCAGATATTTCCAGCTGGCAACCAATCAATGTACCACAACAATTATAAACGAATTTATTTATTTGTATGTGACTTTATTCCAGTTCTGTTTTCTTTTTGTTTTTCTGTTGTTGCTTATATAATAAAAATCATCAATCGTGGTGATACGTACAATTCAATTCATTGTTTTTACATACATATTCAATTATTATCAAAAAATATTAAAATTTCTCATCTAACTAACAGAAATCAATCATGTTGAACCGGTTTAATTGATCGATACTGCTTGTTTATTCTATGAATAGTATAACAATAGTAGAACAAAAAAAATTACATTTATTGTTCCTCCTGAAATATCCATTTGTATTTTCAAAATCATTATTATTATTAATTTCTTTGTATTGTAAATGATGTAGTAATTTGTGTTCAATTTACTCTGGATAACACCTATGTGCTCTCTTTTTCAGTCATACTAAATTATTGATTTGTTGTATTCAGTTATGTATTATCTTCGAATAATCAGTTAATTGGTGTTATTTTTTAAACAGTTAATTGGCTTTCAGCCAATGGTTAATTTCTTTTGAAGAAATAAAATAGGACATTTCTATGCATCATTACTTTTTAGAGGATTTGGGAAATTACAATGCATGTTAAAAAAAAATATGAATTCGGTATGTTTTCTTGAAAATATTAGTGATCATTGTGTATTCCGAAATCTTTTTTTTAAAACAAAGAAATATTAATTATCTGTATCTTTTGCTTGAAAACATAAACTGTGGTCTAGTGGTTCGGCGTTCGTGCACAATACCGAAGGTTCTCGGCTAGAATCCTGCGAGATGCGGGAGTCGTGGGTGCGCACTAGACGAAACGGCCGTCCAGTGCTTCCATGTTTCTAATGGTGGTCTAACAATGAATGATTGATTATTTTAAATGTGTAAAAACACTAATCTCCATAACTCTAATTGAAAATAAACTGTTTTTTTAAAATAATTTGTGATATGCTAAAAGAAATTCAGTGGAGTGGTAGCTCGATGATTAAAGTATTCAAATGGTAGATCTGAATCGCGGAAGTGAGCAAGTCAAGTTTATAAATCTGTACTTGGTTGCTGAATTAATAACAAAAATTAAAATATAATATTATGATCTATCTTTGTAAATTCACCGACTGACCAACATCATCGGTGGCAATACAAAGATATACTGTGTCCTTAAGTGATTTTAAAGCGCTGATAATTGTTTGCATAATAATTCGCATAACTGATATCACAATTAATATTGGAGGATTCATTTCAGATTATTTAAAGGATTATCGGGAATAAATTTATTGCTGTCATATGGACTATTTTTCTGATGAAATGAATAAGACATAAAAAAATCTTTTCAACTAAATATTTATTGTCGCCAAATTAAATGTAAATTGTTTTTTTCAATTGATTGGTATTGTATTAGGTTACAGAGAAATCCATCACTAATGCGACCATAATAGTTCACTGATTGCGATCAGCAAAAACTACCTGGTCAATCTGAGGAATTTCCAGCCCGCAAAATACTTGGATTAGGTGAAAAAGACCGGAGAACTATTTACCGAATAAATGCATTAAGTAATTGATAATATAACATCATAGAGAGTATTGTGTATGTCGATTTTAAACAGGAAATATTTGCTAGGAATCTAAAACAATTCCCTGGTGAAATAGAAAATACGTGGATTGGTTGCAAAGTAAGTGATCTACAAAGTAATCCACTTCGATCGCTTGTGACATTTTGTCATGCTCATGTTGCATTACGATTTTGCATGGAACATAAGAAATGATTGGGAATCTTCAATTTCAGACAAGTTACATACAAAATATGAACATATTACGTTCCGATGAATAACACATAAATACATTCATAAGCTAGAGATCTTTACTTAATAACCTGGGCTCAGATTTCTTAACACACTATATTATCAATCGCTTTCAAAGTTGGACTAAAGAACGTTGTTGCTGTCGAAAGATACTTAAAGAGTCAGGTTCTAGGCTGACTGATTCGTTTAAAGTTATAGGTGATAAATTTCAAGATCTGATAGTTTCTAGTTTTAATTACTTTATGGATTGTAAGTTCACATTGCTTACGAGTTTTAAACTACTCAAAAACTGATTGTCCGATGCTCTCATACATAAAATCAATTGAAATCAAGATGATATTCAATGCAGACTAGTTGCTTATCATCAACTCTTTTCAAAAGAATATATTCATTTGTATAAAAATTCCTTCGAATAAACAAGAACGTCATCCTCATTGTAGTTCACAGTTACAAGACCCAATTGATGAAAACAAATAAAAAGAAACATGAACAAACAAGCAAATTGCATAATTCAGAAAAAAAAATTTATTTTATTTTAATGAAGAAAAAAAAAGGAAAAAACAAAAATAAAGAAAGAAAATCAGTAGGTATGAACATGAGATTGATATAATCATTATTATTATTATTATTACTAATTAATTATACCATCAAAAGTCATTTGTTATGAATACAAATATATCATTATACAACAAACGGAATAGATTCTATCCCTTAATTACACAATCACAACGAAAAATATTAAGGCAAAATACAAGTCAAGAAATAAAGCGCTAGTTCATTTAAGTAAAATACATATTTTTTACATATATAAATAAGATTAACTATATTATTACGTTAAAAAATATAATTTAGAAGCTATACAATACCATACTTCATACAACAACAAAAAACACAAGTTGAAAGTTAAGAAGAATGTTGAATCAAAGGAGAAAAAAAACCCACATTATTCTACAACGCCGGTCGACTTGTAAAAAATAATTTTGAAGGATGTTAAAGAATGCACAGGAATTAGGAGAAACAAAGCAGATAAAATAAGAAAATAAAAAAAGAGAAGAGAATTTTACTAACACCGTGTATGTAATTGCTTCATACATTGTAAATGAGTAATAATCAATAATTATGACAGGTACAACATGAACTACAACTAAGTTGTAATAAGTGTTTTTTCTCCAAAAAAATATTTTATAAAATGAGAATGAATACAATTAAAGAAAGATGTTTAATGACTGATTGTAGATGTTTAGAGTTACAAGTACTTGATAGTATTTATTGATATATACAAGGAAAGAAGATAGAATAACCAGATATTCCCCCTAAAAAATTTTTCCAAAAGCTGATGATTATAATTAAAAAAACGCTTCTGGAAAGTGTTCACAAGAATCGTCAAAGAGAACTGTAGTAGACTTTGTTAATACCAACTGTTTATTGGTTGTCGCGAAATATGTATATATATGTATAAATATGTATATATATATATATATATGTATATATATATATATATATATATATATATATATATATATATATATATATATATATATATATATATATAAAGATAAACTGTTTCTAAATAATGAAGTAAAGTTCAATTATCAATCTGAAGGAAATAATCATTATGTAACATACATTATACATATTTTTTATATAAATAAATAAATAAGTAGACGTGTAAATACCATTATTCACAGAAAGCAAGAGAGATTGCAGAGATTGAATATTTATTTCATGTAGTAGTATCCACCTCGAATAATCGGAATATGTCAAGAATATCAAGGAGAAAAACTTTAGTGATCAACTGAGAAATCAGAAAGAAAAAATAAACAATATGATCTGTCGAGATATTTACAAAATGGAAAATTCGCAATCAAAACTACATATCCCTCTTAAGAGTGTATGTTGGAGGATAAATTATAAAAAAAGACAAATACATAGATAGACGAATAGATTATCTCAATTAAGAATCTAATAGGATAATAATTGGTTGGTCAGTCACATAGACTGAATACGGAAACTAATGTCAGATTGAATGAATGTAAATCGTGTGTGTCTGTGTGAGTCAGAGAGAGACAGTTAAAACCGACACACACAAGCATGTATATGTGTCAGTTAGGATTGTATAAGATAGGAAAAAAAAGAAATCTATTGACTAGGGTTCGATATCAGATAACGGACATCGTTTTAATTCACTCATTTATGATATTAATAATAATAATAATAGTAATATAACAATGTGACAGTAATAAATACAAAACAACTTCGGTAATGTACATTATCAAGAAGAACGACAATTAGAAAAGAGATAAATTATTCAATAAATACATTTGTATATTTAACATGATTTTCTGGCAAAAAAAATATAAGCGAGTGAGAGAGAGAGAGAGACAATAGCAAAATCACATAATCATAAATACATATTGATAAATGAAGAGAAAATAAGAGCGCTATGACGTTTAAGATTGATCCATATGCAATTTAGCCATATAATCAGATAAATGTGAATTGCTAAATCGATGCGCTGCTGTTGTCGATGTGGACGGTGCTGATGTGATTGGTACTTTTACTACTACTGATGATGATGATGATGATATACTATCATCGCTTAATCTTCTACTTTTCATTGAATTGAATTCAGTTGATTTATTCATTTCAACTAATTGATGCTCCATGTGAATAGCTTCAGAAAATGACCTAACAATCAATCAATTGAGAAATAAAAAAAACATGTTTAAGGTCTGTTGTGAATTATTGAAATAAATATACATACATGTATACTTAGAACAACTTGTCCCTTTTTATACATTTTGATAGAACAGTGAGAAGACGTAATTGATCTGAAAAATGTGATGTATTCGCGCTAAACATTTCGAACAATCTGATCACACATATATACTTGTCAAGGCAATTTATATGATTTACCCTGGTAATCTTTAAGCCATAGTATATGGCCTAGGATAATGTGACAATTTCCTACCTTTTCTTATTCTTTTCACATTACGTTAATTTTCTCTCGCCTTCATTTACGATTATCACCTTATGTCTAATTGAACTTTTATTTAACTGCATTACGGAGTTGTGAAGATTGTTAATCCTATTTCGAGACCATGAGTCGATCAATGTTAGACCACCATTAGAAACGTGAAAGCACTGAACGGCCGTTTCGTCTTGGTATGGGACTCATTAGCAGTGCGCATTCACGACTCCTGCACCCTGCAGAATTCGAACCCAGGACATTCGGTTTTGTGCGCGAACGTCTAACATCTGAATCACTGAGCTGGTATCTAACGGTGTTAATGTCTAACTTGATCAATTCAATTGGCCTTTTACTAATCTTCATTGATTTAATAAATTACTATTAGTATACGATTGTGGAGACTGTTAAGTTTCACTCTGAAACTATGAACTGAAAGCGCTGGACAGTTCTATCGTCCTCGTATTGAATGCATCAGTAGTGCACATCTAGGTTTCCAATGACTGTCTAACATTGATTCGTTCATGATTTCAATAAATTAATATGTTAAAACAATGCATAGGATTTTTTTTCCCATCAAAATATGTATTTCTAATTTATAAGTGTTTGTCTCTTCCCATTGACATATTAATTAAGAATTGGAAAATGACCCATCAGTTTTGGCATATATATGCACTGTAAGCAAATCACTTCGATAATACTGTAGGCATATTAACAAAATTCTAGTAAATTCAAACAGTGTTTAGTAGTGGTATAATTTATTCACACAGTTCACACTATCCATCAACAGAGCAATATAACTGAACTATGTACTATCGAATCAATACTTGCTCCAAACAATGCACTTCGATATTCATAGAAATCAACTTTCATTAGTAAGTACTAGTATGCTAAATTACAATGAAATAGTTTTTTTGTTCGGCTGTTCTGTATTTTTTTTCTATTTTATATATATAAGTCTTATCTAGAAACCATATCTATATATATAAGTCTTATCTAGAAACCATATCTATCCGGATGCTCTAGACTTATAAATATTGACAGAAAAAAATAAGAAGTTATTATTATTTTTTTCAACTTTTGACTGATATAAGGAAATAAATCATCAAACAAACCAACAAACTTGACCACATATACACATAAACAAGATAATGACAATAATAATAATTATTATTATAATGACAGAAATTAGTAGTATGTTGTTGTTGACAGAAAAAAAACACTGAATTTTGCAATTAAATCTATTATTAGTCAGTATTATTTAATGGTATCATGAAACGTAGTCAGAAATAAAGTGATTTGAAGTGTTAATCTTTGCATAGTTTAAACTAGAAGTTTTGATATCAACCGCTATTAAAAAAACATAGATAGATTATATACATATAGATAGTGGTCATTTGGATCATTCCATTGACGTTTAGGACTGTAAATGATCAATTTCTTTTGGTTAGGGATTATAGTGACTAGAAATTAGTATTAATTAATATGCTAAAATGTACTGGATAATTTTTTCCGTAATCGTTTTCTGAAAAAAAGGTCTGCTGTATCATATTGAAACTGAATAAACTAATCATCAAGTTCACTGAACAACACCGACTGATGCATGAAAAAAATTTAATATTTGATTACTATTCGGTGAAGCTGCAGTGTTAACACATTTCATAAGGTCAATGTCAAGTTGATTAGGAATGTGAGACAGAATGGGATGTTACACATCTTCGAAACCATGAATTGATCAATGTTAGATCACCATTAGGAACCTGGAAGCATGGGACGGCCGTTTCGTCCTGGTATTGGACTCCTCAGCAGTGTGAATCCACTACTCCTGTACCCCGCAGGATTCGAACCCAGGACCTTCGGTATTGTGCGCGAACGCCTAACCATCGAACCACTGAGCCGGTATCTGACGGTGTTAATGTCTAACTTGATCAATTCACGGAGTTGCGCAACCTCATACACAGTCTTCGGTAGTTACTGTCTACACCCGAACAGGTTGAACTTCACTGGTCACGTCTTCCCACCAGAACTCGGAGAAGATTCCTCATGAAGCTAGTCACTAGTGAGCACAGGTAATTTGTATTTTTGAAACCATCCAGTGGTTCTAGGTTTCTAATGGTGGTCTAACATTGATCGATTCATGGTTTCAAAAAATGTGTAACTTAACAATCTTCACAACCCCGTAATGCAAAATGAGATGTGAAGTAGCATATAAATTTATTCAAGATTTTATAGAAATATCATTAGTGAGTCATAATATGCACGAAAATGTGCTTTTAATTCATAAAAGATATTACTTACTAACTGACAGAAATCAACCTCGAGTGAATCGGTGATTATTTTTTGCCTATCGAAAATTTTGGTCTTAAATAAAATACATTTACAAACACAATACCTATTCTCTAATGATTTACCGAAAAATAAACCTACTTAAATGAAGAATAACAATGTACATAAGTAATCAGACAATATACTTTCTATAAGATTTCATTTTATAGCTAATGAAACCCGGTATTGATTATTTCATCATGAAAACTTCTCCACTATATATTTCATATGATTTTTATTTTGAAAGGTACGGAAAGAAAAATGATACATTGGTATTTTTTTCAAAAAAATATTCTCATCGATTCTTCATTTTAATTCCCTAATGTGTACAAAATTGCAATGAGAAAAAAATCCAAATGAAAGGAAACTAATTCATATTGAATTAGCTGGCACACAATCAATACTTATACTACATACAATGAAAACGTATTAGCCTATATGTAGCTGGAATGTAGGAATAAGAGTTGATTGATAATAGTCAAGTATTAATGCTTTTCTTGTTATATTTTCATTTACAATATGTTTTTCTTTTAAAACGTACATCAAAACACCTCAACGAGTGTACCAACTTAAGTAATCCGCTCTAGGTTATATAATTTATGTTAAATGTCAATCGAGTAGGTGCAGATGAGTGAGGACTCTTGACGATCTGTCAATTTAAAGTCAGATACTTAAATAACTTTACTTTAATATCGGATCTCTTTATATAGAACTGTTTCCTGCATTCATTTTAACAATTTAATGCACATTATTGTATAAGCATGTATTTCTAAGTGGAAAGATAAGTATTTTTAGATCTAAAACAAGAAATAATTGGTTGAGTAAAGAGTTCTTCTATAATCGGTGGATTCATTTCCCAAAACTGTTCAATCACATGTTAATAATTACAATAATAGTGATAGTAAGCATTTGACTAAACATAGTTGGTGGTCATTCCATAAAGATTTCTTGTAGATATATCTTCTTAGAATTTCATTGTTTTTTTAACTTCTAAGAGGTACAATCCAAAAGGATGTAATAAGTGACTGAGTTAGTCAGCTAAAAGGAGGCCTTCATTCACCGACATACACGCTAAATTGATTATTCTGGCGGCAAGTGAAACAGCCTTAGTCGTCAGTATGGCAATTACAAGACAAAAAAAACATCCCATAGTAGTAAGTCATCTTTCTTAGTGTCTACGTAGCAATTCAGTCGGAAGGCATATTTAACTTAGTTAAAAGTTGGTTTAATCAGGAATGATAATAATTTGGCACACTGAAGTTGATAGTCAACTATAGAGATTTCAGTATGAAACCAATGTGTTTATTATTTGCACACGAAAGTTGAGCAGGATCAGAAACTATGAACTACTACAGGATATATATTTTAACAAGCGTAACAAACAATTTGTAAATAATTGTTATTATTTTTAGAAAAAAAGAAAACCGCAACAATGACAACACAACTTACATTGCAACAGTTTCTTCCGATACATTTGTAAAACATTTCCAACCAGTTTTAGCATGATGTCGAATTGTAGTCATTAAATTGACAACAGCTTCCGGTCTAGGTGGACGAATCAATTCTGAGTTCGGTATCCAATAGACAGCATTCATCCAAGCTTCTTGAGCACCATTAATATCGATGCATTGATTTGATTGTTCATTATTCAATACAGGAATCCAATGTGATTGTGAAGCGGGGAGTAATAAGGCATTTACACATGATGTAATACAATCAGCTACAGTTGATGGAGAATAACCACCTTCCAATGCTAAAACTATACGACTATTTGATATGGACATACACTGTAAAATGAATTGAGAAAATTGTAAAACGAAAATGAATCAGTATGATATTGAATTAAGAAAGATGAAATTTATCATATTCACTATTGTGAATATTCTTAACATTCTTACTGTAGGCTTGATAGCTTTGTACAGCGGAAGAATTATGAGCTGTTTATGTAACACGGATATTAGCTGTATGCAGACGTAATTGGAAATATTATTGGATTCGATTGGTGGATAGAAAAAAATTACTGTAACCATTGAAAAATGATATACTTGGAACACGTCAATCAGTTACAACGAGGAGCTTCGTACATACGCATATCAGTTCTAGCTGTCATAACACATCAGCACAGAGACGCAACTGTCAATTCGAATCAAATAGTAGTAGAGGTAAGAAGAGTATTAGCAGTGATCGGAGAGATTAGAGTTTGAAGATATTATTCAAGAAGTATAATCTAGTGAAATAAGCTTAAAAAGAGATAGATAAAGGTGATGAGGAATTCAGAAGGTTAGGATTTGAGAGAACACGAAGAATTGATGTACCTGCGCCATTGCAAACAGTTTTGAGTCATGTCATTCAAGATCTCTAACCATCGATTACTATCACCTCGCGGACAAGAACCAAGTAGCCGACACTTACCAACATGACTCAATCTATTTGTCAGTTACTTCATGGATTTGTGCCATGTTTTGGTTTGGTTGCCCATAGGTTTCTTCCAACCTAATCCTACACCACAAAACATTGCTTGACGAGGCAGTTGATCGTTGGACATTCATAACACATGTCTCAACTACTTCAACTGATGAAGTTTCAATACTTCATCCTTACCCAGTACCCGTTTTCTAACTGCATAGCTTAATCGATAGTCCCAAGATAGACGAGCAATATGTCGGAGATACAGATGATCGAAAACCAGTAACTTACGGATATCTTCTACTCTTACTGGCCATGTTTTACTGCAATAAAGTAGGACGGAGCGAACTGCTGCACGGTACACTCGTCTTTTGGTTAGTCAGTGTTCTGCCCATCATTCCAATCCCGTGGACTGAGGATGAATAATGAGACCATCCTTTTCTGAGAGTCTCATTTACATTCTGATTCCCAGTACCAGTTTTCTTGATAAATTTGAACAGTTGTCTACTGTTCCCTATCCCCAGTACCTTTTATATCTCTCTTGCTTTCGCTACCCACCACTGTTCACGATCATTGGGTAGGCGTTTTGTCAGCTTGTGCTTCAGCAGACTCAGCTCCTCATCGTACTCAGAGCCAGACACGATGAGTTTCTGAGCATCTATAAGTTCGTAGATGCTACTAAAATCCACCACTTCTTTCTAACTTTAAAGATTACCTTGCTGGCAGATATCACTGCTGTTTCCACAGCTTTTTGGATATCGTTCCAAGCTGCCTCAGGGTGGGGATCACTGCCTAGTTGTTTCTCCAGTTGTTCCTGGAATATATTCTTAGGTATGCTATCATTAGGTAGAACCCTAACAGGTTTGCTTGTGCTGTCTTTTCTACGTCCAGTTAGCCGCATACAAATACGCGCTCGTACTAGGTCGGGTTTGGCGGTTGCCAGGTCAAGAGAAGTTATTCCGTATACCTAAAGTAAGTGTTTGCTAGAAATAGGTGATTATCTGAGTATAACTGCAGCAGGCGGTCGCTATTATCTAATTCTTGAGCCACGATACCATAAGATCCACCTAAGTGTCTTTTACTCAGTCTACCTACTTGGGCATTGAGTTCACTAGCCGTTAGTACTATATCAGAGCATCTAACTTTTTGAAGAAGGTTAGAGAGGTTTCTGTAAAACTCATCTTTTATCTCATCTGAGATGCAGTCAGTAGGAGCGTAGAAAAAGACAACAAAGAGGTAACGGCGAATTTCCCAATCTTTCCGAGTCCTTACTGTCCCGTTTAGTTGGACTGTCTACCGAGAAGCAGTCTAAGAGAGCAATTTCTGCCATGGGACTTAATACTATACCTATGCCAGCGAGGCAACAAGAAGCAGCAACAAGGCTTCTAGATAGATGAAGCGTAAACCGAGTTGATTCTCCATTTGGATAAGATGAAATCAAATCAATGATTTTACTTGGAGACAAAGCATACATCGACGGAACTGGATTCCAAAGTCCTAGCTAAAGAAGCTTGTTGCCCTAATTGACACAAGGTTCGAACATTAAAAAGCTCCAACATGTAGTTTAGAGCGGGGTTTCAGGAGACCATGAAATAACGTTTTGTGAACTCAAAACGTTTGCATTAGCGGCGCGAGGTGACAAAGGAACAAAAGAAGGGTTGATCGTGGAGGTGTAGGAAGGGTTTGATTGTGCTTTTACGGGTATGAGGGCGGTTGTCACTTCTCAGCTGCCCATACTGTGGAACACATACTATGAAATAAAAAAACTGATTTCAATGAGACATTAACATCTCTATATATTAATGTTATGCTGAAAAATTATTTCGTTTACTTATATTCTTTTAATCTTTCTTAATTTCATATATGTCAACCAATGATTTTAGCATTAAAACTAAGATATATGATATGAAGCCCCAAATATATGGATTTCATTTGGTTGAAGGCAGCCAGAAGATACCATGAATTCTGTAGATAAGTAGTAATATCAGCAAGAGCTATTAGCAAACAACTCCTGCTTCTAATTTATAAAAATCAAAATTGTCTCGGTTAGTAAAAACAAGGCTCTGATTAATTATCGTCAAAAAGGTTCGTTTTAGGGTTCTGATATTAACGGACTCTCGTCTGTCGATCTGGAACTCAAAACAACTATCAACCAACAGCAAAGTTATAATTTTCAATACATATGTCAAGACAGTTCTACAAAAATCAACATCCGGAAGATATAAGTATTTATTAACAGTTATCTACGCAAGGTACTGAGGATCCGTTGGCCAATTAATGTGGGAGAGATCAAACCAGATTCCAGCAGAGGAAGAAATCAAGAAGCGCTGAAGATGGATAGGGTACACATTGACGAAAGCACCCAACTACATCACGAGACAAGCCCTCACTTGCGATCTTCAGGGTCACAGGGAAAAGGAATATATTATTGCCGAGAATCGGAAGCGAACATGGAATGAACAGTAATTTCATAGAACTGGAAAAGAAGGCCCAGGACAAAGTAGGCTGAAGGATACTGGTTAGAGGCTTATGCCGTACTGGGGGTCATAGGCGTAAGTAAGTAAGTAAGTCGGTCAATCAACAATATTCACACTACCATTTTAATAAAATTACATCAACTCTTTGAAGTAAACAATAAAATGCATTACAATGGTGAATTAATAACACTATCATTTTTTTTTACCATATTACCTGATGTGTAATCCATGCAAATAAACCAGCTGATACAGAATAACCGCCTAATGCTTCACCATGTCCATAAGCAGCATCATAACCAGCTGAAATCAATATAATATCAGGTTGAAATTCATGTCCAACTGGTATAACAATAGAACGCATTGCAGCTAAATACTCTGCATCACTTAAACCTAATAAAGGTTCTTTCGATTTACCAGACAGTGATGGCTGATCCGGTTGTTGTTGTTGGTGAGATATGTTCGATACTAGTGGTTGGTGTTGTGTAGAATGTTGTCGTTGAAAATGAGGATATGAATTATTATTATTACGACTATAAATTAGATTAGTTTCAGGTAATAATAGATCTGATTTATCTGAGCATGATTCAATTGATTGTGATAAACAGAATGAACAAACTTGACTACTCCCCGTACTTGTCATTTTATTTGATAGACATGTACAAAATGGCATAGTATCGGAATCTTGTCTACTTCTGATAGACATTGAAAGCTGAAATGGTAAAGAAATTGAAAAGGATGATACAGAATATTGTTGTTCAGAATTAGATTGATTAAAAAAAAACCTGAATATTGATGATGATTAGATGATCCACTAGTTTTGTATAATTTTTGCTTGAAGAAAATAAAATTACAAGAGAGATATTAATAACGAAAAACTATAATTTTTTTCAATAATTCAAAGAAATATCCTTCATCAATGACGCTGCTTTGTCATTGATGACAGTTTAATGTGAGTTGAAAGGTATTGGGGTTCGAGTCTTGGTATAAGCAACAACACTGGAGTAGACGAACATCCAGCTGGCAAACCCTATATAAGATGAAACTTAAGTTCTGGATTTCACTGATAGGAACGTTTCAAATTTGCTTATGAAATCGTTATGACTTAACGACAATACCAAGACAAACTGCACAGGATGTTGACATATCAAAAGATACTGACCAATTGTATTCCACAACATCAAAGGGAGGAAGAATTCAAGTAACCAATACAAATGAACAGTTGAATATTGGTGATCATAAATAAAATCGATATTGACTACAAAAACAATACATAGTCCCGAAGTAAGAACTAAAAAGAGAGAAAATTGTTGAAAAATATAGCGAATAGTAAATAATGAAAAGAGTGACACAATCTTTAAATAACAAATGAAACATTAAGACAGAAGTAGAACACAATATGTAAAATGTAACTGTAGTGTAGAAACTAAGAAATGAACGAAACAGAGATGAACTTAATATAAAATCCGGTCATTTCGAACTAAGGGTGCTTATTAATCGATTAATCTGAAGCATAAAGCAAAATAGGTAAGTGATTGAAGCATTCAGCTCTTAACTAAGTAGATCAGAGGTTCAAAGCTTATTTCAACTCTTTTAGTTTGGACAGTCAGGTAGTAATAGTAACCCCCCGACAGAAAAGGAACCTGCATGTGAATAAATTAAGCGTTTACTTTTGAACTACAACATTCAAACGATATTCCGACATTATTATCACTATATCCAAAGGATAACTTCATCATGATTTAAAACTATTTTGTCAATAGTAAATAGATATATTAAAATGATACGAACAACTTACTTCACCCTGAGTCGATCGATTAGCAGTATTCTACAGAGGAAAATAATACGAAAATATTTTCACAAAAAAACATTTATAAGGTATTTATGTAATCTAGATATTTTATTAGATAAAAATTACAGTATTTTGCAACAAAGTACGAAGGATTTCCGTTGTATTTTGTATAAATGTAAAGCTGTTATTGTTTTTTTTTTCTAGATACCCACCCTAATCAATAAACCTTTACTGATTATGAAAACAATATTTCATTCCCCTACTGGAAAGATTTATTTTTTTTTAGGTAAAATTGTACTTTGATATTAATACCAGGTGAAATATCATGCAGAATTATCGATTATTCTGTGAATGTCAATTTTATAACATATTTAATTATTCCCCATTTTAACTAATAAAAAAAAGCTTGATTAGATTATCTTTAGTGAATATATCAAAATTTTTAATTCCCTAATATATTCAATCGTTTACTAAAGGTTCTCATTATTTGGAATTCATTATGTCAAAAGGTGGACGAGCAATTCTGCGAGTGACCATTGTACTTAGGTATTCTGTCCAATTGGCTAGGTGATCTTATCATTTCACTTCTGTAGTATATATATATATATATATATATATATATATATATATATATATCAATGAATAATCAGTTTTAATCTTGTTAGACAGACTGGTTAGCGAAAAATTACGATTATCTTGAATAATCGGATATCAAAGTTGAAAATGTCTTCTAGATCAGTTAAAAACCACTTAATTAAATGGCATAGGAGAACTTTAAAAAAGGACTGGCAGATGATTTTCTAAAAACATTTTAGAATTATTGAGGGTATTTACCCTAGAAATCATTTATTTACGAAATATATCGATTAAAAAAATTGGGAAGGAACAGGAATACTCACTTGAAACCATCGTTTCCTTCTTTCATCAGCATTTAAACTGTAGGAGGGATCAATAGTAGATGTAGTTGATCGACGTTTCATTTGTGATCTTAGTGTTTCAGTATAATTATTATCATTTGTATGATTGTTAGGATTTTCCCATGCAATATTTATTAATTGAGCTGATGGAATTGTTGTATTTGAAAAATTATTGCCAAATTTATTATTTGGATTAACACTGTTATCATCTAAGTGTTTCAATTTATCTGAAGAAATATGATTATCAGTAAAAGGAGTAGTAGATGTTTGATCATTATTATCACAGGAATTATTTCGTGATGATTGATTCTCTTCGGTATGATTGGATACTGAACCAGTACCAGGAAAAAATGTTCCACCATCATATCGATGTAGGCTTAAATAAACTAGTCCAGGATGTGCTGTAGCAAGCTTTGTTCCATTGCCATGATGTATGTCCCAGTCAAGTATTAAAACTTTGGAAACAATACGTTCACGTAGTAAATGCAGTGCAGCTATTGCAACAGAATTAAAATAACAAAATCCCATAGCTTGATTTGGTTCAGCATGATGACCAGGTGGGCGAACAATAGCGAATCCATTACGATAATGACGTTTTGCTACTCTGTAGAAAAAAGAATCGGAAAATCACAAGAAAAAACAAACAGTGTGAACATATTTTTCGAGTTCTTTTTTTGACATTCTTAACGCTAAGCAGAGATAATCTATTATAGGGGGTTGAGCATAAATTTTACAAGTTACGTAACCGATGACATGTTATTCATTATTTAGTAATTGGGTTAGAATCGTATGGTAAGGGTGTACATGCTTTTAAAAGCTGCTTTGTTTGTAACAACCACTGATACACATATAGATTTAACATGATTGATCATCAAAGTTAGAATTTTCCAGTTATAACAAGAAACACCAATTTGGTTGCAACTCTAATTATATGATCATTAAATTTTAATTCAATTAAGAAAAAATAAATAACTTTCAAATGTGTTTCATAGAAAAAAAAAGAGGTGAATACTTTAACTAGTATTTTACAACAATGCATATGCATATTATTGTGATGTACGAAAAAGTCCTGATTAGATGGAATATCTACATATGTACTTAGGGAAGATGCAGTTTGTTAACAAAATATGTACACCGTATCCTTCAGTTTTCCATTTACAAAGCAAGTAGATTATTGGTACTCTTCTCCTTACACATCTTTTAACTTTCCAAACTAAACTGATCACGTTAAGCATTTCGATCTTATTCTATTCTTCCTTTTTAGCAACAACGTCTGAGCAATGTCACGCTACATACTACTCATCTGCCCACATTGTAAGTAGCATACATCATACTAGTAAGACCCATCATTTTTTTTTGAAATACTTGCACATTTATACTGTATAACCAACCAATCGGATGAACATTTGTTTCAAGTACCTTCATATTCGTTTCTGATCAGTTTACATGTATTATTCTTCTTCTTTCATTACAGTCAATACATAATTGTTAACTTGTTAAAATTATGTGAACGTTGTCGTTGTTTTATTTTTTTTACATCGTAAACTACTGAAAAGAATCTAGGGAATAAATGAATTCATCTTTGTTTTTTCTATTATATTATATTTATTATTCTTTTTGCTGTATTCAAATACAATAATTTAGTCTAGAAGTTTTGTTTCATTTCACCGACTGAATCAATTTTAAAATTGACTTTCATTCATTTTTAGATAGGTATATATATATGTACGCTATTTTTTCTTCGTGATATACACATATCCAATGATAACATAAAGGATATGAATAATAGATGAAAATAAATGTGAAATAACAAGAGACTTTTATGATATAAAAAATATCATCTACACAAGCATTGATACAAACATAAAAATGAAATAAAGTTAGTTAGTCAAAATTATTGGTACCCTAGAATAAATTACTACATAGATGAACAATTGTTTCATTATTATAATAATAAGCTTTTAGACAAATAAAAGTAGCTGCCCATATATGTATATTTATAATTTTAGAAAAAGTAACATATACTACTAATATCGGGAAATACACTAAAAAGAATAATATAACACTCCACTGTCGTTCGCCATTTTGACCTTGTAACAGGGAACCAATCATAATAAAGGCAGGAATGATTAGTTTGACCTAACAACTTTTACTCTTTACAGTACTTACTAAAAGTTAACTTGTACAAAGCTATGAACAATGGAAAGTTTTCTAGGATAAAAAATATCACTTAATCCTGTTGCGAGCAACTTGTCAAGTGTAGTGCCGTCAGTCATGATGATAAGAAATTAAGGATTACGATAAAGCAAAAGTCACATTCCTAAATGATTCAGTAACGAAAATTACCCGAAAATATGCACAATTTGGAGAATAAATACAAAAAAAGCATGATCCATATTATTGACTATGATACACTTGGATGACTTGAGTACACGGAGTCTAACCACGCTAAACAATTTGGTTCATAAGACAAAAATCATGATTATTTATATAAGAATTGATAATCTACATTTAATGAAGAGATAACTTTGTGGTTAAAACATTTGATTTCTTAAATTCGCCTACATAACATTTCAGCATAAACAACCAATGAGTAATATTCTCATGTAAAAACAAGTGCACTACAACAAGGACTTCATACAAATCATTATTTCATTAACGAATTAGGTCATATTCTTAGTGTAAACAAAAATACTGATTGTTTGCATATATTAATGTAGGCTAACGAGTTTATAGCTTAATGTTAACGGCTAAGATGATCACATGATTATAAGGTATCAATAAATTAATACATGATAGATTTAAGTGTGTAATTATGAAATGCTCCCAACTGAAATTAAAGAATAACTAATTTTTTACTCTTCCTTGAATACATCAGGTAAAACTTTGATAACTAACAAAATTGAAAGTTTTCATGATAAGGTTGTGGAGATTCTTGAATTTTATTGAAATCATGTATCGATCAATGTTAGACCGCCATTAGAGACGTGGAAGTACTGAGCGTCCATTTTGTCCTAGTATGGGACTCATCAGCAGAGGGTATTCACAACCCCCGTTTGGGAGAATCGAACCCAGTCGCCATCGAAGATAATTGATGATATCGCGCATGACCGTGGACTGATCGAAGTTAGACGTTAAAACCATTGGATGCGACTCAGTGGTCTAGAGATTAAGTGTTCGCGTGCGAGACGAAGGTTCAAAGTCGTGTATGGGCGCTGCTGCTGAGTGCCATACTAGAACGAAATGGATGTCCAATGCTTACAGGTCTCTAAAGGTGGTCTAACATTGGTCGATTCATGATTACAATCAAGTTAAATTTAACAAAACGCTGACACAAACCACTAGTATATATATATATATATATATATATATATATATATATATATATATATAATTTCAAAAGATTCACATTGTTAAAAGTTTAGTTTTCAAAAATCAATTATTTCAAGCAGTTTCTCTTCCTAGTGATCATTAACAAATGATTATCATCATTAGATCTAACAAGGTTTTTGTCAGATTTAATATTACTAATGCATAATTCAACAACTATGTTGATTTAGTTATCCCAGCTAGATATTATGTTAAGGTAATAGATGAACTTAATCAAGGTACTCATCAAACAGTATGCCTACTTGTATGTATTCTGTCACAAAAATAGAAACAAATCAATTTTTATTGAATGAATTGCAAGGATGACAAGTATAAGCTTCAAGTTAAGTGTAATAAATAACAATATATCCACTTATCAAAAAAACAAACAAACTTATAATCCCTTTATCCCAAATGAGTAAAAGGAAATAAATATATCAAAGAAAATTATTCACTAACATATATTAATCAATAAGAAGTTATACAAAGGAATAATAACACAATGGATCAGATTAACAGACAATTTGTATGGTTTGAATAAATTTGCAATGAAAGTAAATTATTAGTAGTATAGTGTTTTAATGATTTGATGATTTCAACTGATAAAATCGAGCCCATTGTAGCAATTGAATAAGAAAAAAAGTTAAGTGAATTTAATTCAAGCTGTATATTCGTATTCATAATTGTTTGAGTCTATAGAAGAAAACAAAGCAAGATTACAACATCATGAAATGATCCAAGATTTCAAAGATCAAAAAAGATAGTTGTATAGTGAATTCAAAGTTAGAGAATAGAATAGAAAAGATGAGCATAATATTTACACGGATTAGAACTATGAATACTTAACAGATATGAAGAATAAAAATGAAGAATAATATGGGGCTATAAAGAACAATTTAATAAGAATCTTTAGAGGATGATACTCATAACTGATTACGAAGGTACAAAGAAAATGAAACACAAGAGTAAAACGTACTGATAAAGGACTGTGAAACAGATGACAAGTTGCATGTACTGCTTTTGTATGCAGAATTCAGACTTGAATTAGTGTATTGTCAATACTTTAACAGTGCATAAGTATTGATTTGATCGCCCTTTGGTTGTTTTCCTTTTTTATTTGATGGGATATTTCCATTGAGGTAAAGTGTTTAGAATTAAACAGCTGCTGTTGTATTGAAATACTGATTGTTTTGCATTTGCCTCTTAAAAGCTATTCCGGATAATGTTCTGTGATGCGCTGATTTTGAGCAGCCAATGTAACCTGCACCGTAAGAGTAAATAAACTAACAAATGCATATCGATGTGGCCCAAAAGCAGAAGTTTATCTTCAACATATTGTTCAGCAGTTAACCATCTTCACGAGACGCTACAAAACTTAACTTCAGGGTTTTCGTAATTCCTTTTGTATAAAGATTATAGCAACCATTTTCCCTGCGAATTCAAAATTCATAAAACGTTATATTTTAAACTGCTGATGATTTTTCAGGTTATCGTTTCAATCGATGAATTTCAGTCAGAAGGCCATTCATTTCTGAAGAGCATTAGTCACAACATTCAGAAATAATACCTATTGATAAAGAATCTTGGTCATTAGAAATGCTTGGTTTTACTAAATACTTGTATTCAAACTAAGAATATAATTATAGTATATAGAATGAAAAGAATAATAATAATATTAATAATAAAATAATAAACTAACTGATGAGCAAGACATAAAACTTGACCAACAGCTAAACGAGCAGCACGAGCTGTTTTATACGGATTCCAAACTGTATCTGAATCAACACCAACACCACCACAAGCTAATGAACATAAATGATTTGATAAACTTGTGGCAGTACATGATAATCCACAATCAACCGCTGGAGATCCATAAGATACAGCTGATAATGGTGGTGATTCATTGGAACAATTGGACGAAGGTCGATCATCATTTGAACCAGTAGGAATAGTGCCAAATGTTTGAACATATTCAGTTGAATGGAATATTTGTAATTCATTCTGTCAAGTGAAAATGATTGACACAAAGGGAGATAAAATATTAGAACGGTAGAATATGTTTATCGCAATACGATACGATTTAAAATCTTCAGAACATATATAATTATTATTAGACTCGAATGAATTATAAACTTATTTCACAGATAAGAGAATTTTATGGATATAAATGTTGGAAAAATCTGTACTTTTAAGTATTACAAGAAATTCTTTGATTACAAATTTAAAGATAATATTTTCAGTGATGAAATATAAAAGAGTTTAATTGACTGTTTAAATTAATATATATAAATCGATGGGGAGTTCCTCAATAACAGCGAATATGAAGTGTCAGACGATTTTGAGCATTACTTGATCAAACCACCCGGGCCTAGCGACCTAAATACTCTTTAAACAACCAACCTACTTCATCATTTGTAATATATATATATATATATATATATATATATATATATATATATATATATATATGTATATATATATATATATGAATAAAAAGTATAATTTAAGATGACTTTTCTATGAGTGGTATTCACCTTAATATAGACGATGTTGTTGGGGAAGTTAGATCCCCAGAACTTACTTGATAAAGGTCCTCATTTCGGATGTTTTTGCGTGTAAGTTGCTGAGTTGACCTTTAGCTTAAGTTTCTTACTCGGAAAATCCTTGACTGTCATTGGTTCATAGATTATTTTGGTACACTATTTTGTGGCTCTCCTAAGGGCGTTTTTATCATGAATAAATAAGCTTCATTTGTGGGCTTAGCAACCTCGTATTTTCTGAGTGCTTGAAGGATAAACTTTCTACGCCTTATCAAGACTTCTTGATATAGTTAGCGTGACCGAGGACAAACGGATTGGAATAGCCTACTGTGCCACTGAGTCATTGCTTTCGTTCCGTCACCGAGTAAGGTGAACTCGTAATAGCACTCAAGCATACCAATTGACGGGCATATCCGATATACAAATATGCAGTCGTCTAGTTACTCACCTAGGCCAATAATCAACATGTAAACTCTTCATTTTTCATAAGAAAACGAGTTATTTTTTGTGATTATACTTTATTCACAAATGACAATCAATCATTTATATACGCTGTAGAGTTGCTTTAATAGTTAAGATGTTTTAGCTTTTAACCACAAAGTCCACGATTCGAATTTCACTTTACATACTTTGTTCTCAACAACCTGTATTGGTACGCTTCACACTTAGAGTGTAGCTAATAACCAAATAGCTGGTGAATGATTTAATTATATGTAAATGCGTTTTTTTTTAAATCAACACATTGGAAACGTTGAATATAATTTCTGTAACTAATAAATTATATATATATATATATATATATATATATATATATATATATATATATATATATATATATTTATTTATTTATTTATTTATTTATTTATACTATTATACTATTATTTTCTAGAAAAAAAATATTTATATTTTATTCATTCCACTATCTAAGCAGAATAGAAAATAATTTGGAACACAACATCAAAATGCAATCAGCGTTAATAAATCAGTGTAGACACATGATAACTGAATTGCAAAAAAATATGTATATAGTCAAGAAATAAGGTCAGCAGGTCAATACATACACATAAAAAAAAATAAACATCGGTCAAATACGATCAGTGTAGATGTTATATTAAGTAATGAGCATAACACAAATAACAATGTTCAAATATTATTTATTAGGATAGAAACGTATCTAGATTGAAATGTTAGACAAATTTATCTATGCGTAGGCACTTTTCGCCAATATTAACCTGTTTATAATACCTGGCGAGACAAAATAATTGCTATATTGACTGTGTAAGTAGTTTCACGCAAGCACTATGAAGCAAATTATTAAGTTAAACCAATTACTGACTAGAAAGTGTATAATGTAAGTTGTCAAAAAGAAAATAGAACAAGATTTTAACAGGGTGAGTATCTGAACTAATAACTACTTCATTGTTCTGCAATATATTTGGTAGTAGAAAAAAGGTAGAGTTGTTCAAACGAATTACGGAAAAATCATAGATGATAGAATACAATTGATAGACTACTACTGAAATTAGATAATAATACAATTTGGGGGGGGGGGGAAGCATAGAAGACTTTGCTATTGAATATGAAAATAGTCATATCATTAGACCAGATCACATTAAAGATACATGATTGATTACGACCAATTACTGAGGATAATGAACAATAATAATGAGTAGATAGGAATTTACTTAAATGCTAAAACACTCAAGAATGAACTTTATTTCAACACGTATATTTCATAATAAAATAATTAATTATGTATTAGGGAAGAAAGCAATAACTTATTCAGGTTAAAGTGAATAATTAATTTGACACATTTTATTTATAATTTGTAAATATTTATGTTATTACATTTTTATAGGTAACTCTACTAATTGAAATAAATAAGCATTATATAGAAGAGATCTTTTATTTTTTTTTCAATCAATGCTTCAAGATTAAAAAAAAGGAGAAAACAAAATATTTTTAGTTAATAAAAATGAACAGAATCAAAGTGAATAATGACAGCTAATCTAATCGTAAGGTTAATTTAAAAAAAAAAATCAGTGTTCATTTCATTACATATAAGGAATACAGTCTCATTACAGCTTAAATGAGACGAAAATTAATTGACGAGCCCATCAGAGCCGAGTAAGTAATGTCAAGATCACAGTAACCAATGCACACGTACAATCAAGCTTACAGCCAATTATTTTAAAGAGGATATAACAGTTAGGGTTATTGAGAAGCTTCTTTGTTTATGATTGTGGAGTTCAGATGACCGCTGAGCAGTGTACTACGATGACGTTCCGTTTCAAATTAAAATATGCTAAAGAAAGAAATCTGCAAGAACGGGGACTTTTTTTGCTCGATCTTGGTTAAGACAAATTATACTAATTGTGGTAAACGGGATAATAAGACCACTAGTAACATTGGTTATAGTTTTTACAGATGTCACTAAAACCTCTACAGTTCAATTGTATGAGAGTAATGCAGAGATAAATATGCAATAAAAATAATGGCGTTCAAACAATACTTAGGAAGAGTTGGTTATGTTGTAGAAATCGATTAGATGGTTGTAAGAAAACGAAAATTCAATAGACAAAGTTTTTTGGAGAAGACTGGGTAAGTAGCAGCTCCTTAAGTACATTTATATATGAAATGTTATTTTACATTAATAAAAGCTATGATTATTACTAACCTTGGTTGCCATTCGTGCACGAACTAAACGACAAAATGCTAGTAAAGGTAAATGAGTAACTAAAGTTTTTGGAATATCTGCATGACTTTGAAGAAATTGATTAAAATCACGTTGTAAATCAGGCATATCTTGTAAGACAGTAATTTTAAAAGTTTCAATTAAATCATTTGATGCATATGACGACATATGTGGAGGTATACGAAGCGGTGCATGGACAAGACGTTCCAAAGCAGTAGTTAAACGATCTGGACATTCAGGATGAATACTTAAATCATGAGCATTGGAACAAAGACATTTGTGTTCAAGCATCTCGGGATCGAAGGCTACGGCAGTTACTAAACTATTATTTGGGATGCTAAAGAACAGAGATAAAAGAAAAGCAGGTCATAATAAAAAATGTGGAGTTATACGCAAGTTAAAGTACCAAAATATAAGTCATAATCTATCGAACTAATGAATACACTTCCAAATATATTGCTATTCAATTACATATTCCACCTAAATAGTGGAAAAAAACTACATCATAGTACATGATGGAAATTAATGAATTTACGTTTAGTATGACAAAAGCTTTAGATCCAGAACATAATTGAAATCTAAATATTAGAATAAGATTATTAGGTATCAATATTTGTGTTAATTTAGTCGTTAACTAAACGGACAATAATTATCGATGGAGGTACACCTTGATAGATAATTTAAGACTGAGATTATCTACACGGTTCTCAATGTTTACTATACTGTGATCAGCAGTTTCTATCACTTCTCTGCCTCTCTGTTTTTATGGCTAATCTCGTAATATACTCATGGCTTTTTTCATCGTAAAGTGGAACTCTAAGAGGTTTCCTTGCTGTCTTTCTTACATCCAGTGAGTTGCAGATAAATATATGCTCGTACCAGGGCATAACCATGTACACTAGAATGAGCGACAGTCTTCTATCCAGCCTCTCTGTCGGTGGCTGAATGTAATGTAATGTGTTTAAATGCAGCATGGATTCGATATCAGGGGTCACCATGTTAAGAGATAGTTTTTCTCATGCTTAAAGTTGGTGCTTGCTAAAAATAGATGGTTATCTGGTCATGCATGCAGCAAACGGTCACCATTATCTGTTCACTAAGCCGCAATGTCATATGATCCATCAAGGTGTCTTTCGGTTTGGTTTAGTCTACCTACTTAGGCATTCAGATCACTAGTCACTATTACTACATCAGAATGCTCAGGTTTTTGAAGGTTGGAAAGTTTTCCGTAAAATTCATTTTTCGTATGATCTAAGCTGCAATCAGTAGGAACGTAGGTAGAGATAACGACAACGGTCCCTATCTTTCCGAGATCTTATTGTCCTGTTCAGTCGGATATTTCAAAAGCAACTATCTACTAGAATGCAGTCTAGAAGCGCTAGTTATGCTATTGAAATGAATGCTACACTTACACCAGCAGCAGCAGATACATGAAGAGTATATCCAGACGGTTACTTATTTTGAGATAATGAGGTTAAGTTAATGAATGTACTTGAATGCTGTATGCTTGTTTCGTAAACGCAGCATAGAAAGATGGAGAAAGACTCCAGTCAAAGAAGCCTGTTTTTCTATTTGGCACAACATTCGAAAATCGAAAGCACGAACATATAATTTAGAATATGCTTTCAGTAGGCCAGGAATAACGTTTTGTGAACTCAAACCATTAGCATTAGTGCACAAGGTGACAAGGGTATGCAAGAAGGGTTAATTGTGGGAATAAAAGAGTTATAAAAATTGAACAGCATCTCTACAGATGGTGGTTGTCCGAGGGAAACACATTACTGCTGCTACAACCTTCTACAGTTAGCAGTAAAACTTAACTCTCAGACCTTAAGTTGCTGCTTTTAGTCTTACCGTTCTCCAACCGACCTGCCTAGCATGGTAGGACCTAAAGGAACGTATGTTCCAGCTAATACAGTTCGGTTGAGTCATCACGATAGGCAAGCCCGACCACCACGTCAAGGTAGCAGCCTCGGTCGGGGTCATTAAAGATAAGTTAAGTAATATTTAATGTTTTACAAACCATTGATCAACCTTATATCGCTAATACAGTATTCAGTTCAGAACATTCTAAGAAATAACACACATATATTTATAATTATTTCTGGAAGTCAGAGAAATCTGTTTTGTATATTAGGCTTCTCACTTAAAATTGTCAGAAAGTAGGCTATGATAACAAGCAGTTTGAAAAATGGCAATTCAGTAGTATAGTTATTTGTAAGAATTTATATTCGGATCTGAAGAATGGATTACAATTTTCTAAAAGCTAAACAAATAAATCTTCAACCACCGTCATGTCATGACCAACCCACAAAAAGAAACGAAGCAAAAAAACCCAATCAAACCAACTTGGTATAACCAGTTGTTGTCATGTCTACATGATAACTCTGTGAAAGCCAATCATTTTCAGGTAAAGCCGACCAGATATCTGATGCTAATTTATGAGATTGATAATATAGATTGGATGAACTGTTGTCCGCATTAGTTTTAGTGCTATTGATAGTAGGAACAGTGGGTGTAGCATTATCGATGTGACCAACATCACACTTTTCATTATCATTGCGACCGCCATCATTTGTATGTATGGATACACTTTGTTGAGAAAATGGATTCCACACGGAATTGTAAATCAAGTTAGATTTAGTAGAGTTTAATGATAATTGACTCTCCCAATCCATTTGACTTGATGCACAGAAGGAATGAGATTTATTTACAGGATTTCTGTGTTGAGATTCAGGAATATTTGGTTGAACTGGAATTGGTGACGATGCTTCTTGGCATAGTTTTACAAGTACGGATAGTGCTATTTTCGTAGTTATTTTTTTTCGAATTATAAGCAAGAAAAAGAGGGTAATAGAAAAAAGTTATTTAATTATTATATGGAAGGCAAAGGTGATGACTTTTCAACAACAAAAAAACTGGTCATCAGAATCAACAATGGTTTAGATTAATATTAGAATAAGCACTTCTTTTAAACTTTCATATTTTTTCGTGCTATCTTAATTTTTTCGAAAAAAATATTATCTTACTGAGTGATAATGCTTCTTTCAAAGTGAGAATCGATTTAGACTATGTCGGAGACGTTAGATTCCCAGATGTCACTTGATAAAGGTCCTAATTTTGGATTTTATGTTTTCGAGCAGTTGACCTTGAGAATATAATTCCCACCTGGAAAATCCTTGGCTGTTATTGGTTGATGTATTATTTTAGTACGCTATTTTTGTGGCTCTCTCAAGGACGTTTCTATCATGTATAAATAAACTCGATTTGTGTGCTTGTCAACCTCATATTTTCTGGGTGCTTGTAGAATACACTTTCTACGTCTTGTCAAGACTTCTTCCTCTACTTAGTGGGGCCTTGGGATGCTCAGAGAAAAGTAGCCTATCATGTCACTAGACCATTTGTCTTCTCTCTCTCTTACTTACCGATTAAGGTGAACTCGTAATAGTTTCAAGCATATCAGACTAATACATGAATGGATCTAAACACTGTACACCTAGAAATGAATATGTCCTAAGAATAACAAGTTCAAATACAAATCCAATAATCTTCTGCTAATTAGTGTAATTACTGTCAAAAGTCATATGCAGTTAATTATACATTTGTGGAATATCATTAGTTTGATTACCATAATAAATATACAGGCTTTATAAGATTTACAATTATAGATGAATCTATCATTTAATAAAATAATTATTGACAGATAGGTAATCATGGAGATCATTAACAAGTCAGAAATTTCCATACTAAACCATGAGTCACAATTATTGGATTAGGACAGGAGATAGTGATTGACTGTTACTGTTTGACGTTCTTTGGACAATTCGCGTACAAATAAACATGTTGAAAGGTGGAGGATAGACATCGATAAGGTAATGCGTTGCGAACAATCATTCTACTACCATGCTTTTCCTCTATTTAGTAATCATAAACATATTGGTTTAATTGAGTTTGCTGAGACAGACGGTCAAATTATAGAAATTTCTTTGTTGTTCTGGAAAACATGATCAAGCCGAATAAAGAAACTTATGAATGTCAGCAAGTGTCCTAAAGTCATGTAGAACTATATTTAAACAACTACAGTCATGAAAAAGATTTAAACCCATAATGCAGTGCTCATAAATCATGAAAATATGTCTTGTTTGTTTCATTCAACATTTAAATTAATAGGCAATATAGAGTATCATGAAAAGTGATGGCTTAGTCGTTAAAGCATTCATATTTAAGCTATTCAGTCCCTGATTTGACGCCTCTTCCGTCTAGTCCTGTCTATCTACACTTAAAATGTCGTTCACAAATAAGCACCTGATGAGTTAAGTTGATCGAATTCAAAGTAAAGGAACGATGAATATATTAGTTGAAAAATGTCTTTCTATCTCATTTTCGATTCAATAATAATTACCAAACAGCATGATTCGACTTGTCCTTACTAACTATTAAACTCACACTAAAGGTGATATTTATTCATTGAAAAAAGACAAGATAATAAATATAATGATGAAAAGAACTTTCTTAACAGAATATAACATGTAATTGGTATATATACCTTCATGATAATTCACATTTGCACCAACATCGGAGAGAGGAAGATATTCTTCAAACTGCCTGGAATCACATTCATCATAATGAACTGAATGTCGTTGGTGCTGTGGGTCTGTGTCATTTTCTAATTTCTATAATTAAACATGAGTAATACAAACGGAAATTACATAGATATAATCTGCAAGCACATTAACATTATTGAAAATAACTTCACGTGTTGTTTATATCATGAGTACACACACACACACACAGGTATAAACATCAATTCACATTACCATCACATTATCACCAGTTTAACATGTAACTTTTGAGTCTAAATATTTATTAGAAGCAAAAAAAACTTACAATCACATTTTATGCTCTATATTTATATCTATTTATGTTGAAGGTTTAACATGACACCGAACTGTTTAAGACTTAGCAGAGTTCTACACGAACTTGTAACATGATAGTGCCTAAAAATGAGATAATCACCTACAAATGTATATACATATACATGCCAATAAAATTAAACTAAATTGTCACATAGTCATTAGTATGAAATGGTAGATAGTATTACAATTTAAAGACCAAATAAATCAGTGAATTCCTTCAGTAAACTTAGAGTCAGAATTTATCATAACCAAGGTAACTTAAGTGTAGTTTAGTCCTTAAGTTCATTTATTATCGTAGAAAATAACAAAAAAGGTTATAAGACAGTTTAAATAGTTGATGTAACCTATAATTAGATTTAATAATATTCTGTAGATAAGTGATATCCCAGTGAGCACGATACCCTAAACTCACTAAATAGATATCTAATGATTTATAATTTCGAACTTTTCGTAATTTAGCGTACAAAGATTATCTGGTGCTATTGATGATCATAGTCTTACTTCAGGTATGATGAAACTCCATCAAATATAAATATTAACAAGTCGAATAATATTGATTAGGTTTTCCTAGAACTATGTAATGTGAGACAAGCATAAGTCATCTCTGTTTCGATTGATAAATACAATTCTGTATTAAATAAACATGAACATAAGTTGATATACAAGCATTTATACAATTTACTAGATACATAAATGCATATTAACTACATGAAGTACAGTGTTAGATTCCGTCATCGTAGTAAATAAGTCGGTACTGAGACAATATAAATCGGTTAAATAAAGAACTATGGAGTCAGTGACAGTGCAGAAACTTCGAGGATTTCACAATGAATGAAAGCATAATATACACTCATTCATAAAAAAAAACGATTTTGAGCCACGTGATTCAAAGTCTCTAACCATTGGTTAAGATTGTCTCGTGGACCCCGATATGATAATAAACAGCTACTAACATGCCTCACTCCACTTGTCAGTGACTTCGTGGATTTCTGCCATGTTTTGGTTTGGCCGCCCCTAGCATTCTTTCAGACTAATTCAACATCACTCGTTGAGATAGCCAGTGGTTTGGCATACGTAACACATATCCCAACCACCTCAACTGATGAACATTCACTACTTCATCCATTGATTTGCCATCTTTACCTAGTACTCTTTTCCTTACAACAGAATTGCTGACACGATGGTCCCATGATATACAAGCAATGCTTTGAAGAAACCTATAATCGAATGATGATAGACTACGAATATTCTCTATTCTTACTGGCCATGTTTCACATCCATAGAGCGAACTGATACGCACAAGACTTGTTCTTTGGTTAGTGCACAAAAATCACGCCTATGCAATAAGTGACGCAAGTTGGCAGTACCAGTCGAGCTTTCTGTATCCGTGCTGAGATTTCGTCAAACACCAGACCATCAGCACTGATGAGACTCCACAGATAAGTGAAGCGGTTGACACGCCCACTGCATTTCGTGGGGGAGAATCGCATCCCAAAAATGATACCATTGTTGTAGCTTAAGGTGGTCAGAAGACTGCATTTCGTTAGTATTTTCACCAAACAGAACTATATCATCTGCATCTTCTAAGTCGACAAGTAAACTCCTGGTAGAAGTTCACCGCCTCCTGAGAAGTCAAACGATGAAAGTGTCGTCTCTAAAAGCATATCAATGTTCAAGTTGAATAAAAATGAAGAAAAAAGGACAACGCTGATGAATATCACTTGAAGTAATCAATTCCGCTGATAGTTCACCATAAGCTCTCACTCAATCAGTGGTGTTTAAGTAGAAAACCTCTACAAGGTTAATTAACCTCCGTGGTACACGCTTCAATAACAAACACTGACACAGAAAATAATAATGTTGTGATTACCAAAAAGTAATATTTTTTAATGATTTACTTTATGAATGATTGCAGTACTATATTAATTTCCAAGAGTAACCCTAACCCAACGAATAGAAAAATCAGTTATCTAGCATTCCAAAGAGAGAGAGAGACTAGTACCATTAAGCTAATATATTATTAATATCTTTTCAGATGACCCAACTATAAAAAAAATTAAAAAAGTTCATATTAATTATTCATTAAACAGTAAATATGTTGTTATCATATTCAGTTTTTTTCTAGTTTAAATTTTTTTTTTAAAATAAAAAACTGAAACAATACTTATTATCTATCTAGTTCAAATCTTTACACTGTCTGAATAGAAAAAAAAAATCTTCATATTTTATGAAATAGATAAATACATCAACAGAAACAAACAACAACTTTGAATGAAGAAAGAAAGAACAAAAAAACACAAATACAAATTGATAGCACATAGTCCATACATATAGTTCATCATATTTAGTAATAAAATCTATTTATATACAAAAAGAATGTAATTTTTTAAAATTAACTATTGAAAAATATGTAAATTATTTGATTTCGAAATGTGAATTCTATTTGTGTGTGTGGGGGTGTGTGTGTCTGTGGGTGTGGGTGTGGGTGTAGGCGACTTCAGACATTTTGGTAGTAAAATAGAACATGTATAGATATAAATATGACATTTTAACAATAAAGAATTTTTACATGTATACAAACAAAACACAATATTTTTCACACCAATTTATAGTTTAAAAAAAAAGAAGAGCTTAGAAGAATACATAATAATATCAACAATTGGAGAATATGTCAATTTGTAGGCTGATCTCACACAGGATATATAAGAATTACTATAGATAGGAAAAATATTATGTGTATACTGCTTATGAGTATAACAACTTCCACAAAAAGAAAAAAGCAAGTGGACAGTTAGAAAATCAATGCACTTGACATCTTAAACGACAACTCTTATATACAAACTTGAATCACTACATAGTAATGTAGAATGAGAAATTTTTATCAAATATGTAAATCTCTGTTTTCAACATAGTTACCATTGATGACCTAATCGATAAATACAGTTTGCTAACTGTTTATGTTCACTAAATACACATGTGAGAAGCTTATGAAAATAATACCATGTGTAGACATTTAGTATTCGAAAGTTATATTGATTGTCAGAAAAACGATTCTATATTTACTCACTGCTATCGATATCGATTATATTTGGACTTTTCCCGTCAATTTGTGGGTGTTTTAGGTGTTATCGATTCATATCAAACTGAGTCTTACTATAATTTAGCGTAATTGGCTTTTGGGTTTTTCACTCTGCTTCAAGATTTTAATTATCCCATTATTGCAAATCTATAAGTCTTTAACTGGATTAACAGAGATTTATCGAACTTTCAACTAGTTTATTTCAGATTCACACCTAGTTTCACAAACATTGGTTTGGATAACCGTAAATAATTAACATTCCTTACACAAACAATATTTTGAGACTGAAAATAAGTCAAGTTATACTTTTGAATCGATAACCAGATGAAAAATTACAGTTGAATTAGACGTTTTTATTTTATTAAATCTATTGCAGAAGCAATGATATTGTTTTGATTTAAATTGTCAACTTAAAAGCAATAAAAACTGACATATATTGGCTTATTGAAATATTTAGCATTATTTCTAAAAGGCGGTTTATAATAAAGTAGCCCAAACATAACGAAACAAATACACGATGAATATAATATAACATGCCATAACACATCAGTACAGAGATATAAGCGTTAATTCAAATCCCATAGCAGTAGTAGTAGTAGAGGAATTAGCAGTAATCGGAAAGATCATGGTCTGAAGATATTGAAAGAGAAAGATAAAGGCGATAAGGAATTCAGAAGGTTACGACTTGAGAGAACACGAAGAATGGATGCACCTGCACCATTGCAAACGGTTTTGAGTCATGTCATACAAGGTCTATAACTATCGATTACTATCATCTCGTGAGCCCCAACCATGTAGTCGACACTTACCAACATGACTCACTCCATTTATCAGTGACTTCATGGATTCTTGCCATGTTTTGGTTTTAGCTGCCCCAAGGTCTCTTTCAACCAAATCGTACACCACAAAACAGCTCGACGAGGCAGTCGGTGGTTGGACCTTCGCAACACATGTCCCAACTACTTCAACTGATAAAGTTTTACTACTTCATTTACTGATCTGCCATCTATACCTAGTATCCGTTTCCTAAAAGCAGCATTGCTTACACGGTGGTTCCCGTTGACAACTAAATACTTTAATAATTAAAATACAATACATTCAGGAAGATGTTCGTTCAAAATTATTAAAAGTAACTCATTAAGTTTTGGATGAAAGCACATGTTTCACTTATTTTTATTCAAAAACTGTTGCTGAAGTACGTATTTGAAAATTTCTAGGCTAGACTATAAGTAACTCAGACTAATTTTTTTTAATCAACGTGTAACAAATTTACATGTGGATTTATATAGATAACAGACGCTCACTGTCAGTAGTGTTATTTATGCATCTATAAAGATTATTATTGAATTGTTTCAGTCAATACTTTAACTCCCAAGTATTTCGATAGCTAAGCTGAGGCTGAAATAAATAACACTATTTCTATTTTTTTCAAAATTGAGCTGAACAGCTAAAAATTCATAAAATCGTAAAACTGTTTAGACATTTACATTTGTTTAAATTTATACTACTAGCATATTACGTTAGTAGTGTAACTAACCATAGTACCGATAAGTTTACCATGAACTAAATCGAAAGTTACAGACGACAAAAGTAAAATTAAATACTTTTGGCACAACGGATATATATATATATATATATATATATATATATGTAAACTTTTCAACTAATTAAACACTAGCTGGTCAAATATAATCGACAAAAGATACTAGACTGCAATTCTGTGTGACCGTGAGATACGCATCGTCAAGGTGTATTTACTTTTGCAAGAAACCTATGCTCTACAGCAGATTATAACCTGAATTTCATAGAGCCTCATTCAAAAGGGTAACTAGGGGGAATGTATTTAGAGCTCAAGTTGATCGACTATAATGTAGCACCAGATTGCACAGTATAATCGGTTATTAAATGTTAATGAGCTGTTCAGATATTGAAGATATGCATAATCAAGTTTAGTGCCACTTTAAGAAGTGTAGTATATCTGACTTGTAGATTCATTCTGAATACTAATTTGAGATTATAGGTAAACAGTTTTTAAAATATATTATTTCAAGAGAATACCTACTATGCACAAAGGGATTGGAGGTTAGGAATTTAAGGAATAGGCGTGCAAAAGACAGATTTCACTTCACCAAATTAAAATAAGGAAGCCAGATGTTATTATTAATTGACATTAGTTACAGTCTCGCGGTATATTTTACATGATCTGTAAATGTTTACCAAACATGGATCAATGCATTGAAATTTGAGTCACATTGTTTGTGAAAAGGAGGTTGAAATTGAAAATGTATTGCTAGGAAATTGGGAATTTGAAGCATTAAGCTATCACTCGATTGTATGCTTCATGGAGTTTAATAAAATGTCACCGATAAATTTACAATGGATATATATCGGAGACACCTATGATCAGCTCACAAAAATAAAATAATCACAAGTTTCAATACAATGTAGTATTTCAAATAAACAAAAACAAACTATATTACCTCATCTAAATTGATTGATTGAGATGATGACTTTTTTATTTGTCGTCTAGATTGACTGATTATTTTCAATAATGCAATCATTGTTTGTATTTGTTCATTAGTTAAATGATTATCATATTTTGAAATTAAATGATAATTTTTTAATTGTTCTAAAAATGGATTAGATTTTTCTAATGTTCCAAAATTCGGCACTTGTTCATCAATCCCAGTGTTAGGGTTAGCATGAACAATACCAATAGTTCCATGTTCTTTGTTGAAATTTTTAATATTTACAGAATTGAAAGACAATTTATGGGCAGATTGAGAAAGTGATGATGAATAAGAAATTGGTTGTAAATTTGATGAAAGACATGTAGAATTAATAGAAGCATGGAAATCGGTTAATTTTCTTTGCATATCCAAATCTAATGAATGATGTTGATGTACCAGTAGATTTTCATCAGCTTCAAAAAAGAAAAAAAATAATAAATTCGAACAATAAGTGACAGTGTTAAAATCAACTATCGAGAATGACGATAAAGCAGTGAACCGCTGTTTAGTCGTACTTACTTACTTACACCAGTGACCCCCAATGGGGCATAGGCCGCCGACCAGTGTTTTCCAACCTACTCTGTCCTGGGCTTTCGATTCCAGTTCCGTCCAATTTTTGTTCATCCTTCTCATATCTTTCTCTATTTCTCAGCGTAATGTGTTCCTTAGCCTCTTCCTCTTTTCCTTTTACCTTGAAGGTTCCAAGTGAGGGGTTGTCTTGTGACGCAGTTGTATACTTTCCGCAATGTGTGTTCTATCCACTTCCATTGCTTATTTCTGATTTCCTCCACCGCTGGAATTTGGTCTGTTCTTTCTCATTCTAATTCAATATGAATAATTTTTTTCTTCAAACCATTGACTTAAATAATCATCGTTTCCGTACTAGTAACTAGTTTGGAGATTTCCCGACATTCAAGTGTGATTTACCATGACTGGTGTAATTCAATGACGTTGAAAATTAGTGAGGTAACGGTGATAGAAGACCGTGTCGTTTATTTTCAGAATAAGTGACTAGTTTTAATAAATAAAAAATATTAAATGATTTGGGTTATATTTCATTTGTTTTATTAAATAACTACGACACCATCAACACAAATATGATTAGTTCAGCAGTAGAAGTAAACATTATATTTCAAAATCATATGATTCCAATCGCTATAAAAGACGTAATGCTTCAGAGAATGGTAATGATCATTCGAGTAGAATATGTCAAACTGCCATCTAAATAGTCCAATATACTCGTATAATTATTATGAGCTAATGGTTTGAGATATAAGCTCTTGTTAAACCGGAATAGTACTTTCACCTGTAACGTAATAAATATACTTTAAAGTCCAGTGAAAAGATCTATAAACAGAATTCAACTAGACTAAAGTATGAGATAAATATACGCTGAACAGAAGAAAGTGGTACCAATGAATGACAAGTTAACAATTATTCACAATGAAGTCAGAATACAAAACAAAACGTATGTCACAAAAAGTCGAATAAACCATAAACTAAGTGAAATGGTCATACAAAACAAAGTATTTCAATGTTCAATGCACATTGATTGTAAAGGAATTACTTGCAATATGTGGAATGATTGATGAACATTGATGAAGAGTTTTAAAATTTTAAATGAATATTTGTTTGTTGAATGTTTTTTTAGTTTTATCAAACATTCTTCAACTACTAACAATGATTCATGACGAAATTTAATTTGATACAAATTAATAATTTGCGTAGTTGATATGAAGAAGTTTTCAATATCACAATAGTAGACTTATACAATTCAATGTAAGAATTTTTTATTGTTTTATAAACACTATGAAGGAAGAAATACAAAATTATTTGAAATATTGGAAAATAAAGAAGGAATATTATTCTGAAATAAAACAATGGATATTTTCAATATTGTCTGGATAGGCTACACATAACTAGAAGTTTAGTCAGGTGTACTGAGGTCTCCTAATGAGGAATTGAATGGTAAAATGAAGTAGGCGAACACAGACACAATACATGAATTTGGTATCAAATAATAATAATAATAATTTTGTGAAATAGATTCCCTATTCTACTTTATCAACAAATATTTTTCTGCCAGAAAAATGTGTCATAAACTCATTCGCCATGTGGTGGTATTTCGTTCTCTGAGCTGGATGTTTTGGTTGTGGAGCTTTCATTGATTTTTCTGAACAACAACATCACAGCAGCACAAACTTCAGACAGAAAAGAATATAAAAAAATATCGATCCTTGCTCTTGTTTTCCGACTAAGGAAAACTTGTAATAGTTCAAGCATATCAAATGACCTGTTTACGTACATTTGTAACACATGCTTTATCACGAAATCATTGAAGATAGTTTATAGAATAGATCAATGATGCTTTTAATGCGATAGCGTTTTCTGAGCCCAGGTAGTTTTACGCCTGAAACTACTGGTCTTCGTGCTGTAATGAGCAGCACAGTCAAACAATTTAAGCATAACTTCCACATAAACCAAATCATCAGCAGCGTAGGTGACTTGGTGAAATCAATGATAGACATAGCCTAGGACAATCAAATCTTTGTAAATAAACTATCCAGGTTAAACAGAACAAAAACATATATATTAATATTATGCATTTAAGAATGAGTTTTACTGAATGTTTAATTTATTATTTTTTCTCCATAAATTCTTTTATTGTCTGATTAAAAAAAAAATTTAACATGATGATGATGATGATATTTTCTGTAATTTCCTATAAAATGAAATCAAGTTTATTTAGAAAGTAAGAGTGTTATTGTATGGTAACATGATAAAATGTAAGCGTGGAATCGATGGCATTTTCAATTTACATAGGTATACAATTAAACATAGAAATTTTACAAAATAGAATGAATGAATATATTGATAAAAATAATCGTATGATATTGGTTTTTTTTTTCTTCTCTAGTGAATGAATGCCCTTATATATATAAATGTGAAGAATTTTAATTACTTACTATTTTTAAGTCTTTACAAATCAATTCATATGACTTAGTCAAAATTATAGAAATTCGTTTAAATTAGTATTAATTATGAATATTCTCTCTTTATTTCTTTCTGTTTATTTCATGTTGTTAATTAAACAATTGGGAATAAATAACAAAAAAATAAAAATAAAAAAAAATAAAACATGTTGTACTTCAAATGTAAAAAATTTATTTGTATAAATGAACTTTTATTTAAATTAAACATGATATCAATTGAGAAAAGTAAGATGTACTTAAATAATAATGATCAACTTTATTAAACATGAAACAAATTGAATTAACTAGATTATACAAAGAATAACTGATACTTGAATCCTTGATATTAAGCTTTCTAATTAATTCCTAATTCCTTACAAATATTCAACATATAAGTCCTGAACAGAAGACAAAAAAGCTATTGGTTTAATAAAAAGCTTTGCTTCCAAAGGTTAATTTCAGTAAAGAAATATTTTATTTGTTCTAATTAAACAAGAATAGTTCTATGGTCTATTCGTGAATTTGATTCTCCTGATGCTAACATTAGAAGCGAATTCTATAATTATCCAGCGAAAATACAATGCATAGTTTACAGTTTTTTTTGGAACACTCTGGAGAGTTTCTATTAAGCATCGATTGAACGAAGTATGTTCAGCCTTTTCCAAGGAATTTCGGAGGGCTTCCAACACCGATCATGTCACTTAAGCCTGGGAAACAAGCTGTTACGCTGACTTCGTTAAAATATGGTATGGTGTCTTCGATTCACTACAAATCAATGAACGCTGTTATGGTGTAACTCACTAGTCAATTCAAGGTTCATCTGCTCAGCTTTGAGTAACAGTGTGCGAGTGCTTGGTTGTCAAGACCGAATTAAGTGAAGCTAAAATTAAACTAGCGAATTACCAGTAGAAACCCGAGTGCTTTAATCAATAAACCCACTGCTCTACCCTTATAAGTATGATAAGTTGAAATCCACTCATTCTTTGCATCATCTGTCAACGTTGAGAATGTGTATGAATTTTTTTTTACATCTGTTTGAATATTAATGAGTTTATTTTAGAAATAAATCGACTATTAAACACCAATTTATACCGGTTTTTACTTTAGCTTTTTGTTCACCTTGATTCAATAATGTTACGGGTGACACTGAAATAAGATATCCTGTTGAATTACTTTCATAATTTTATTTAGTGTTGTTTCTTCTAAAAAGCCCAATAATGCAAACCAAATCTCAAACTGATTCCTTGATTATTCAGACATGTATAATGAAGATCAACCTAAGTGAAGTGGCAACAAAATCAATCTCGTGTTAATCCAATGACCAGTAAAATCTCACACAGTTACGATGTAAAAGTAAGCTGGGTTGGATAGGTTACGTCAAAAAAGGAAGAAGCAATGTTAGTCGAACAATCAATTCAAATGTGTGAACCTGTACAGAACTATTTTGTGAATTGTTGTAATTATGTATGGAGCTTTGAAGATTTGAATAATAATATGGGTAACACATATTGAATTACGATGGGCTACATGATAAAATCTAATGTTGGTGAAACAAGAACCATCAGTTCTTATTGTGCCAAAAGTCTATTGTGAAGCATGAGAATTTCATCAAGGTACATTTAAATATACTTCACTTGTAAGGGTGTAAATATTTCCATTATTGATATTATGAACTGTACCTGATCAGATTATTTTCGGTATATATGCATGCTGGACAGATTATCTCTATAATGCTATTGGGTTACAAACATTTCTAAGCAAAGTTTTGATAGTTGCTAGTAGTGGAATTTAAGAAGTGTGTTTCACCCAAAATTCAAATTCCATCTTTGTCTTTCTGACCTTATCTCACTGAATTATATTCCTTGAATCATATCTTCAAACCCTAGTCTTCTTCATTACCATTAATACCTCTACTATCTCTATCACTATGGGATTTTATTTGACATTTGCGTCTCGGTGCTAATGTGGTATGGCAACCTTAACTTATGTACATATGTGCGAAGTTCTACGTTGCAACTGACTGACTGAATTCCACCACTAGATACTATTCTAACTTTGCTTAAGAAACTGAATGTATGCTTTATACTGCAACCTGTATATTTACCAATAGAATCATACTTATTTTATGGGTATCAAAACAAACCATCCAAAAAGTATGCGGAAACTGTCATTTGAAAAGTAATAACATCTTAACTAAAGTCGACAAAAGAAATAGCCCCCGGACTAAGGAATAAATACCAAAGTATTAAGTCTCACTAACACCTTTGTAAAGTTATACACATTGTATTGTTATTAAAAAATGAAAAACTTTTTATTATTCTTATGTATTTTTACTGTTATGCATAGATTTCGATGAAAAGTATCAATCGATTTTGGGCTGCTTAAAATAAACTATGAAATTTATTATATTCTAGTATACATATTCAATAGATGAAAAGTGAATTTGAATACGTTGATCATGTGTTTAATAATAATAATAATAATAAAAATAATAATAATAATAATAATAATAATGAACATTCTATTCTGGTATAAGCCATTAAAAATCATATACACATGATATATTCCATTATACAAAACATGATGGAATGTACGCTAGAAAAATGAATATAAAAGTAGACAGACAAATTAAATATAAAAATAGTATCAGTTCAAAACTGTTCCGTTCTGAGGATATTCTACGATTATTTCATCTGCATACATTATCAACCTATTGTTCTTGTATACAGAAATGATTACTATGCAATAATTATCTACTCTTGATCAACGGATCTGCATTCGGACTCTGTTTTAGATAGACTCCATACCCCATGTCTATGACATCATTCAAATCGTTACATTTCAATAATAACTTTTACTTCATAATATCCAGCTTATCGATAACATAATAGGTTTTATCATAAATTATTCTAATCCTTATACTCTCAAATAAGCTACTAAACTACTATTTCGTTATCCAGTTGTTAATTTAATTTCGATAAAGCGATCACTGAAAACTGATCATGACTAGAGTAGCCAAGTTGAGTATATGGTAAAAGCATAAGATAACAAACGAAAGAACTTGCAGAATTCTATATTAAAAACTAGATCGGAATTTTCTACCGTACAGAATTATCGCCCTGTATTTGTTAGAATATAACCTCAATGCATGAAACACTTCGAAAATTATTGATGTATCTTCTTAATCTATAATAATGCCTAGGGTATACAGACATGAATGTTCATGAATTCTGTGGTGTCTAGTCAAACTAGAGTGAGTTAGTAACAAAACTAGTTGTCTAATACATAACAAAACGCTAATTCAATAACAATTTGGTTGTAATAATAGTAAAAAATGAATTGAACAAAGACCCTATGCTAATAATGATGAAAAAAAAAATGAAAGAGGTCAGTAATGTTAGACAATAGTGCTGTTAATATTTCTTCTTAAATGTTTGTGTTAAAATATACACTCACATAACAGTGAGTGAATGATAGAAAACGTGATCAGTTATACAAGATTTGATTTCTTTTTTTATTTACTTTTAAACAGTATTCTACTGTGTCAAATCAGTTGTGATGTTATAATTAAGGTGGTGTTGAATTTTCCGAGTTGAATGGTTGCATTGCAAATCTTTCATTGTCGTTGTATAATAGCTCTAGTGGCTATTTTAAAAAAGAATTGAAATATTTTACAATGAATCTTAAAAAAAAAAACATATTTGTTTAAAACTGACAACCTTAAGCATTTCAATAAAGTACATATTCACTTTCTTCAAAATAACAATCAAAGGCCTACAATCAGACCATCCAGCTCACAATCCACTTAAATTATAAATTTAAATCATTTTGTTGTTAAATTATATATATATATATAGAAACCTTTCTAAAAAAAATATTTGTTTGAATAAACAATACAATAACATGTTTTTTTTTTAAATAAACAATATTAATGGACTGGTGAATAAACATGCCACGAGTATATAAATGCAGAAGTGATCAGAAATGACTATATCAGTGAGAAATAAGCGATGATCAGTCGTTTACTACAATTTTTATCATTATCTACAGCAGAAAAATAAAATATGTGAATTTCTTTAGAAACTAACAATTTATTCGTATACAACAAAATGTTTCATATTAGAAATTTATGTTATTTAGAATAATAATGAAATTTTTTTCTGTGAAACTACTCGACTCAGAACATGCAACATTGTTATAATGTTACTGAGCTTTGTTTCAGGGTTAGATCAACGTAAATGATAATTAATGGATTGATTTGATAAAGTTGTAGCTGGTTAAAGTAATCATCTTTGAACTAATTGGTTTACAGATTCAGAATGTGTTTCGCATATTTCAACTTTGGCAACCAGACAATGTAACCAACGTGCATACAAAAAGAGTGAATAAATTTGTACATAGTCAATGAATTTTATTACCACATTAAATATTCGAATAACAGCATAAGGGGAAGAATTCGTAAATAGTGAACTGACATACCTAAATCCCATTCACTGAAAGAAGGTGAATCTGCACTGTGCCAGTGATCGACTATATGCGACATTCCATGATGACCTGAATCACTGCCTGAATGTTCCAAATTTTCATCAAAGTCTGATTCTATAAAGGGATTTTGTGATGAACCAGGTAATTTGCCATCTGTTCTCCAATGTCGATTATTTAAAACACGACCACGACGACGATTAAGTAGATAAGCTTTTAAACGTTGTTTAACCTGTTATACAAATATAATAAATATTTGAATGAAACAAATGACTATTTGATAAATATGTTTGTAACAAACTGCTTCCATCAGGGAGGTCTAAATTTAATCGATAATGGTATTAACTTTTGAGTTAACAGGAACATATTACATTATGTAAAAAATGTTGTTGGTAAGTAATAATGATGGTAGATTATGGTAGAATCAAGGTGATACTATGATAATATTGCTGGTATCTTTCTTCAGGGGTAGATTTACGACATAAATTGCAGACATTTCCTCTGAATGCATAACACCAAACTGAACTTTTGAAATGTCAATAGTTCGGTTGTGTATAACTCATTTCGAGTATTTAGATCAGACTTTCAGTATGACTTTGACAAACTTTCAGAAGAAAATGAGTGAATCGAGTTTACAAAATGATTTGAGTCCATATGGTTCATGGTTTACTTCTCGTCACCTAAGCAGGATATTATTAATGAGCGTACTTTTAAAACAAACTCAGGATACATTTGACTTATCCAACTCAAGAATAAATAAAATGATAGATATAAATAATTGTCAACTTATTTTTGATGAGTTAATGGTTGGGTTTTCGACAAACATGATATAGAAAGCTATATTTAGACAGGCAGACAGATACAACGCAGAACTTCGTGCATAAGTACATCAGTTCAGGTTGCCATACCACATCAGCACAGAGACGCAACTGTCAAGTCAAATCTAAGAGTGATAGAGATAGTAGAAGTATTAGCAGTAATGGAGAAGATTAGGGAGCGAAGATATGATTCGAAAAGTATAATTCAGTGAGATAAATTTAGGAGATAGATAGAGATTATGCGGAATTCAGACGGTTAGAATTTGAGAAAACACAAACAGTGGATGCACCTGCGCCAGTGCAAACGATTCTGAGCCATGTCGTCCAAGGTCTCTAACCATTGGTGACTTTCGTCTCGCGGACCCCAACCAAGTAGCCGACATCTACCAACATGACTCAGTTCACTTGTCAGTGACTTCATGGATTTCTGTCATGTTTTGGTTTGGCCGCCCCTAGCTTTCTTCCAACCTATTCCTACACCACAAAACAAAGCTCTTCGAGGCAGTCGGTGGTTAGGCATACGTAACACACGTCCCAAACACCTCAACTGCTGAAGTTTCAATACTTCATCTATTGATTTGCCATCCCTACCTAGAACTCGTTTCCTAACGACAGCATTGCTTATACGGTTGTCCCAGAATACACGAGCAATGCTTCGGATACCGATGATCGAAGACTAATAACCTACGAAAGTCCTCTACTCTTAACGTCCATGTTTCGCATACATATAGTAGAACGGAGCGAACTAGAGCGCAGAAGCCTCATCCTTTGGTTAGCAAACGGATATCTCGCCTGGGCCATAGGTGACGCAGGTTGGCAAAAGCCAATCGAGCCTTCTGTATCCGTGCTGAGATTTCGTCAGTCACCAGGCCATCAGCACAGATGAGACTCCCCAGATACGTGAAGCGGTCTACACGTTCGACTACTTCACTCCCTATCACTAGTTCAGGTGAAGTCGCAAGCCAATCCTGAAGCAACATTTTGCATTTGGAGGGGGAAAACCGCATCCCGAACATGCTTGCATTGTTGCTTACGGTAGTCAGCAGACTCTGAATTTTGTCAGCTTCTTCACCAAATAGATATTTAGATAGCTTAACAGTTTTTTAAGTATGATATTAACCGCAAAATACTCTTTGAATTTGAAATTCACTGACAGAAATGTTTCTACAACCAAATAATTTCGTTATGTAGTCGTTTTTAACATGTAGATTTCGGGCCAGAAACATTCAAGAGTATTCGTTCCGCATCAAGATTATTTGACTGTTATCTAGTATTTCTTCAAGAATATTTTCTAGACACAAATTTTTCTGATCTCTCATAATGGTACTCTTATTTCCACTCAAGGTAACCTAACTTCGGAGGTTAAAAGCTAGTTTTTTTTCGTGAGATTTCTATGAATTGATCTTCCAAAAAATTACCACTTATTACTTGGAGTTGGAGACTGTGAGTAGGAAATACGACTTCGACTTACACCTGGTAGAAAGTACAACTGAGAAAAATTAGAATACATTGACTGTGATAAGATGACTGGTAAAGTAAAATGTAAAAGCATATGAGTTTCTTTACTCGATGAGTTGTCTATTATTATGATAAAAATATTTCTCCCATAAGGATATCAAGATATAGTTTAGTAATTCTTTACTACATAAACTCATAAGCGATTACATATGCAGATAATAAAACCATGGAGATATTGTATACAAACATAAAAACTAATCAATTATGTATTGTAAATGATTGTATTCTCATTCTCACAAATCTTTCATATTTAAAATACTGACTAATTCAAAAAAAAAAAAAATAGATGCGAAAATTGCCATCAGTCTTTAAAAGTATTCATCTAGCTTACTATTAACTCTACAATGTTTGAAATTCATAATGAATACTGAACTTAAGTGCCTCGTCACAGTCACTATTAATTAAATACTCGTTAGTTTCACTTGCGTGTAACCGTTTAGACTTCAAACATAACTGACCTTATTGATGTCTTAGAATGGTAGGTCAAATTGCACCAAGCTTATCAGGATGTCAAAACGCGTACGTCAGAAAATAAAAATTTTAACATTGTTTTATGCTAGTAACCAATTTTTTCAACTTGTTTTACTTCTCAATTATAACCTACTATAAACAGAGACCATGTATTTACAAGTGATAAATATAAACTAGTATTTTGTATATTATGTGTTGCATTGACAAGCCACAAATATGGAACATGGAATATAATTTTATTTATTACTGAACAATCCCACTAAGATGATGCATAGAGAGAGAGCATTATTCATGAAAACTATTAGAAAACAGTCTTGATAAATTTTTCTTTCCGTCAAGTCATTTAGATTTTACATTATACGTATACCGATATCATTAAAGTTTAAAACACCTTATTTACATACTTAGGGGCCAATTATCTTACACTAAGACATTGAGAGATAGGCAGCCATAATACTAACCTGTGTTGAAGAAAGGCGACCTTCTCCTCCTTGATCAAAAGATACTTGACGTGAGAGAAATGAGGAGCGAGAAGGGTTTGATGATATACTTGTCGGATACTCTGGAGATGTTGGTAGTGGTTGGTGATAAGATGTACGTAGTGACGAACCATCTCCTGATTTGGTGGTTGTATACGTTTCGGTTGATGAACCTTTAGTAAATGGTGGATGGGTAGTATTGTGCTTCGTACTACTAGCCAGTTCAACAAGAGAAGAAGTAGACTTCAGAGATCCAACCTTTCTATTAGGTTCTCTTTGATCCATTCACACATAAGAATGAATGAATATCTTTAACTTATGGGTAAGTCTGATTATTGGTTGAAGTTGCTGAAAAAGAAAAGTAAATAAACAAAAGTGAACCCTGAAAAAAAAGCACACTATCGCCTCAAGATAGCTCCAGAGGGACCAATTGAATAAATGAGTGAACAGATGAAAAGTGGATGTACAGCACTTTAACAGGGTTGATGGTTACCGGAGATCCATATTCGGGTGTTAGAAAACCATTACGGTGGACATGAGTCTCAGGATCCCAAGGGGAGAATGGGCAGTCAGTCTATTCTTGGCCACTAGGTACCATGGAATAACATCTTTTGAAGTTTCTTCACTGCCTTGTATGTTAAAGGCTCGAGGAGCGACTTCCTAAGAAAGCTACCTGCATCGGTTTGGGCAGTCCGACAATGTTCCAGCCCACATACAAAGTCAGCGATTTTTGAGACGCATAAAGATTTAGGTGCTGCATTATGCCAATAATTGTGTTTATATAAAAATAATCAATAAAGATAAATAATAAACATTAAAATCAAGACCCAAGATATTTGAAAGTAAAAGTGAAGATTCTATATACAGCACATACAAACAATAAATGTACATCGTTTTCCTACGCTATTCCTGTCACAACAGGACAAATAAAATTGAAGTGTAGACTCGTAATGAGACAATAATATCGATCCTGATCAGCATACCGAATTCTCCCATAATAAAGTCCTACTAGAAATATTCTTTGACGTTAGAAGCTAAAAGTAAAAAGGGTTAAGTGGACGGTTGTGGTACGTAGTTAGACAGGAAATAAGAGAAGCATAGGCATGTGTATTTGGAAGAAATTCGAGAACGTTACGACATATTAATGACCTCAAGAAAAGCTGAGAATTTAGGCTGCTTTTTAACCAGTACATATACAGGTAGTCAAAATAGACAGTATGTTGCTAAAAAATGGAATGAATATATGTGGTAGTTTTAGGTAACTTAGGAGCCTTTGGAAAGTTTGAAATCAATTTTATTTATTTGAAAGTAAACTACTTTGGTAGCAAATGTTCATTTATTCAATAGATTATTTATTGTTTAGGTCTTTTACTAGAACAAAAATACACTCGCTAACGATTTTTAAGCTTTTGAGATATTGGTAACACTGAATGCAGTAGGTATTTGAGGTTTAAAATAGAAATCTCAAAGTGGAGATTTTGAGAAGATTCGTGAGTATTCGACTAACTGTGGCTCCAATAATTTGCTGCTAGAAACTATAGTTTATACCGACAACTACATATATATATACATCTTCAACACTATGGGAACACGCGAAAGGCTACGGTTCACAAACATTACTCTGCGGAGTACTACAAAAGTTTACACCAGTAATGTTGAAGTAGAGCGAAGCCGTTTAAAGTAATAGAAAGGTTCATGCGTCGGGGTAAAGATGATAGTGGTGGTGGTGGCGCGTACAGTGAAAACTGGAGACTTTTGCCAACCTGGGGCGTCTTTGGAGCCTTCGTGATGTTAGTCTGGCTTCGGCGGCTAGGACATGCACCAAGAATGTTGTGCCAGTTCATTCCACATCGTGCACTATATAGCAACGCAGGGACTGGTTGAGAAAAGTGGGGTCGTTAATGTATGACCTGGTGTTGCGGTGTAAAAGAAAGCTGTACAGGACTGGCATCTGTGGGTCACGACAACCCTTTAGTTGGGGTCCTGGTGGTCTGAGACGTTATCGGGGTTGGTTAGGAGTAGAAACCAGTGGCAATTTCTTCATGTGAGTGAGGGGAACTTTTCCACATGAAATAATTCTTCCTCGTTGCATTTTCTCCAATCGGACTAGTTTTTTCATTATTATTGCAGCTCTCATACATTAATTTCTATGAATTTCCTTATTATTATCATCAACGTTCGTACTCTACCTCTTCACTAGCCAAATCCACTGTGTGGCACGTAAATTTCGGTTCCCTTAAGCCAGTGTTTGTTTCAAGTAAAAATATTAGAAGATAATTAAAAACTAAGCGTTAATTATACAGGACAAAAAGATTCTTTGTAAAGTTTCACTTATATTAATATTTTCAGTCGTTTATTTATACATCTCGTTTTCTGGTTAGGTGTTTAAGTTTAAGGAGTTGTCAGACTGACTTTGTTTTGATTTTGCAGCTGTAGTTCTACCATCTTAACGAGTGCGTTTAAGCGAAAACTTAACTTGCATAATCGGACAAACATTGTTTCCTGATTCGGAAGTATATTTAACTGTCTTCGAATTGTTTTTTAAAGAAAACCAAGAAGAGGGAATGATGTGGAATCCATTAGAGATTTTGGGGAACAAAGTTCTAGTATTGGAGAATAGTCAATTTACCACAACAGAAAATCTAATTAGTCAATTTACCACAACAGAAAATCTAATTGAAAGTTTCTTCAGTTCCTGAAACTATACAAGATATCGATGTACACAGCCAAAACTATCTAGCGTATATGATTGTTCATATACTGTTTTACTGAATTACAAAATGCAATATGAGATGATTTCTAAGAATGTCTGATAAATAATTACTCAAAATCAAGTTTGATTGAAAAGTTTTCAACCTGAGTAATGGACACAAAAAAAAATTTTCCGAAGAACTAGATCCGAAAACAACAAATAAAATTTTTTGGTGAAAATCGCTTACAGTTGATTAGTAAACGGTGATAAGTTGAAAATCCAGACCTGTATCTTGAATACTTCAGAGACAGCGCTGGTCATTAGGTCACACTTTCTATGTTTATTGGTGCGAACAAACAAATCAAACTAACAGCCGTTTCTTTATTCATTAACTAGCATGCAAGAATCTGATTCACTCATATTCAACCTTTTTTTAAATACTTTTGATTCTTTAGAAATCAGTGAAAAATCGAATGAATCCTTCAGCGATTTATATGTCGATATTTTAAGTCAATAAGTGGGTATGTTTGTCCCACAAACATTTGGTATTATTCAGTAGATTGTAGTCTAGACACTTGACTTATCTGATTGTATTTGATTTGATTGTTACTTGAAAGATTCGTATGTAGTGAAATTCATGTGAGGCCTGAAGGCACTAGGATTTCTGGATGCCTAGATGTAAAAAATAATAATGTAAAGAGCAGATGACTATTTCACGAACTAAGTAAGTAAATTAATTATCTAGAACTTAGGAAATGTGGGAAGACTGAAACTCATGAACAAAAGAGGAAACGGAGATGATGGTAAGCGAGACACTAACAAGTTATGTGAATATAATGATAATAACGAGCAATTCACGAAACTTTTTTTAGTCAGACGCTGGCTCAAGCGCAGGATGGTAATAGTTGAACAAGTATGTGTTTCTGAAGTCTAATTTTGATACTGGGAGAGCATTCTGATTGGGGACAATTCTTAATGAATGTGGGTTGTTGCTCATTGTTACGGGAGAAACGAAGACATTTTGCTGATCAAAACCTTCATGTATAAATATCATTAATTCCACTGTTTTTGGGTACATTTGTTTTACTTAACTTGTGAACTTGTTTGAATTATTATTTGCGGACATTTCGGACTCCCGTTTCTCTTGGTTGTTCGTTTGCAGTTTTTTGCTCCAAGAGCCAATAAAATAGAAGGTAATTGTAATTATTATAATTATTGTTGTTAGAATGACATTGGTCGTCTATTTGTAATAATATTTTTGGTCGAATTTGTGATTTGGAATAAACTTTGGTATCTACTTTGGAGTTTCGTTCTTGGTTTAAACATTTGGGATCGTGAATTACAAATAGTCGACAACCGTGCTTCGTAGGATCAAAGGGCAAAAAACTGGACGTAACAAAAGTTCTTCTATTTTAATTTCGTCATATATTGGATTTTTTATGGTCGTTTGGCTCCAGAGGTTCTTCAATTCAATTTTTGGTCGCTGGAAACTTTTGGAAATTTGGGTCCAAAGGTTCTTCTAACTTTTAATTTGGTCGTTGGATACTTTGGACAATTCAATTTTGGTTCTTTGGTTATATTTTGGATACTTTTGGACATTTTGTTATTATTGGCCGAATACGTTTGGATTAATTTCACATTTGCTTGGTAATCGATTTCGAATAAAAACATACAATGGAAACTAGAAGCAAAAGGCTGAAGGAGCAGGACGAAATGGATGGTAAATTTTCTAAAGCTGTTTGTGGTATGTCTGATGTTAATGATGATAAACTTGATGATATTAGTGTTAATAGTAAGTCTTCATCTCAGTTTAGTACTTCTAGATTGAAGCTAGATAAGGCATTAATTAAGAAGAAGAATTTGGAAAAGAGACTTGAGTTAGAAAAGCAGCTTAAAATGTTAGAGCTTCAAGAGGAAGTTGATATGGCTGAATTAGAATGTAAGCTCATAGAAAACGATAACCAACTGTCAGTAGACAAAGCTGAGATAAATTCTAAGGTCGAAAGGTATTTGGATTGTGATATTGCGCGTAATAAGGTAATTAACGCCTCAAAATGCGATTGTATTGATGAATTAAAGGACACGTTACGTGCTACGGTTAATAATACAGTTTTGCCTAAAATCGATATGATGTTTTTTGACGGACAACCAAGCCAGTACCACCGTTTTATTAGTCAGTTTACAAGCATTATAGAGAGTAAACTGTCTGACAAGGGCCAGTTGTTGTCATATTTGTCATACTATTGTAAAGGAAAGGCCAGAATGGCTATTGAAGCTTGTATTTCTTTGCCCAGTCACTTGGGTTACGATAGGGCTAAGGAAATTTTGTATGATCTGTTTGGTAAAGAACATCTTGTCGCCCGTAATCTTATTACCGAATTACTTAGCCACAAATCTGTTGAAGGATCCGCCGATAGCCTAACTGACTTCGCAATTAAGTTACGTAATGTATATATAACATTGAAGGAAATGGGGTATATGTCTGATGTGAATTCTACGGCTAATCTGGAAATAATTGTGTCACGTTTACCCTTGGAATTACAGAATAAATGGGTAGAAGCTGCTGATAGGATTATGATGACCGGTAGAGAGCCGATATTTGAAGAATTAGTGATGTTTGTAGAAGAAAGAGCCAGGATTGCGCGATCACGTTTTGGTAGATTGGTACATTGTAACTCAAAGTTCCGTAAAGGTAATTATGAAGGCCAAGTTGACAAGAGATCACGCTTTAATGTAGTTAAGAGGGAACCAAGCAACTCATTCAAGGCTTTAAGTTGCGAAATTTGTTTTGGTGATCACAAGGAGAAAGACTGTATGAAGTTATCAAAAATGAATGTTACAGAGAGGAGGCAGGAAGTGAGAAAGCGTGGTCTATGTTACTTGTGTTTAAGGAAGGGTCACATAGCCAAGTCGTGTAACTCAGACACAAGGTGTGACGTTGATAATTGCAAGATTCGGCATAATCCATTATTGCATATTGATGCTTCTAACAAACATGTAGTGAATTTTGCTAAGGATTGGAAATTCCCAAAGGTTTGTTTGGGTATCGTTCCGGTTAGACTATATGGCCCCAAAGGATGTCTGGAAACATACGCTCTTCTGGACAATGGTTCAGATACCTCTATTGTATGCGAAGAGTTAGTTAATCGGTTAGGTCTCAAAGGTAAGGAGACTTCAATAAAGGTGACGACTGTGAATGGAACTTCTACTTGTGAATGTCTGGAAGTGAATTTAGAGGTATTTTCATTAGATGAGCGGGGTTCTATAAAGATCAACAAGGCCTATACGACCAAGAAACTTCCGATCGATTATGCAGAGCCTTTAACCGAACTGCAGCTGAGAAAGTGGAAACATTTAAGGGACATAACTCTACCGAGGCTGCAAAGTAATCTAGTAGGAATATTGATTGGGTGTGATGCTCCAGATGCACATTGGGTCCTTGAACAACGCCTGGGAGACAGGAAGCATCCGTTTGGTGTGCGTACTCATCTCGGTTGGATGATTTTAGGTCCTAAAGAAGCATCGAGGTCTTTACATCAAGTTCAGTGGTGTCATTGTTCTACTAATGATATTTTGCGAGATATAGAAAGATTATATAATCATGAATTCGAGGACGCAGATGGGTTTCGTAATGAATATTCTGTCGAAGATAAAAGAGCTCTAGAAATAGTTAATAGCTCCTTTAGACTGGAAGGTGGCCATTTCCAAGTTGGTCTACCCTGGAAGTATGATAAGCCAAGGCTACCGAATAATTTGGAACTAGCTGAACGTAGACTAGAGTGTTTAAGGAAGAGGTTTATGAAGGATAATAGTCTTCTGGAGAAATATCAACTTGTAATGAGTAAACATTTAAGCAAAGGCTACATCATTGAAGCTAGTAAGGAGGAATTCGACCGTGATGCTGTTTGTTGGTATATTCCTCATCATCCTGTTATCAACCCTAAAAAGCCTGGAAAATTAAGAATTGTTTTTGATTGTGCAGCTATCTATCAAGGTTGTTCTCTTAACGATCAGCTTTTGAGAGGACCTAATACTGTAAATAGTTTAATTGGTATACTTCTACGATTCAGATTATGCAACGTAGCATTAGCCGCTGACATCGAGGAGATGTTCCTTCAGGTAAAGATCCCGAAACGAGACAGGGGAGCGTTTCGACTATTATGGTGGGAAGACGGTGATATAGGACGAAAGGCTAAAGAATATTGTTTGACAGTTCATCCGTTTGGAGCCGTGTCCTCTCCCTTTTGCGCTAATTTCGCTCTTCGGAAGACGGTAGATATATTCGGAAAGGAATTGAATAAAGATGTCCAGGAAGTTGTAGATAAGAGTTTCTATGTCGACGACTATTTAACATCAATTGATAATGTGCAGGATGCAATCGAACTTGCAAAAACCCTTGGTTTACTTCTCAGAAAAGGTGGGTTCAGACTTACCAAGTGGACAAGTAACTGTTTACAGGTTCTCGAATCAATTCATCCAGAAGAGAGAGCAGAAGCCCGAAAAGAGATTGACTTTGAGAGACTTCATACGGAACGCACATTGGGATTATTTTGGAATACTATGGTTGATGCGTTTGAATTTAAGGTTCGCATACCGAAATGCCCTCTCACTAGGCGAGGTATATTGTCGAGTGTAGCTTCATTATACGACCCCTTGGGATTGTTAGCACCATTCACACTTCCTATGAAGCAGTTACTTCAACGTTTGAGTAAATTGGGACTAGGATGGGACGAAGAGATTCCAAGTGAGGAAGGCAAACGCTGGTTAGAGATTTTAAGTGGATTTCAGAGGGTTGAGAACGTTAGTTTTCCACGCTGTGTATTAATCCCACAATCAGATCGCTCGCTCCTGGAACTTCATATTTTCTGTGACGCCTCGGAAACTGGATATGAGGCAGTGGCATACATCCGTTCTTACATCGATGCTACTATTATTAAGAAGCGTAAACTTCGTTCTTTTTCGGATGCTATGACTAGCAATGGAAATAGTAGTCATCGGAATCTTAGTAGTGACAGCGATAGTAAGGAGACAGAAAGTGTGAGCAGTCCATCTATAGTGACTAGTCGACCAACTTCATCGAATGAGCCTTCTAGTGTTTTGACGTCATCGGACCCTGTCGCGAATGTTAAGTTGATTGTTGATACACAAGGTTGTGTAACTGTAAGTGTTCCTACTTCGGTTGACTGTCAGTCAAGTGATGATGAGAAGGAAGTGTCCGATGGTAACAGCCAGTCTACAGTGTTGCCTGATAACGATGCTATTGACGTGCTTATGTCTTGTGTCTATGAAACGGAATATGGAGAACAACAAGTGAGTTTATCGG